CTCCTAGGAGTTCGCGTCAGAGTTCCTGCATGTTTCTCATCTGTCTTTCCGTCGATCCGTGATTCAGTGATTTTCCTAAGCAATGCTGATTCGTGTTCTTTGCCATTGGACTGAAGATCTTGTCTATTTTCTGCTTTTGTGATTTCATCTTTTCGTTCAAGCTCACGTTCGCCGTTTATATTGAAATCTTGGTCTATTGGGATCTTCTGTGTAAGAACTGAAGACAGCGGTTTTCTTGGTAACATGGCTGCCAAGCAGTAAAAAGCATAGATAGAAAAGGCAGCGAAAGAAGTGAATAGAAACAATCGTACATAATACTTCATAATTGACTGCGCTCTGGCTCTAAGAAGACAAAAAAAGGACAAGCAATGTTTAACATAACCCAAGTGTAACAAACTAACTGTTAAACTATACAACTGATAACGTGTCTACGCAGCTACAAATGACAAAAAAAATTGAAATTTTTACAGCCGAATTTTACAAGCACTTTGCTTAAACCAATTGTGCACAAAAAAAATTAAAATACTGTTCTACCACACAATGAAGTTAAGAGTTTGAGGAATTATTGACCAGAAATCAATCTAAATTCATGCGTACTCATTGAAACAGCTAGACACAATGGTATAAGGGGTTCATCTTCACACAATGAAGTTAAGAGTTTGAGGAATTATTGACCAGAAGTCAATCTAAATTCATGTGTACTCATTGAAACAGCTGGACACAATGGTATAAGGGGTTCATCTTCCTTAGCCAGGGTTTAAAATCGACATCGCTTTCTCTGATCAGATTCGGAATTTTTTTCTTCTGATAGACCGAAAAAACGAGTGTCATAAACTGTATTTATTTATCTCCTGTGGGATACATTTGGGAGTATCTATAACGAGAGGTATTTAAATAATCAGCCAATAAAAATCTATCTGCAACAAGGGAAACCCTGAATGTATATCTTTCAGTTACCACTGAACATAAAGCTGAACTGAAATGTTGACTGTGAACGCGGAAAGAAGTATTTATATTTGTTTGTTAATTTAGTAAACTAGGATCGACGCTTGCCCTGATTTAAACTTGAAGGTTACCTCGAATTGACATTGTCATGAAAATATCAGTCGATGATAAAAGCCCGGAATAGACAGTTGTCTTCACAGGTCATGTCTGATATCTTTTACGCAATATTTTTTTGACTCAAGAGTGGATACTTAACTTAAGATGACATCATGATTTTCACTCTGTTTCCCAATCACGAACCTACCTTTATCATTAATGGTAAATTTGTCTGTTATCCATCCACGGTTTCTACGCATTAACTACGATAAACGAAGCCGAAAACTGGATGGGCATACCGTCTATAAATGACTAGAAATGCTCTAAAACACATCTCATGGTCATATATTGTATCCAAAGTGCATAGCACTTAAAATTTTTTCGAGACCATCCAAAGTTGCTATAGAAACTATCTCAAGTCATAAAAGATACAATCCTCTCCTGTCTCACTTCTTAGAATAGTTTATGCCCTGAATAATGTTTTACGAATTATGTTTCGGGAGCCCTTGTCGTAAGAAGTTATAGCATCTACCGGTTGAAAGGAACTCACCTCTATGAAGATAGAATATGTAATTTTTGACACTTGAAATACACCCTACATTGCCACAGTTGAAGCAGCACAATCTAATTACAAGTATTATAAAACTAAGAAGTGAATCGGTGAATACTTCAACTGGTAATACATTAAACCTCTTGTTCTTCTTGCAGAAAGCGATGAAACGGCTGAATTAAAAAAAAAAGTGGAAGTGATACAAAATAATTAGTATTGAAAATGCTGATTTTTTTTGTGCTTTTTAGAAGAGCTGAATAGTGTTCTCGTGGTGGCACTCTGAATAAGTAAATCGTGCAATAATTATTTGTCGACTTTGTTACCCTGGAAATGTGCTACACTTCAGAATAATTCCTTTCTCGACAAACTTGGTATTGTTCATCCTGACACACTCCTTTGTTTTTCTAATCGTGCCATATAAACAAATGGAAAATCGCTCAGAAGCGGCCGTGTCATTTAACTCTGTGCCTGCTGTTTGGCATGTCATTTTATTATGTCCGTGCACTTATCTTGCCATTCGTTTTCCCGCGGAGGGTCAAATAAACATACCGGGATTTACCTAATGGAAATTAGGTGCCAAATTATCATCTACAAACTGGTATATGTGGTAGAAAACCAATCTATAACAAATGGCTCGTATCGCACTATCACGTGTGGAGGAACCGTGAACCGTGTTAAGGGTTCTCTTTCAAGTTTCTCTGGCGTTTGTGCTGCCTATTAATATAATTTCTAAGTTGGTTTTACGATTTCCCCACGATAAAATAACCTCAGTTTCTCTGCAATAATCTCTAGATTGAACCTTCCTCAGCTCAAAATATCAACATCATCAGGTCTATTTCAACGACTTATGTTTCTTTATCAAATCTTTTAATACAATTCCCAGAAAATCACAATTGCCCTTTATTTCTCCCATGTAAAATTTTGTTCGTAGATAAAAAATCTACTGGTCAAAAATGTTATGGCAGCGGTGGGATTCGAACCCACGCCTCCGAAGAGACTGGTGCCTAAAACCAGCGCCTTAGACCACTCGGCCACGCTACCTTCAACATATAGCACGTTCTTGGCATGTCTGTCACATTCACCGACACTGATCATGAGGTGAATAGTTGTTTGGGTGAAGCACATCAAGAAACCTAAAAAATTAGTTTATTTCTGCAAATACACCCAAAAATGGTCGGGCATTAAACTGTTGACGTGTATTTAGTACTTGCCAATCACTTCAGAACTAGCCAATCAGCACGCACCAACAGCACTTTTAACCTGCATGGTATATACTTATAAGCTTTATAATGTTGGAATTTTCTTTTCTTCAATCGCTCGTAGAAAAGGCAATTTGCTGAATAACTTGCGATAAAACAAAACTAAATGATTAAACAAAAATATAAGGAGACGAGCATCATATTCCACCATCTTGAAAATGTGAAGGTGAACCTTTATACATGTAAATTTCCCTACTTTCTACCGAGGAGGAAGCCTTCAGCCTCATTATTTAAACTTGATTGGACTTCCTTTGCACTAAGAAAAAAATCCTGGCAGCGGTGGGATTCGAACCCACGCCTCCGTGGAGACTGGTGCCTTAAACCAGCGCCTTAGACCGCTCGGCCACGCTACCCTTAGCTGTCGTATTTATATTTCCTAGTGAATAATGTTAACGAAATCGCTATTATAATTCATTGAATATTACTACTGGCAGGCGATTGGTCTAAACGCGTTACGTGACTGAATATTTCCCGACTAAAACTTGGGAATATCCCATAAGACATTCTAGGTGATATTCCCTAATTTTTAAACCTTAAGTCCAATACGACAAGTCTTCGTTTAAATTTTAATTCAAGACGAGAGAGCGTTTGGTGGTTGTTACTGGAGACGGGACTCGTTTGTTCGTTCATAAGGTCGTAAACGCAGCAAACGGTAAGCTGTTCGTTAACATTTTTGACGCCGCGCTGCAAAACATTTGAAGGATAATAAACACAATAGCCTCCATTTGGACATTATCTGTTCCTCGAAGCTAACAGTTTGCATCTTGGAACAGATAATGTCCGCGCACTAATATCGGGGCATGTTTTCGCGCCAAATAGAGGTCATTGTTTGTATAGGTAAACTGCGCACACTTTAGGTAGGGAAGCATTTACGATTTCATGATATGGGAAAATAACTCATGTTCTGTTTGGCAGTGCAATCTAGGACCCTCCCAGTCAACTGAGAACTTTTGGAACGATTCCCTTGGTCGGTGTCACACCGTGCCGCACCATCCTATAACCTTTGAAATGCACACCGCCTGCTTCCGATTGAAGACAAATAGTGGCACGCTGAGATCGTATAACAATTAAGTTTAGATGAAGAAGATAAGTCGCACGTCACTTTAGCAACGGAAAAAGATCACAGAGCGTTGAAAACGAGCGCTGCTTAGTGGTGTAGATGAAACCTTAAATTTCAAAGAGTTTAAACTATTTTCTTGGGATTTGTGAAGCTTCGAATTTAGTCGGTCACACTTCTTTAATTCCTGCATTCAAGGTAATCTATATAAATTATCAAACGCTCGACTGTTTAATTACTTAACCTTAAATATTTAAAGATATAATGAATGATTGAACAAACAAGCTCATTTATCACAGGGATTTTTTTTCAGATTTGGGTCCACTCGGAGGATTGCTTGGTCTTGTGCTAAGCGCCATTGTAGCGGGCACAAATGTAGACATAGCTGAAGTCTCCTAGATGTATATGTCAGACTTCCCAAGCCCACAACCTCTCGACATTGAATACGGATCTTTGGATGAGAACTGGCAATCCGAGACGGACAAACGAGACGCGCTTCAACCTGCCTTCAGGTTCGAAGTAACTCAAATTGTTTTTATTCAAATTTCCCTTAGGATAACAAATGACGGCTCTATTGATTACACTTTCTGTCTATCTACAGGCTTGTGATCCCGACATCTTTCCGAACATGTTGTTGTTGCTGTTGTTGCGAATTGCATGTACAATTCCAGTAACATCAGCTGATAACGAACGCTCAAACAGCACTTTAAAACAAGTCAAGGGCTACCTACGGACCACGATGACAACCGAGAGACTCTTTGGCCTAGCTTTAAGGAGTATTCATTAAGAAAAGCCAGTCGATTACGATGCTATAGTTCAGAAATTTGCCGAACAACAACCTCGTAGAATATTACTCGTTGATCCCATTTTTGAGGAATCTTAAGCGTGACCTTTTAAAACACATTAAGTAGCGAAGACAAATGCATTACAGTGATTTTAGTTTAATTTTCTGGGAGTCGGTTGATCTGGCGGCCAATTTGTTCGAAATATTTATTATTTGCAGTTAAACGTGATCATTAAAGAGACACCCGAAAGCATGATGGGAAGTTATACGTGTTGATTAATTTACCCGCGATCATTCGCATCCAAAAGGCAAGCTTAAGACTTCGAAATCAACGATGCTCTCTCCAACAGCTGGTACTTCATTTCTTGGTTGTCGTCTCTCCTTGTTCGATCTTCTTAAATATCTGCTTTCCCATTTGGGTGGTAAGATTATTTTGTTATTATTTATTCCTACTTTTATTCCACTTAGATTTAGTTCTCGGTGCCATGTTTCTTATAGTTTAAGTATTGGGAATTAACAAGAATTCTTAGTTTTTTGAAAGGGAATTTTTCGTTTAATGAGTTTATTGTAGCAATTTGTCCTTTCGCATCTGATTTTTCGTTCTCCTTCTCTAGACTCTTTTCGTTTATACTCGTTTCGGCTATATTGTTTAACACTGCCCAAACATCAATACACCAACATCTGGGTTCCTTCAAAAACAAATTTTCGTCGTAGAGTCAATGCACTTTCCGACTCTTGCATACAGTAAAATCTCTCCATGATTATATTTTTGCAAAAAAGAACGAGAATGTTCTGTCAGGGAACCTGTTCTAAAGTGGTACGTGCTATAGTCCGACATCATGAGGATGTCAGATTCAAATAAATTATGTACGCTGAAGCTCTGAATCCTTCTTTTCCACTCTACTGCAAATACAGAACTACCAGCATGTCACTTAAGGTGACATGGAAACAAATTATTTCAATTTATTTTGGGAACGGTAAATGAAATTGCAGGAAAACTTTAGACACAAAGACGTCTGTCTCAGTGGGAGCAAATGTTTTTTTATTTCTAATACGTAGGCTACCTAGCAATGATCCTATCAAAAATATTACGAAACGTCTTCAGCAGTTGAAGTGATAGCTCAACGATGCTTTTATTTTTATACATCTTCTGTGGTACATAGAGGCTCGATTCTGGTGTCTGTGCCGCTGAAGTGTAATCAGAGGAAAAAATTACTTTCTATATCACCAGCACAAAAATGCTCTTTATTTAAAAAAATATGAAAAAGATTTGCCGAAAGTCAAAAAAATATGCTTCTATGATAGCGTGACCAAAAACGGAAAAAAAAAATATTGTGCTCTATTTATTCAAGACACCCTGTATTTTATCGAAGTATAATAAAACATTTATGATTGCGCAGCAAGGCGCGTAGTCCTCTGGGGCATGTTTCTTCCATTTTAAGTATTGGGAATTAACAATAAGCGTTCTTAGTTTTTTGAAGGGGAATTTTCGTTTAACGTGTCTATCGTAGCAATTTGTCCTTTCGCATGTTTTTTCGTTCTCCTTCTTTAGCCTCTTTTCGTTTACACTCGTTTCGGCTATATTGTTTAACACTGCCCAAGCATCAAAATCCAGCATCTGGGTTCCTTGAAGAATAAATTTTTAGTCGTAAAGTCGATGCACTTTCCGACTCTTGCATACAGTAAAATCTCTCTATGATTATATTTTTGCCAAAAAAAGACGAGAATGTTTTGTGGAACTTGTCGTAAAGTGATACCTGCTACAGTCTGACATTTCGAGGGTGTCAGACTTAATAATTTATGATAATAAATTGTGTTCACTGAAGTTCTGGATCCTTCTTTTCCACTCTATTGCAAATACAGAACTACCAGCATGTCACCTTGGGCGACATGAAAACAAAATTTTAAAGTTGTATCGTGATAGGTAAATGAAATTGCAGAGAAACTCATTAGTATAGATTTGAATAATGGATAACGATCCTACTAAAAACATTATGAAACCTCTTCAGCAGTTAATATGACTGCTCAACGCTGCTATCCATCATTCTTGGTTTGTTCGTTTGTTTGTTTTTTTTTTCTTCTTTGAACGCTAGGCTGTATATGCTCACGTTATCCGCAATTTCACTTTCAATTGTTCCCGTTTGGAGTAATGGCCTCTGTCGTATGGACTTGGTGAATCAGTTTATAATTTGGTCTAAGGAAAATAGTATGATTTGTAATCCGTCGAAATGTAAAGAAATTATTTTTCGCAAGAAAGGTTTTGTTCAGGATATTGCGCAAGTTAATAACATTCCGCAATGCACGAAGCCGCCCATTTTAGGTGTTACGTTACAAGAGAATTGTAAATATAGCGAACAAGTACGTGCAAAGTTGATTAAGGCAAATAAGTGTCTGTTTGTACTAAGATCTTTACGGAAGGAAGGTTTCAGTCAAGGTGAAGTAGACCACCTAATTAGCGCCTTAGTTTTACCAAACTTCACTTATGGTCTGCCTGTTTATGGCGCTATAGACTCAGATCTCACGGTCATACAAAACTTCATGGACAGATGCTTTAAAAGGAAATACACATCTAAGAGAATAGACATTCGAGAACTTTTAGAAAAGGCAGATAAGAAGATTTTCAAGTTACGTTCAGTGGATCCCGATTGCGCGCTTAGTCACATCATTCCGAAGAAGAAAGAAACAAAGTACCAACTCAGAAACAGAAGTGCTCGTCGCCCAGATATAAAGACTGACAGATTTAAGAATGTTTTTGTAAATAGGCTTATCTTTAAATATAATTTTTGATCTTTCTATTATTTCATATAGTATGTTTTATGCATATATATACAGTATGTCTTATGTATTTTCAGACTCCTAACTGCTGATGTAACTTTTTATCTTAGGAGGAATAAAGATTGATTGATTGATTGATTGCTTAACAACAAAAAAGTTAGAGAGAGGTTCGGGAAATGGTCGGACATTGTACAAAATGGCAGATAGCGTGACAGCTTTAGCTTAGCTCCGTCTTCTGTACTCCGATAAAACACGCTCTTTCAATCAATGACACGCGCGCGTTATATCTGAACTTTATAATAATATGATGTGGTCTAACAATGAAAATATCATTAAAGAAATGCCCGTTGGCACGACAGGAAGTTATACGTGTTGATTAATTTACCTAGGATCATCCGCATCCAGAAGGCAAGCTAGACAACGCTAGTCCTAACAGCCGGTACTTCATTTCGTGGTTGCCGTCTCTTGTTCGATCTTCCTAAATATCTGCTTTTCCATTTGGGTAGTAAGATTATTTCGTTATTATTTATTCTTACTTTTATTCCACTTACTTTTTAGATTAGCTCTCGGTGCCATGTTTCTTATATTTAAGAATTGGGGATCGAATTCTTCTTAGTTTTTTGAAGGGGAATTTTTCGTTTAATGAGTTTATCATAGCAATTTGTCCTTTCGCATCTGATTTTTCGTCCTCCTTCTCTAGCCTCTTTTCGTTTGTACTCGTTTCGGCTATATTGCTTAACATTTCACTTTCATTGTCATAAACGTTGAAATTGGTCTAGTGGAAAAAAAGCCCAAGTAGAAACATATCTTTAAAAAGTTGTCTCTAGTTTCTCAAAGGAATATTATAGTCATCAGTATTTCATACCGCAGGGGAGTAAATAGCGCTTTGCACGCGTGCTGATTGGCTAGTTTGGAAGAGATTAGCGAGCATTTTTATCTCCGAGCAGTTGTCAAAGAGACAGAATCGCGCGTCAAGAGTCCAATTTCCGACCATTTTTCGGTGTATTAACCGGAATTAATAGATATTTTGCTTTCAATGTGTTATACACAAAAACGATCATTTACCTCTGTGTCGGTGAAAGTCGTGGATACTTACCGAGCCACTACGCAGCTCAATAAATATCCACTCCTATTCACCTCTTTATTTGATATTGGTAATGTAAGCGCCGATCAAGATGGCAGCCGTTTATGTTCGTACTTGCCGCTTTATTTCGCTTCTGAACTTGTTTTATATCTTACAATTCTTACAATGGTATGGCTACCTAAAGGCCTCTGCCATCCAATATTGACCAAGTTCAACGCAAAGACATCTTTTATCAAGAATAACCAAGAGCTAAAGTTTCCGAAGCGGCCTATTTCAGTTTGGTACAAACATGGTCCGACCTGTTTGGTTTTACCAAAAGATTTAACTGTCCACATGGATGTTGAGCTAAATCCTGGTCCCTTGCAAAAGAAACCAATTTATCTGCTAACCTGCCTACCTACGGTTTCTGGCCTGGTCTCGTATCCAGGTAATAAACTGTTGTCTACGAATAATGCTGACACCCGCCAGGTTGGAATTTGTGGTTCCTACTATTCAGACGTCTTTCATCGATTTTCTTACTGGCCTTGTTCATCGCCATTATCATCGACCTACAGGAGATGCCGCGCTGGCCGTCGAGTCAGAGAAAGGAAAGCTAGAAATATTCACAGAATTGAATCCCTGGTTTCTTATCCACGCGCTAGCCGAGGAACCAATAATTTGCATAAAGGATCCATTTCACATAACCTTTGCGTCATCACATCTGTGAACACAAACAATAACGTATCCTCTAATGTTACTTCGACGAACTCCTCATTTCATGCAAATTCGCTCGTTAATCCGCGTTCAATTCTAAACTTTGCGGACTTCAATTCAAGATCTGTTAGGAATAAGATCGAGAGCATCATTGACCACGTCGTTGAAAATGACAACGGCCTCTGCACCGTTACCAACACCTGGTTGAATGACGCTGACTTCGTCAGTATTGCTCAGTTATCTGTGGCTGGCTATTCCTTCAAGAATTTTCCTAGAAAATCGCGGTACCGGGATTCTGTTTCGAGACTCTCTCAAAGTCTCATTAGTGGATGGGAAGAAATACAATCCTTTGAATTTTCGGAGTGGACTGTTAAAATGCACGATCGCTCTATGAGATATGTGATAGTGTGTCGACCTCCATATTCTTCGTTACACCCCGTTTCTACCTCTGTCTTTTCCGATGAACTCTCTCAGTTTTTAGAGAATGTTTACTGGAAACGTTCGGTCTTTCGCAACACGTTTCGGGCCCGACCCATTTATCGGGTCGTACCTTAGATTTAATTATTACTCGTTCCTCAGATAATATTGTTCTTGCTTCCCCTAAAACTACTTTTCCCATCTCCGATCATTTTATTATTCAGTGTCCTATTGGTTTCTCACGACCAGCTTTGTCATGCAAAAAACTGACTTTTCGTAAACTCAAAAGTATTGATATTGCTGCGTTCTCAGCTGATATTGCCTCTTCTATGCTTTGTGCAGGCGTACCCTGGGACAACATTGATGCACTCTCCAACTGGTTTAACAAGACCCTTATTGACATACTGGATAAGTTTAAAACAAGGACTATGATTAATCGTCCAAAGGTCTCATGGTTTAATGATGACATTAAACAACTCAAGCGTCAACGTCGTCGCCTCGAAAAGAGAGCAGTGAAAACTGACCTCCCTGGTGACTGGAATAATTACCATAAAGTTCGTAATCAGAACTCTGCATTTCTTAAATCTGCACGTGTGAATTATTATTCAAACCTAATTGATCAGTGTGCGGGTGACTCTCGCAAGTTATTTCGTAAGGTTAATTCTTTGTGTAGGGAATCACTTGAGACGACTCTCCCAGAGCACATTGACCCCACAAAGCTAGCAAACGAATTTGGCACCTTCTTCCTCAAAAAAATTGAAATCATAAAAGAAAATCTTGACAAGTTTCTAGTTTAAGAACCTCGACTCATTCCTGTTACTCCTAAGGAGAATCTGGAGAGTTTTACCGCGCTATCCATCGAAGAAGTGTCTAAGATTGTTCAAGAATCCTCCAATGCCTCTTGTCGGCTGGATCCTGTTCCTACATGGCTACTGAAGTCCTGTCATGATGTATTAGCGCTCCCTATCACTGAGATGGTAAATCTCTCTCTTCTCCGTGGTCACGTTCCAGAAAATTGGAGAACCGCCGTTGTCTTTCCTCTACTGAAAAAACCTGGACTTGATTTGGTCTATAAAAATTTCCGTCCAGTCAGTAATCTTCCATTCATTTCTAAGGTAGTCGAAAAGGCTGCACTTCAACGACTTCTCTTCCACTGTGAAAAAAATGCCCCTCCCCTAAATTCCAGTCCAGCTTCCGTAAGTATCACTCGACAGAAACTGCTTTATTAAAGGTTCAAAACGACATCTTAATGAGTATGGATAATAAAGCAGTGACACTTCTCGTACTTTTGTACCTTAGTGCTGCTTTTGACACCATTGAACATTCGGAGTCGTCGGGACTGCTTTAAATGGGTTCGACTCATTTCTGTCCGGTCGCAAACAACTTATACTTGTTGGTGATAAGACTTCTGATGACTTTAATCTGAACTGTGGAGTCCCCCAGGGTAGTTGTATGGGGCCTATTTTATTCACTCTCTACGTCTCCCGCCTCTTCAACATTATTTCTCAGCATCTCCCTTCCGTCCATGGTTATGCTGACGACACCCAGATTTACCTGTCCTTCCGACCTTGCTCTATCCATTCCGAAATTAACGCTGTCTCTGCGATTGAGATGTGCATTGCTGATGTTCGTTCTTGGCTTATTGCTAATCGTTTAATGATAAACGACGCAAAAACTGAGTTTCTAACTATTGACACCCGCCAATTCAACAACTTGAAAAAACATCTATTGAATCTATTATTATTGGTGACACCCTCATTAAACCTTTAGAAAGCATCCGTAACCTTGGGTCCTGGTTCGATGCCCATATGCGAATGAACGTTCATATAGGCAAGATTTGTAGCAAGGCTTTTCGCGGATTATACAACATAGGACAGATCAGAAAATTCCTTACTGTTCAATCGACTAGGACTGGTCCACGCTTTTATATCCTCACACCTTGATTACTCTAACGCACTTCTCTTCGGTCTACCTAAATATCAACTCGATCGCTTACAGAAAGTTCAGAATGCTGCGGCTAGAGTGATTTTTCAGATTTCAAAATTTGATCATATCACACCTGCGCTTATCGACCTACATTAGCTCCCTGTAACGTTCAGAGTTCAGTTTAAATTGATCCTCTTTGTTTACAAGTCATTACACAACCAAAGTCCTCCCTACATTAAAGATCTTTTGTCCCTGAAACCAGCTACTAATTATAATTATGCTCCTCGCTTGTCTACTCAATCTCTTCTGTTCGTTCCAAAAGCCAATGCAACTGCTCTTCACTTGGGGACCGGGCCTTTGCTCATGCTGCACCTGTTTTATGGAACTCGTTGCCATTAACTATAAGAACGAGTAGTGGCCTCGCCATTTTTAAAAAGCAACTAAAAACATATCTATTTAGGAAAGCTTTCAGTTTGTTTCAGTAGTTCTAATGTTTATTGCCTTGAATATTTTAATTTTAATTAGTATAGAACTTTAACTTATGTAAAGCGCTTCTGAATATTGTCTTTAGTTTTAGCGCTATATAAACCCTTATCATTATCATTATCATTACCTCTACGACGGTAAATAACTGTCAAATATCGTGATGTCGATAACTGTAATTTTTTACAGGAATGAGGATTGGCCTCCTTATTATAATCTGTTGGTTTCCTACAACATCAGCGAATCGTTGTGACGCATCTTATTCCATACAAGATCGAGTCCTGAAGAACCACACAATTGCGATCAGACCAGCTGAGAGGATAGAAGAATGTGCGTTATTGTGCGTGGATTATCCCGACTGCCACAGCATTAATTTCTATCAGAAGCACAAAATATGCGATCTCAATGACAAGACACATACTTCCCATCCGAAGGATATGATTTCATCTGCACTTTCAAACTACATGGAGAATATCCTCAGACCATACCTGTGCAACCAAGACTCGGAATGTGGCTCGGGGTTACATTGCTCCCCATTAGAGAAGAAATGTGGTAAGTCTCGCTGCTGTTGTTTTCCTAGACAGAGAATCTTAGCAATAAGTCATCAGGCGTAATTTTAAACCAGTTACAAAGTTATGTAATATCCTTCTCCGTATTTGGCGAGTCCTAAGACAGATGAGAAAGTCATATATCGGCTTTGATTTAAGCGAGGTCTGTTAACTTTGACATGAAAGTTGTCCATACCATTTCCCGTGTATGATTGGTCTAAACAAAACCAAAGCAAACTGATATGGCCGACAGAGGATTGGGACCATACTTTTTCTTTTTAGCTTTTTCGTTAGAACGGCAACGCCAAGGAGGACGTCGATTTAAAAATGAATAGATATTTTCAGTTGGAATTTCACGTATGAGAGCAACGTTGAGTTCCAAGTGGAAACTTAACGAATTTGCCGTCGGGGTTTCTTTTCTGAGTGGAAGGTAGCGACCGACCGATATTTTACTTTCATCTCATCTGCAATTTCCACATAAATGTTAAAGGACATGTTTTGTATTAGAAGCAGTTTTGCGAGAATTTCAGGGAACACTCTTCGACCAGCTTAAACCAACAGTTGTTTAATTTGTTTGCTTTATTTGAAGGGTGACTTTCTTCACTCATGGGAAGCCTTGTTCACGATGACTTGTACACAAAAATTAATCGCTTTAGGTTGGAATAATTTTTTTGATATGAGTGTTCCCGGACTCGATAAAGCACTCTTTTGAATACCAAGCTGACCCGTTTGAGATGAATTTCTTCACAGTCCTGGTCGATATTATTTTAAATTGAACCGAAAGCTCATTTTTGAATGAGCTTTGTCTTACTTGACAGTCCTATGTCATTACGTCGACAGACTGTTCTCAAGAATGAGATATGATGAGCCATGAGCTGAAATTGAAAACAAAAGGATCCTTAGGAATACTGCGAAAGTAGATAGCTGGAAGAAGCCATGACACTATGACGGCCTAAGACAACAAGTCACAACAACAACAGCTGTGCACTCGGACTAAACCAATGTAGATTAGATCGTACATACCTAAAATTTTCATGATAGTGATTGCATGTGTCCTCAACCGCCCCACACAAGTCATCGCAGCTCGACTTTAAATTGTGATTGCTCCCACAAATTTCAACCGACGCCATTCAAACTGCTCTTTACGTGAAGCTCTTTCTGTGCTTTTTCAAGTGAACTGGGCACCAAGGGTCATAAATATCAGAGACAAAAATGCGGTATTAAAATGTGGGGCTAGCCTAAGTTTTAAAAAATTTGAACCATGACGCCATGTTTCATAACGTCATGGTATAAATAAAACTGTCCATGGCCCGGACTGGTCACTTACAGCTGTTATTTGTTATTTAGTTTGCCATCGTCGAACAACTTCTGGAAAGTCCTGCGCCATTCCCTTTCAGTACAAAGGCGTGACGTACAATTGCTGCAGCAATGTTAATCACGGTAGATTGTGGTGTTCGCTGGATCCAATCTATGCCTCTAGATGGGAAGACTGCTAGGGTTAACTTACCACGTGTATGTCACTTAACACTTAACATAAGGCTAGATATATATATATATATCTTGAGTCATTTTTCCGTCAAAAGTTTCCTTTCAACAGGAAACAATCTTAAACAAAGATGCGTAGGATTCGCACGGATTGCACAGGTAATCAAATTCTGGCCAAGTTTTTACAGTGCACAATGCATACCACATTGCTTTTAAAATTTGATCATTTATCTAGACTACAATAAAAAAATTTTAAATTTTCTTCAGTTAGATGGCTCTTGAAATCTTGATTAAGGGCTGTGGATGACAGACGAATTCACTAGCATGATATAGATAAGATAATCTACCTGATTTGGATCCCTTTACTAGTTTAAAGTAAATTGAAATCGAGTGCTGTACAGTTCTTTTTGTTGTAGCGTCAAGCAACTTATAGTAGGTGTATCCACTTGGATGGGGTGCTGGTCCATCGTAAGCGGCCCCGTATTGTTTTAGGTCTGCTGATACCCACTTCAGAATCTTGGATGGAGAGGGACACCGCAAGTGTGAACTATTTTACTCTAGAACACAACGTAATAACCCAAACAGGAGTTAGACCAGCACCTTCCGAGTCCAGTTCGTTAATCATGGGGCCACCATCTTCCCACACTAATATAATTGCTACTTTATTGTCATTAAAAGTTGAAAATCAGATTTTTGCAAGTGTGAACTATTTTACTATAGAACACAACGTACTAACCCAAACGGGAGTTAGACCAACACCTTCCGAGTCCAATTCGTTAATCATGGGGCCACCATCTTCCCACACTAATATAATTGCTACTTTATTGTCATTAAAATTTGAAAATTAGATTTTTGCCCACGATTTGCCCTATCTCGCTTAGTGGCAAACTATTGGAGTAACTGTGTTAAAGCCTACATAAAATCGGATGATGACAAACAAGCTGTCGCTAAGCTCACTTCGAAATTGAAGTTTGCTAAGTAGCTGTTTATGCAGTGATTTTAAAGGGAGAACTTATTGCTTCCGTTTCTCCCAGCTATTCAAATAATTAAATATTGAGAAGTGTTGAAATATTTTGCCCTGAAGACATTTATTTCTAAATGTATGCGAACAATTTTCACAATAGAATATACCAACGAAATATCTCAAGTTGCCAACACTACTAAGAGTCATCCATATAGCCGGCGAAGAAGTGAATGTTGTGATACAAAATTATTGAAAAGAAATCTCAATCTATGAAGCCCCAGTGAAATTGAAAGGCGTCAAAGCGTCTCTACCGTCGCGGAGTTCAACTCGGTTAACTTTGCAACCATGCTGCTGGTTGAAATAAATCTTTCTAATTTAATGGGAAATAAGAACCTCATCGATCCACGTGGGTTCTGTTATACGTAGCTTGATGGTTTCATTGATTTCACGGTATAGAGTAATGCGATGTTATCGTCAAAGTCGCGAGTTCGAATTCCACAAAATCCCTGGATAGATTATTCTGAATACTTTGCACAGTCATATCAGTGCGTGAGATGACTCCGTTAAGTCTTTACACCCTAACATCAGTATGCAAGTTCTCCATACTGTTCTCTATACATATCCTATGGTACTGATAAGGAAGATTTGATCACAGCTTCAAACCGGTGGACGATCATTTCCTTTATTCTTATCATCTTAATGAATGATTCGGAGTAGTGTTACTGTAAGGAGATATCAGATTCTGGTCCCTGTAATAGTTTAAGTTATGAAGCAAAAGTCTTCTCTCCTTCTGTCTATCTTCGTTTGAAGACTCTTCCTTTCATTTTTCCAGTTTTGTTGATGATAAGTTACCAAAAAATAAATAGAGTTTACAGAATAGAATGAGGAAAGCAAAGCAAGACTGAATAGGTGTCACCTAGCATCAAAAATAGTTCGCGGTTGTCAATCACCCTAAAGAAGTTCTTTTTCACTTTCTTTAATTTCAATTCGAAAGACTGAGTGAAAATGTTCTTTACCAGGTCCTTGTCTGATACAAGAAAACCATTTTTCTTGTGTGCGGCTCTGAAATGCTGGAAAGCCGCTGGTCAACATTTAAAAGATAAACTCTCAGCTGGATATGAGTTCCCGTACCAATGCGGTGGAGGGAGCGAACTTAAGTGAGGGTCGAACTAATTAATTCGGAAAACCTCAACCGTTTACCAGCACAGCATGCTTCTACGCTATGCTGTTTACTGATGAGCAGCCTCGCGTAACATAAACATTCAAGTTAAAATTACTGAAAAGATACGCGGCGTTGTTGTGGGAAGAAACTGTTATAAATGTCATGCTTAGGTTGCGAAACATAGGTTCAGAGCGATGAGGAGTCGAAACTCTCACTTTCCCTGGGTAGTTGGAGGCTTGTTGTGTGTCTTCCAATACTTCACTATCTGGCGGCGAGAACAAAAGTGATTCATCAAAACAAAGACAAAGAGGGAGATGGAGATCACCACGCTTTTGATATCAAATACGTTGAATTTTTCTCTGTAAGGTAAGAACGTATCGTGTTATAACAAAAGAATAGAGATAGAAACCCCGCGTTAGAACACATCACATTCAAATTGGTCTGTATTCATTCATAGGTTATCTTAATTCTAATATTTGATTTAATTATTCGAAATAAGCATCTATTTTCGAAAACATACTCAAACGAGTGGCAAGCGACCCTTTTATGATAAACAGGAAACGTAAAGTAAACGTTTTTGCCCACCACTGAGTTGAAACAAATATTCAGAGCTGTGCTGACTTAAAACTGAAAGGGAGAATATTATGATTGATACTTAACAGGTAAAGAAGCCTTGACTATTTAAGAATTGGGAATTAACAAAAATTCTCCTTAGTTTTTTGAAAGGGAGGTTTCGTTAAGCGTGTTTATCGTAGCAATTTGTCCTTTCACATCCGCTTTTTCGTTCTCCTTCTCTAGCCTCTTTTCGTCTATACTCGTTTAGGCTATATTGTTTAACACTGCCCAAACATCAATACATCAACATCTGGGTTCCTTGAAACATAAATTTTCGTCCTACGGTCGATGCACTCTCCGACTCTTGCATATAGTAAAATCTCTCTATGATTATAAGTGGTACCCGCTACAGTCCGACAATATGAGGGTGTCAGATTAAAATAAATTATGTTCGCTGAAGCTCTGAACCCTTCTTATCCACTCTGCGGCAAAAACAGAGCTACCATCATGTCACTTAGGGTGACATGGAAACAAACATTTCAAGTTATTTTGGGAACGGGAAATGAAATTTCAGAAAAACTCATCTGGCCAGTTTAATTTTAGACACAAAGACGTCTTTCTCACTTCGGAGCAGATGTTATTTATTTCTAATACGTAGGCTAGCTAGCAATTATCCTATCAATAAAATGTTACGAAACGTCTTCAAAAGCTCAACGCTGCTTTCATTTCATATATCTTCAGTGGTACATAGAGGCTCGATTCTGGTGTCTGCGCCGCTTAAATGTAATGCATCTATCATCGGCCATCCCCTGGGGGGGGGGACCCCGGGCAAATTCAATGTTGAATGGGGACTTATACGGGGATTTGAACGATTAACTTACCCTGGAGGCGGGGGAAATAAAGGAGGTTTGTTTTCCAAAAGCCTTGCACCGCGGGGAAAACAGGGGACTTTGCAAACGAAACAGGTCAATTTAAAGTTGTCTTCCCTTTACGAAATCATTCATACAGAAAGTCATTCGGTGGTTTAACACAACGTACAATTCACAGTTCTCCCCAACTACGGAGGAACTTTTATTCGGAATTACCTCCAACTTAAACGAGAATAGTACCACCAAGAAATTCGACGTCACACTATTCATGCGTTATTATATCTATAGTTGTAAACTTAACAACAAGCCCATTGTCCTCCACGACTTTGTGAATGCAGTTCACCAAAGGGACCTAATTGAAAATACCGTCAATAACTAGCTCCTGACAAATGCGGTTAAAATATCTCAACTCTCTTTAAAAAATACAAAATAAAATAAAAACAAAATTTAAATAATAAAAAAGTAAATAAATAAAAAACTTAGTGGTACACCTGCCAACAGTGAAACTCTCACCAAAACACTTCAAATAATACTCCTTACGTTCTTTTTCTTTTTTCACTTTTGTTATAGTTCCTCATTTAATGTATCAAAGTCTCAATGCACAAATGTAATTTAGCAGTAATAGCTTTTCAATCAACGTATTGTATTCGGATATGGTAAAGTTATCGTTTTATGTTATTCATATTGTATTATTGAACTTTATTGTAAGTAGACTAACATCTCCCTTTGGAGAGTACGGCGCAATAAAGAGATACTATTAAAAAAAAAAAAAAATCAAAAAAAAAATGAAGACCGCTGTGCAGAAGAACGTGGTCCACCTTTCTCCTCGTGTTTGTGATGGCGACCTCGGCGGATGGCGCAGGTATTGTAATGTAAATCCATTTCCATCGTGTTATTTCCGCTATTTTTTGTGTAATTGTATTTAGCAGTACATTGAAATTTGCATTGTTACGAACATGTAAGCACTATTAAAACATGACATTTCGTTAAGGGTATAAAGTACTGTTTTCTTGTCAGGTTTCAAGCTGCTCAAGGTGATTCCCCTCAGGGAGGGGAAATTTAATTCCTCTGTGTCCCCACCTAGGAGGGGGAAAATAAGAACTTTGACAGGGTCCTTTGCAAAGTCCCCACCCATGCCCGGGGTCCCCCCCCCAGGGGATGGCCGATGATAGGTGCATAATCAGAGGAAAAATGACTTACGATATCACCAGCACAAAAATGCTCTTTATTTTAAAAGCATGAAAATTATTTGACGAAAGTCAAAAATAGATGCTTCTATGATAGCGTAACCGAAAAAAAGGAAATAAATATTCTACTCTATTTATTCAAGACACCCTGTATTTTAGCGAAGTATAATAAAACATTTATGACTTCAACAAATTGCCAAGGCAATAAAAAAAACATGAATAAAAGGGGTAAGTTTCTAAAGAAACTGTGGTGCTGCGTCAGTGGGAGAGTATAACAGGTAATTGGCCACCGTAAAGAGTTTAAAAGCTGAGCGTTAGCCCTTCGTCCAAGCGATCCAGGAGGCAGGCTTAAGACTTCAAAATCAAAATGCTCTTTCCAACAGCTGGTACTTCATTTCGTGGTTGCCGTCTCTACTTGTTCGAACTTCTTAAATATCTGCTATCCCATTTGGGTGGTAAGATCATTTCGTTATTATTTATTCTTACTTTTAATCCACTTATTTTTTAGATTAGTTCTCGGTGCCATTTTTCTTACATTTTAAGTATTGGGAATTGACAAGAATTCTTCTTAGTTTTTTGAAAGGGAAGTTTTCACTTAATGCATTGATTGTACCAATTTGTCCTTTTGCATTTTTTTCGCTCTCCTTCACTAGCCTCTTTTCGTTTATACTCGTTTCGGTTATATTGTCTACCATTGCCCAAGCATCAAAACACCAACATCTGGGTTCCTTGAAATATAAATTTTCGTCCTACAGTCGATACACTTTCCGACTCTTGCATACAGTAAAATCTCTCTATGAGTATATTATTGGAAAAAAGGACGAGAATGTTCTGTGAAACCTGTAATATAGTTGTACCCGCTACAGTTCGACATTATGAGGGTGTCAGATTAAAATAAATTGTGTTCGCTGAATCTGAACTCTTCTTATCCACTATGCTGCAAAAACAGAATTACCAGCATATCACCTAGGGTGACATGAAAACAAACATTTCAAGTTATTTTGGGAACGGTAAACGAAAAACTATATCACCAGCATAAAAATACTCTTTACTTAAATAGCATGAAAATTATTTTGCTGAAAATCAGAAAAGTGTGCTTCTGTGATAGCATGATCGAAGAGGAAATAAATATTCTACTCTATTTATTCAAGACACCTTGTATTTTATCGAAGCACTATAGAAAACAAATATGATTATGTAGCAAGGCGCGTGCGACACCTGACACGTAATACTTAAATATTAACGAGGTGAAATGTGATTTCAGCATGTTGCCAGGACAATGAAAGAAATGAAAGACCTCTCATGTCCCTGTTTGGAATTTACAGTGCAATGACCCAAGTTTTTATTTCCTTTATCCGGCATGATTATCATTGTCATAAACGTTGACATTGGTCCAATCGAAAAAAAAAAAACCCAATTAGAAACATGTCTTCAAAAAGTTGTCTCTTGTTTCTAAAAGGAATGTTAATCATCAGTATTTCATCCGCATGGGTAAATAGTGTTTTTCACGAGTGTTAATTGGCTAGTTCGGAAGTTATTAGCAAGCATTTTTATCTCCGAGCAGTTGTCAAAGAGACAAAATCGCACGTCAAGAGTTCAATTTCCGACCATTTTGCGGTGTATTAACCGGAATGAATGGATGATATGTTTTCGATGTCAGTATATACAAAAACAATTATCTACCTCAGCGTCTATGGAAGTCGTGGATACTTTCCGAGCCACTTCGCAGCTCCATAAAATTTCCACCCCTATTCACCTCCACGACGGTGAATAACTAAAGTAAAATATCGCGATTTCGATACTTTTAATTTTCTACAGGAATGAGGACTGGCCTCCTTATTATAATCTATTGGTTTCCTACAACATCGGCGAATCGGTGTGACGCATCTTATTCTATACGAGGACGAGTCCTGAAGAACCACACAATTGCGACCAGACCAGTTGAGGGGATAGAAGAATGTGCGTTACTGTGCGTGGATTATCCCGACTGCCACAGCATTAATTTCTATCAGAAGCACAAAATATGCGATCTCAATGACAAGACACATACTTCCCATCCGAAGGATATGATTTCATTTGCACTTTCAAACTACATGGAGAATATCCTCAGACCATACCTGTGCAACCGAGACTCGGAATGTGGCTCGGGGTTATATTGCTCCCCATTAGAGATGAAATGTGGTAAGTCTTACTGCTGATGTTTTCCTAGTCAGAGAATCTTAGCAACAAGCCATCAGTCATAATTTTAAACCAGTTACAAAATAATGTAGTATCCTTTTCCGTATTTGGCGAGTTCTAAGACAGTTGAGAAAGTCATATGTCGGCCTTGAATTGAACAAGATCTGTTAACTTTGACATGAAAGTTGTCTATACCATTTCCCGTGTATGATTGGTCTGAACAAAACCAGAGCAAACTAATATGGCCGAGTCTTCCTTGGCGTTGCCGTCCTGATTGCTTAAGGTCCCTATTTTGCAGAGGAAGGCTAAGAAATGGCACAGTTTTAAAACGCACTTGCTGAGCTATTGTGAGTTCTGCTAATTAGATCTTTTGTTTTGATTTTATTTCAATCTCATCTGGAATTTCTACATTAATGTTAGATGATATGTTTTGTATTAGAAGTAGTTATACGAGAATTTCACGGAACACTCTTCGACCAGCTTAAACCGCCAATTGTTTGTTTGCTTTATTTGAACGATGACTTCTATCTTTTTCCACACGTGGGAAGTCTTGCTCACGATGATGACAAAAAATAATCGCTTAAGGTCGTAATAATTTTTTGTTGATCTGAGTTTTACCGAACTCGATAAAGCATTCGTTTGCACACCGAGCTAACCCGTTTGGGATTAATTTTTTCAGAACCCTAGTCGATATTATCTTAAATTGAACCGAAAGCTCAGTTTTGAATAAGCTTTGTCCTACTTGACAGTTCTCTGTCATTAAGCCGAAAGACTGTTCTCAAGAATGAGATATGATCATCCATGAGCTGATCATCCACGGGGTGAAATCCTTAGGAATACTGCGAAAATCGATAGCTGGAAGAAGCCATGACACTATGACGGCCTAAGACAACAAGTCACAAAAATAACGGCTGTGCACTCGGACTAAACCAACGTAGATTAGATCGTACATACCTAAAATTTTCATGATAGTGATTGCATGTGTCCTCAACCGCCCCACACAAGTCATCGCAGCTCGACTTTAAACTGTGATTGCTCCCACAAATTTCAACCGACACCATTCAAACTGCTCTTGACGTGAAGCTCTTTTTGTGCTTTTTCAAGTGAACCGGGTACCAAGGGCCATAAATGTCAGAGACAAAAATGCGGTATTAAAATGTGGGGCTAGCCTAAGTTTCATAACGTCATGGTATAAATAAAACTGTCCATGGCCCGGCCGGACTGGTCACTTACAGCTGTTATTTGTTACTTAGTTTGCCATCGTCGAACAACTTCGGGAAAGTACTGCGCCATTCCCTTCCAGTACAATGGCGTGACGTACAATTGTTGCAGCAGTGTTAATCACCACAGATTGTGGTGTTCGCTGGATCCAATATATGCCTCTAGATGGGAAAACTGCTAAGGTTAACTTATCAAATGTACGTCACTTAACATAAGACTGGACATAAAAATATCGTGAGTCATTTTTCCGTTTAAATTTTCCTTCATCAAAATAGCCAGTAAAGATAATAGCTTTGTAGGGAATAAAAACCTAAACGCACGAAAATAAACTGTTCAGGAAATGATGTTAAACAAAGATGCGTAGGATTAGCACGGATTGCACAGGTAATCATATTCTGGCCAAGTTTTTCCAGTGCACCACGCATACCAAATTGCTTCTAAGATTTGATCATTTATCTGGACTACAATATAAAAATTTTCAATTTTCTCAAGTTGGATGGCTCTTGAAATCCTGATTAAGGACTGTGGATGACAGAGGAATTCTCTGGCATGCTGTGGATAAGATAATCTACCTGGTTTGGATCCCTTTACAGGCTTAAAATAAATTTAAATCGAGTGCTGTATCAACTTTTTCCAACAGTTCTTTTTGTTGTAGCGTCAAGTAACTTATAGCAGGTGTATTCACTTGGATGGGGTGCTGATACCCATTTCTAATTCCTGAACGGAGAGGGGCACCGTAAGTGTGGAATATTTTACTCTAGAACACGGCGTAGTGACCCAGACGGGACTCAAACCAGCACCTTTCGAGTCCCGTTCGGTAATCATGGGGCCACCATCTTCCCGCACTAATATGACTGCTACTTTATTGTCATTAAAAGTTGAAAATTAGATTTTTGCCGACAATTTGACTTATCTCGCTTAGCAGCTATCTACTGGACTAACTGTGACAAAGCCCACGTAAATTGGTCGATGACAAAAAAGGTGTCGCTATGTTCATTTCGAAATTGTAGTTTGCTAACTAGCCGTTCATGCGGTGATTTCAAAGGGGGAGCTTATTGCTTCTGTTTCTCCCTGCTATTCAAATAATTACATATGGAGAAATGTTTAAATATTTCGCCTATAAGACACATATTTCTAAATGTATCTGAACAATTTTCACTAAAGAATATACCTATGAACTATATCAAGTTGCCAACACTTTACTAAGAGTCATCCATAGAGCGGGCGAAGATGTGAATGTTGCGACACCAAAATTGTTGAAAAGAAATCTCAATCTATGAAGCCCCTGTGAAATTGAAAGGCTTGTGTTGCCAGCGTCTCTACTGTCACGAAGTTCAACTCGTTTAACTTTGCACCCATGCTACTGACTGAAATAAATCTTTCAATTTAACGGAAAGTTAAAACGTCATCGATCCACGCGGGTTCTGTTGTACATAACTTGATGGTTTCGTTGATTTAACGGGAAAGAGTAATACGATGTTATCTCAAAGTCGCGAGTTCGAATTCCACAAAATCCCTGAATAGCTCACTTTATGAATACTTTGCACAGTCCTAGCAGTACGTGACATGACTCCGTTAAGTCTTTACACCCTAACATCAATATGTAAGTTCTCCATACTGCTCTATATATATATATATCCTATTGTACCCATAAGAAGAATTCGTTTAGTGATCAAAGCTTCATACCGGTGGGTGATCATTTCCTTTATTCTCATGATCTTAATGAATGATTCAGCAGTGTTACTGTAGGGAGATATCAGATTCTGGTCCCTCTTAGGGTTTAAGGGGTTAACACACATATAATCAATGAAATGGGCATATATGAAGCAAAAGTCTTTTCTCCTTCTGTCTATCTTCGTTTGAAGACTCTTCCTTTCATTCTTCCAGTATTTTTAATAACAAGTCAACAAAAAATAGATAGAGTTTACAGAATAGAATGAGGAAAGCAAAGCAAGACTGAATAGGTGTCACCTAACATCAAAAACAGTTCGCGGTTGCCAATCACCCTAAAGAAGTTTTTTTTCACTTTCTTTAATTTCAATTCGAAAGACTGAATGAAAATGTCCTTTACCAGGTCCTTGTCTGATACAAGCAAACCATTTTTCTTGTGTGCAGCTCTGAAATACTGGAAAGCCGCTGGTCAACATTTAAAAGATAAACTCTTGGCAGGATATGAGTTCCTCGTACAAATGCGGTTGAGGGAGCGACCTTAAGTGAGAGTCGAACTGATTAATTCGGAGAACCTCAACCGTTTATACCAAACGTAATTAATCTTCAAATTGGAGACGTGTTTCTCGAGTTCTTAAAAATCAAGAAGAGGCGTTCGCCTGTTTTGGTTTAAGATTTTTGCTCGGAGTCTGGAAAGCTTTGGACCACGACAATAACTGAGATTTAAATTGAAGAGAATCACATTTCTTTATGTGGATGAGTTTTTTTTGACAGTTAATGGGAACGGCTGTGTGTACAGAGATACCAGTAGTACTTAGAAACCGTTGTAGTTTTTTGGATGCGACACCAGCACAACCTGCTTCTACGCTACGCTGTTTACTGATGAGCAGCCTCGCGTAACATAAACATTTAAGTTAAAATTACTGAAAAGATACGCGGCGTTGTTGTGAAGAAACTGTTACAAATGTCATGCTTGGGTAGCGAAAACATAGGTTCAAAGCGATGAGGAGTCGAAACTCTTACTTTCCCTGGGTAGTTGGAGGCTTATTTATGTGTCTTCCAATACTACTCTATCTGGCGTCGAGAACAAAAGTGATTCATCAAAACAAAGACAAAGAGGGAGATGGAGATCACCACGCTTTTGATATCAAATACGTTGAATTTTTCTCTGTAAGGTAAGAACGTATCATGTTATTACAAAAGAGCAGAGATAGATACCTAGAAAATTAAAGCAAATGATCGGATCGTGTCAAGTAAATTGTTACGGGTCGTTCAGTCAAATCGTACGGGGCTGTCAACCGTAATATGTATCACCGTTTATAAGCAAAATCAGCCACAGATATAAGGTTTTTTGTTTGCGTGTGAATTCTAAAGTAGAAAAAAACTCATTGCAGGTCTACCACACATTATTCACTTGTCCCTTTATTGAAGCCTGAACACCTCTATTTGTGAAAAATTGCCCATCTGCTCGGAAATAGAGTTAGTGTCACAGATGATTTATTGACAAAAGAGGAACAAACGTAGTGGCCTATTGCAAGAAACGTTCAGCAATAATAAGTTTTCTTTTCGGTCCATTAGTCCGTTAAACAGGCACTGACGCCGGAAAGCGCGTGATCGAGGCACTGACGCCGGAAAGCACGTGATCGAATCATAAACAAGATGATATGACAAGTTGTCACATGGCAATGTTAGTTTACCTTGACCTATTTTCAATGTACTTGATATAGACCTTCACAGCTTGTTTACTTGGATAAGAAAGGCTATCGTTTAGCGCTGGACTCTTCAGAGGAATCCAACTACATTGAAGCAAAAAGCGGTGTAATTGACAAAACCAGTGAAAACTTCGACGCGGACAGTAATAATTCAAGTGACAGCTCACAGACGAGATCTGTGAGCAATGACAGTCTTATGAATATTTATGACGAAACCGATGCTAAAAGTGACGCTGAGCGAGACGAAAGTATTGACTACAACATGGGATGGGATGAGGTCCAGGAAGAACCCAAGAGGTAATAATTTAATCCATAGTCTGATAAAATAAAGGTTGATTTGGAGTAAGTCATTCCATAAACTTGTCCTAGGTCCCCAGTGGTCGCGGTACCTTAGTTAAGCAGAATTAAAGCCGACAAATTTATAAGATTAACTGAATTTTTTCAATTACCAAACCTATCTCCAGCTAGGAGCATGCATGGTTTGGCTCAATCATGCATGGCATAGATAAAACTATTTCGGCTATGGGGACTGCATTTGCATCTGAGCCAAGCGTGAAGAACGACTGAGACGATCCAGATCAAATCAGCCGTTCTCGATGTTTTTTTAGAAGGTAAACTCCATTTAAACTTATTAAATTCCATTAAATTAATGCAAAATACTGCAACTGAACAAGGCCGTAGTCTCTTCAGGTAGTGGCCATATTAGATTTTGCATGGAGCAATTTCTTGGAGCTACTCTTTGAACATCGATCTGTAAAGAGCATATGAGCTATGAGACACAAATTTACGACTGAACACTGGACACCGCATTTCGACTTTTAAAAACTTCTTCTCTGCTCATTTTTTTAGGATTCCCTGTGCCTTAAAGGGTCCATTCGTGAACTTAGTGCTTTTAAGGACTCACCGAACTGGGAGTGGAACACTTGCCAATATTTTGTACAGATATGGCGACTTGAACGACCTGGATTTTGCTCTTCCTAAACAGAAAAGCTACGATTTCTATTGGCCGCTACACTTTAATCCAAGCTACGTGGACAAAAAGTACCTTAATTCAACTGCTCCAAACTTACTCATTAATGCCAGATACAGCCCAGATACAATAGCATCCTTCATGCCAAAGGTAACTAATACTTGCCTGATACAGACTCAAATAATTATGCAGCCTTTGGGGAATAGTAGAGATAGAGGTTGACTCCTTTATGCGCCACTTTGCATTCCATAACAACGCTGAAAATGGGACTTCCATCCAGTCGTTGACGTTGACAAAACTAGTTGCTCTCTGAGTGATTTATTCTCCCACCACTCACCGATCTTGGCGTAAAATGACTTTCATTAGTCCAGCTTAAGACTGAATTATACACATCCATATGGGGCCTTTCGCTGAAGATATTTTCCTTATCACACAGCAGCTTTAAAAGAAGGTCATATTTCATACCTACGAGCTCTATCCCTTGTGCTTGTTTACTTGCTTGTTTGTTTGTTGTTAGTCGGTCTACTTGCCTTTCACTTTCTTTCTTATTGTATATCTATTTGTTTTGCTTTGGAGCTTGTTTTCTTGTTGTTTCGGTTGTTTCTTTGTTTGTCTTGCCTTTCACATTCTTTTATGGTATATCAAATTTCTTTCTTTTTTTTTTTTTTTTGGCTATTTTTTAATAAAATTTGGAATCTTTCTGAAGCCAACACACCAATCAGCGCCAGAATAAATTGTAAGAGCAGCCGTGTAAGTTTGAACCGTACTGGATTCAGTACAAAATTAAATTTGATTCCCATCTTCCCAACAGTCACTAACTCAATACATTGTTTCATTGACCCAATAACTATTCTTGCAGGACTCTTACTACATCGCAGTTATAAGGAAACCAACAGATCATTTTGAATCTGTCTTCTACGGATATCAAATTGATGATTTGCTCGGTATGAACAACTACAGCGACCCATTTGATGCATTTCTGACCAAACCCAAGCAGTATCTGTTACAGTATCTTCATCAGGAGCCACGATTTGATATCAACATTAACATGGTAAAAAATGGTAAGTGATAAGTCGAGACATGATCATAAATATTTATCTGAATGATTTTTCTGCTGGAGTTTTGATGAGCTATACGCACATTAAGATCAACGTTTGAAATAAGCAAACGGTTAACGCCAATTTTCTTCAATTCTTAACCACAGTGAGTACATTGCATTGTAAACTGTCGTTTAACTTGTCGAAGATTCCGTTGATTTCGCTGGGCTGGTCAAAGTATTCATGCGTTGCAAATTTTACACTAAGTTTTACTACTGCCTGATTTTTTCCTTCTTTAACGTCATTTATTTATATCTGTGTTTCTATAAGTGCTTTAAACAAAATGTGCCTATATACATCCGCATTAATTATGTATATAATGAAACCTAAACGTAATGTCCGCGCTCTCTTCAGGACAAATGTTCGACCTTGGCCTTCAGCACAAATATTACAATGATCCAGTGATGATAGAGAAGTACATTGGTGACCTGGCCGAGAAAATAGACTTAGTGCTTATCATGGAATATTTTGACGAATCTCTTGTTTTACTCAAAAGAGAACTCTGTTGGGATTTAGATGATGTTGTTTATTTCAAACTGAATCAAAGATCACCTGAGTACAAAGAAACAAACATAACAGATCAGCAAAAGGTAAGCAGTATTGCCTATTTCTGTACATTCTCATTATTCCATTTGTTTATCAGAGCACTTTTTTATTAAAACTTTTTAGAGAGCAACTGGAAACAGTTTCTTTCCACAATATCAAAAAGCACAAATTTAAATGAACTTGCTGAGAAGGAAATCTACGTTCATTTATATCGATCAGATTTTGTATGATAAGTGGAATAACATGTATGAACACAATTTGAATGATTCTTATTTACTCAAGATCCATTGAAGGATAGAAGCATAAACAGCGTCGCCATTGACAGAATTTTTTTATGAAAAAAAAAATGAAACAAACTTTAAGTTGCCGTTGGTCTGTACAAAAATAGATCACTGAAGACGTAAAATTTGTTAAAGGAATATCTGAGCACCACACTCGGCTGCGCCAAGAGAATAATAATAATCTCTTGACTGCGCCTTGCGTGCCCCTTTTTTCGTTATTACCACATTTTGACGCCATCGACAAAATATCACAGAACAGACATAGATAAACATCACTGAAGGTAACATGGAATCTACTTGCTAAATACTGACCAGGCACGATTCCTTTTTGCTTTACTCTTCTTTCAGATGCAAATCAGTGAATGGAATAATGCCGATGCTGCGTTATACGACTTTTTCAACAAAACTTTCTGGAATAAAATTTCTGCGCAAGACCAAACCTTTTATCAAGAAGTTACAAAGCTACGTAACAAAGTGAATAGTCTCGAGAAGGAATGTATTCACACACTGGAAACAAACCGTGATACGGGAGAAATGGAAATCAAACTAAATGAACACAGCATTCCAAACATGAACAAATATTTATGTGAGAAAATGACTCTGAAAGAGGAGAGTTATATTTCATATCTAAGGAAGAAATATAATCTGAAGCTCAAAGAAGACAGCGAGCGTTTAAGAAACTGGTTTTATGAAAAGTTGAATAAGACAAGACTTGAAGATTCACAATTACTTGGCTTGTAAATAATGCTGTTACTTAGTATCGCAATATCGCCTTAAATATTTCGTAAATGTATTGAAGAGTTTTTTTTGTGACGTGTATGAAGAAAAGGAAATATTTTGATATTCGGAGAAACCAGCCCGACTACACTACGCATGATGGCTTTCTTTTACCTGGGAGCCTGTTTACTGAATCCAACTCCCATTACACTCTTCAGACTAAATATATTGAAAGTAATCTAACTAACGGTAGGCAGCCTGAACACTTTTTTGTATTATAATCATGCAATAGGTTTGTACATATATTAAACATCATACAAAACGAATATGAAATGTAGTATATATTTGTCGACGGTTTTTTCACCCACTCAAGCAAAAATACTGTTCAAATGACTAGAATAATCGGCGGTGAGAACCAAAAACAAAATAGCGAATGTGCCCGACGGCTTTAGCCTCATTATTCGCCTGAAAAGCACGTTTCTAGGAAAGGCTTTTAAGAAAGCGAAAATGCTCTTCTTCGACTTAGAAGGTAAACTGGTGGAATTTATATTTGTTTCTTTTTTTTAATTTTCAATTGGATTAGCTTAAACATTAAACATCCTAAGTTTCTGTTTCATGAAGTGAGTATATCCTAAAATTTCCATTTAGACCAAACGGATTGTCTGAGAAACAGAGTACTGAAAATTTCTTCGCTTTCTTACAAGCCTTGAGTGCATAACAAGTCACGATTTGATTTAAAGGATAAGCACGACTGGGTCCATTGTCTGATTTGATTCTTGGACCGTGATTATTGCTAAAAATGGAATTTTAAGATCTCAAATGCATTAATTCAAAGTTTTTGGACCGTGAATTATCAATCAAAACTCCGGAAAGGATAATTTCAGTATGATACTCGGATTGAATGCTGCAGGGAATCAAGGGTAAGTGGTGTGCTGTTAAAATGAAGGTGGATGTTTAATCATTGTCTCTGACCAATAGGCGTTAGCTTTTAATGAAAGCGACGTGGGAGTTAAAGAAGAGGTGTTTTTATAACCCCCTATTGTACTAAATCCAAGCCGTAGTTCCGAAGGCCATCTATTCTTTTCCCCATTACTTTTTCGGTCAAGAACTGTATGGCTGGCTGGCTCATACAAGTCATAAAAAGCTACTGTCATTATTTGATTAATTCCCACTAATTTCGCAAGTATTGTACACCATTTTGGATAAAACCTTGAAAAAAGTACACCGATCACCATGTCCACGCGCCCGAGCACTGGTAGGTCAAGACAAATTGTAATCACAGAACGCATAGTGTCTAGTTTGTTTCAACTTGTAAATGTATTTCTTTCATGTCAGACACTGAGGAAAGTCTTTACCAACAGGATTTTCTCCCTGATTATCTTTACATTCATTTTTGAATCATAAACGATTTGTAGTTGTAAGGCTAGTTGTCAGGAGTAGAGAGTTAAACCAAGGATAAAAGCATCCAGGTCCCCAAATGCATCAATAATTATTTAAATAACTTGGTTGATAATGTAAATTGGCCATGGCTATCCGACCGTAGCCAGTTTGGACAACTAAGATTTCCAGCGTCACCCATTCGTCGGAGCGAAGGGCTAACGCTCGAAACCCCAGTCGTAGAAACTCTCTACGGTTGAGTGACCAATTTCCGTTATCGATCCAGTTGATAAACCAAGTTATCTAACGTAGTTTTTTACTCCTAGGAGGGTCTCAATGGGGTTAACTGTCAGGCGTAAAAATTGATAAGACGGTTGGTCGTAAATAAAGTTAACTATAAAAAATAAAAAGAACTGGTGAAAACAATCAAAAGATATAGAGAAAGATGTTTTTCGTCTTATCACGAGCGTGGGACAAAGAAAAATTCTGAGTCCCCATGAGGAATCGACCCTAACACCTCCGATGAGGTCTATTACGAAGGTCATATGACACTCGTCCTGCATACTGCTAGGATCAGCAATGTCGATAGCGTCATGTTTGTAAATAGAATAAGAGAGATAGTAAGTTTTGGGCTCGGTAAAGAAATAGCTATAAATCGGCCAAAATTTTAACCTTAAGCCGTAAGAGCCATCACCCCAATAGATATTGCAAATATCTGATCTTTCGTCGATCGATCTTAAATAAATAAGTTTTTTTAGAGACCGAACGTTACGTGGGCTGTTATTTTATCGTGTTTCGTTCTTGCGTATAATCTACAGTACATGAAGAGAGATTGATTCAGTTTTTGTTTGGTTATTCATTTCATGATGTTGTTGCTGTTTGTTTGTTTTAACCAAATTAGCTTTTGTCTTTGTTTCTTAAAGATTTGATGGCCTCTCAAGGTGTGAGCAATTGTCGCCTTCCAAAACAGACAGGATTCTGCAGAGGACGTTTCCCACGATTTTATTACAATGCGGTCGCTGCGAAGGATTCATCTATGGTGGTTGCGGTGGAAATGGAAATAATTTCAAAACATTGAAAGAATGCCAACAAACGTGTAAGTGTCCTGAGTTTAGAACAACTTGAAATTAGTTTTTGAATTTGTGATTTCTTTGGAAATACAACTAAAACTTATTTCAAAGTCTCTGAAACTTATTGACAAATATCAAAATCCTACATGTAAGTCGTATCGCTGAGCGGTTTATTTACATTGATTGTTGAATTTGGAGATTTTGGGCTCAAATTAATCGTAGAAAAAAGGGGGGAATGTAAAAGAAACTGACCATGCAACTTGTCCTTGCGTTGTCAATTGAATATAATCGTATAACCATATAATTCTTGACGAGTTATTTTCTCTCCACATCGTGATTCGATTCGTAGATGTGATCAGGTTCCTGTGCGCTACCATTATCAGATATATATTATAAGTGCCCTAGCTCGTGTGAAAACTTGGAATAAGTTTGCTAAGTTTTAGGGTCTTATGCCTCCATAAAGAGCTATACTCAATCTCAAGCTTGGAAAAGCAATATATCGGCCTGAGTCTATTTTTGTTCTTTAATATAGCTCAGTTAACTGAGCATCTGACGGGAAAAAAATTAACTGGGGCTCGAATCCTGACAATAGGAATCGGAATGGGATGGGACGGGAGGCTGGTGAAACATTGATCAACATCTGTCTTCATTTCTGGCTCTGTGCAGAGAATAGAGAGAAAACTCTCTGCTGTTTTTTTTTCCAAGGTATATGTCCCCTTCCACCTCAGACAGGACACTGCAGAGGATACTTTCCGAGATACCACTTTGATGAGGCCAGCGGTCAGTGTAAGAAGTTCATCTACGGTGGTTGCGGAGGAAATGAAAATAATTTTAAAACTTTGAAAGAATGCCAACAAACTTGTAAGTTTCTTGGATTCAAAAAAATATAGGTCTAGATGTATTTGTATATCTAAGCCATCTTGACGTAGATATTGAAGGGACGCAAAATTGCTTTGTGAGTGATGCAAGATAGATACACTTATCAGTTAAACAAGCTGGCGAGTTATATCAGTTGTTACAACTTGAATCGAAATGTGTGAAGGCCCTTGTGTGCTGACAGGATGAAGGTATTAAACTAGAGAGAGGAACTTTGAAAGAATGCCAACAAACTTGTAAGTTTCTTGGATTTAAAAAAAAGATAGGTTTAGATATGTCTTTATATCTAAGTCATCTTGATTTAGATATTGAAGGGACACAAAATTGCTTTGTGAGAAATGCACGATAGATACACTTATCAGTTAAACAAGCTGGCGAGTTATATCAATTGTCACACCTTGGATTGAAATGTGTGAAGGCCCCTGTATGCTGACAGGATGAAGGTATTAAACTAGAGTGAGGAAATTTGGAAAAAAAGGTTATAGATCTTGAGCTTTGCTTTTGCTAGCGGGTAACGTAGGAAAATCACTAGTGGCACGGAGTGCTCTAAGGAGCCCTTGAGATTTAGTTCTTGTCTTGCTTTTGTTTAAGGTGGGGCGAAGTAACGAGATAACGCCCAAATGGAAAACGGTTTTGACAGGAAATGCAGTGAGTTAAATTAAAGATTTGTTTTTACCTTGTATGTCTATGTTCGCCTATTAGCTGTTTATGAACCCATAGTGAACGGAAGCCGGGGAACGATAACCACAGTGAGATTTAGGAGTTTAATTTTTCTATCATCAAGTTTTCAGTAGCCGGTTGGATTAATAATTAATAACTTTAGTGAAAATAATTTTAGCATCGAAGCTCAATCTCATGCATTTATGTTGGCTTTGCTATCGCTATGCAACTCACAAACTGTTCTCGCATATCAACCGTTCAGGAAACTAATTTGAATCCCTTTTACTTAACAATTGGTTTCTGAAAAATAACAACAAAAATAACATAAATCTTACAGTGATTTAAAATGGCAATAAGCAAAGTAAATGAAAATCGAAAGGAGAAAGGTCAGCAATAACGTACTTTACAGTAACGATACATGTACAGTACGAAAACTCGTCAATAAACCGACACAGGGACATTGTTGGAAAACTGACTAATTGGGCTCGAAAACTTTATTAAAAGACTGATACCGTGCGAAGATTGGAACTATTGTCATAGTTAAACCTGCTGAAAGACGTTGCAACAACATGTTCATAAAGAAGCACGTACCCCTTCATTTGCGCATGGAAAACTTCTTAAAAGTGAATTTGACGTGAATTCCTCGATAGCGAGGAAGACTTTGAAGGTTCTTTTTCCAAAAATGATAGCGCAAACCAATTTGTTTGCGTTTCTTGTGAAAATTAGAGGAGTAATTTTCGTTTAATAACATAACCTTCTTAAGTTTCGTCAATTTGATCAACATCATTGGATTTTGTCATTTGAGTGAGAGAAGATTGAGCTAATATTGAACAGTTTTGTTTATTTGCAGAGTCTTCCGATTAATTTGCCTGCCACACTTCAGTTGCTCAGTTCCAAAAGAAGTTCTTCACAGCATCATAACGTTAGAATAAATGTTTTTTGAAGCTTTTGCTGACTCCCATGACAGTATGATATTCTTCGTACTTGATCTTGTATTTGGTCAGCTGAGTGCTCTATTTTTTAGCTTTTTCTTAATGAATCGCTACAGCATTGTAATGTAGAGCAGTTACCGATTATTGAAATAAAGAGGAAAAACATAATTATTCAGCATGCACAATTTACATTTCTGAATTTGACTTCTTTTCACTTAATATTGTAAGTGGGAGACGCGGTGCCCCAGTTCTGACCGCGTTAGGCTCTGGATCGAGAGCTCTGGGAAGGATCTCAGGTATGCCTTCTCCGCCGACTCATGCCTCTCACTGCCACACTCCACTCATGGAAATCAATGAGTACCACCAGGCTTTCGGGGAAACTTATCGAAATGAATCGGACACCTGACCATGAGGAGTGGCAACACTCACTTTATGGTAGAAAAACCCGACAGAATTTTTATCCTTAAACCCCGAAGAGTGACCAGCGTCTAATTTCTCCTTACAATGTTACCCCCAAATCACACATTGAGGTCATGAGAATCAAGGAAATGGTCACCAACCAGAGTAGCTGCGGATTATGAAACAAGTTCTCCTCATCAGCTCTTAAGGGGATGTATACGGAAAAGTATGGAGAATATGTATACTGATGTTAGAGTAGAAAGGGTTAAGCGGCGTTACGTGTTACAGTAGGTTGATACATAAACTAAGTCTCTGCAACAGCTCGGCGAAATTTCGTCTCCGTAAAGATTTTCAAAATTAATGATCAAAGTTTTTAAGAAGTTTTCAAGCATCAGAGGCTTTGACAACCAGCAAGGCGTGTTACAATCAAAACATGACGAATAAGGAGGGTAAGTTTCTAAAGAAACTGTGGTGCTGCGTCGGTTGGGAGTACAACAAAATAATTTGGTTGAGTTTCTAAAACTGACGTTTTGAGGGTTAGGCCTTTGTCAGAGAGAAACTGGATACGAGTTCATCATAGCGTCACAAAGTTATTCCTCATCGGAGGTAGCTCAATCTCGTATGTGGGCTCCCGTAAGTATCTAAATATGGCTATGTTCTGCAAAAGGAGAAACCGCAAGAGCTTATTTGGGGGCAAACAGTCTCATTTTAAAATTCAACCCAAAACTCTGAACTAGTTTTGAATTTAAAAAAAAAATGGGCCTCGTTTTTGTGTTGGTTCATTTGAATCTTGTACTTTTAAAAGGCTGAGGTATCGTATGACCACTTAGCTCTTTTTAGTTCCTGTGATTTTCATCCCAGAGGAGCATTGTATTGGGAAGGAAAAACTTCTCTAAAAGATTAAGATTGTGAGTATTACACATTTCTCTGGGTCATGTCCTGCCTCCGAGAGGTAAATTCGGGTATGAGAATGACTTTTAGAGAAACATCCTCGTCAATAACCCCAAATTGATGGGAATTTCACACGATGAGAATTAAACTGATAATCAGATTATTTTTTAAATTCATTTCAGATTAGAAACTTTATTGCGACGTTACAACAAGCTTGACTTAAGGCTACAAATTTCAAAGCATTCTTGATGATTTAACAACAGGTGAAAAAAACGCCTATATAACTAATTGTGCTAAGTTTTGAAAGGTCAGTATTTAAGTTACTTGATTTTGATGTAAGAGAAGCGAAATCATCCTCTGGGCTCCTAACGTACACGCATGGTGCCAGTTACACTATAGGAGAAGGATCTACAATGATGTAAAACAAAAAATGTTGTTAGATCATGATTTCAAGTTTCCCGAAAAGATAACTGATCTCACTTGTGAATGTATGCTGGGAGAAGTTTGATTAGTTGCTTTAACGACTTTATGCTCTTATAAAAATACATTCCTTCTAAAAAAATTCCAAAAAAACATACCAACCCCATGCTGCTATGAATCTCTTCATAATTCTAACGTAGATGTTGTCAAATTGTGCATCATTTACGAGAAAAAAATGATCTTTGTTTATGGCAGACACGCACTATTATAACTCGTCAACTTGTGCAAGGTAAACGTGTGTTTTATGATGAATCCATCAGGGTAAAGGCATAACAATGGTTTTCACTTATTATAACATTATTATGGTTTGTCACTCAAGAAGCCTTTCCCGGAAGTTCTTTTACTTTTGCGAGTAATTTACGTCCAAAAATGATTAGACAAAAATTTATAAACTTACATACACAAACGCTCCTGCACTCCTTAAGTTTCTTGAAATTGTTCTGGTTACCGCGACATCCACCAAAATAAAACTTCTTACATCTTTTAGTGCTCTTGTTGTAAAAATATCGAGGGATCCGGGCCCTGCATGGTCCTACTTTTTTCGGCCGGTGGCAAATTGACTTTGGTTTAACAGCTGAACAAACAAAATGACAACAAAATCTACATGTACCATGGCGAGGCTAACAAACGCAAGGCAAAATTAATTATGGCTTTCTATTGAAATGCATTATTTTGGCCTTCATATTACCTATTTTTTATTTTTTTTTTTGTACGTGTGGCTTGTACCGATTATAACAGTTATTATATTGAGGCTCATTTAAGAACGGTTTTCGTACAACCAGACAATGACCTGCAAGCAATCATTCGCTCTGAAGAGGGGCTATCGCTCGAAACGTCAGCTTTGAAACTCTTTACGGTGGCAAATTTACATTATTAACTATGTTGACGATACCAAAATTATCTTGAATTACTTCAGTTACAAGGGCAGGTTTTGTCACACTGTCGAATTCTTTTAAAGTTGTTTACGTTTCCCATGCAACCTCCGTAATAGAACGTTTCGCATTTTTCGGTGCGGTGGTTGTAGTAATATCTACTGATATTGGCTTTACACGGTCCAGTTTCCTTAGGGAAAAAGCTTGTACCTTGAATGGACAGAAAAAAAAAGATAGATTACTAAATAAATGCTAGCATCGCCAAAACTTCCACCTAGATTGCTTCATTTAAACCTCCGTTAATGCTCCCGTCATGCATGTAACCGCTACAAATATACAGCTCGCGTCGAAATAGGGATTTTCTTGATCACTTGCATCTTTTCTCACATTCCTGCTTTGTGAGAAACTTATTTCCGTTTCCCTGGCAACCACCCTAGAGAACCTCTTGCACTGACCGCTGGCCTTATCAAAGTAATATCAGGTAATTTAGTGTTAACAACTGAGTTGAAGGCGTAAATTAGCCACCGTAAAGGGTAAAAAAGCTGACGTTTCGAGCGTTAGCTCTTCGTCAGAGCGATTGACGAAGGACTAACGCTCGAAACGTAAGCTTTTTTTACCCTTTACGGTGGCTAATTTACGTTTTCAACTCAGTTGTTAACACTAAATTACCTGCTATACTCTCCCACCGACGCAGCACCACAGTTTCTTTAGAAACTTAACCCTTTATTCACTTATCAAAGTAATATCGTTAGAAATACGCTTTGCAGAAGCCTGGTTCCTTAGGAAGAAGGCAATCTTCCGTTTTTCCGGTTTGACCGTACCCTTTGAAAAAGAATCATACATTTGGCATTATATCAATTCACTGCGTGTTCAAGTTATTTAACGTCAAATTTGTTATTACCGCAGATAATTAATTGAGTAGCCAATCAGAGCGCGCCCTCCGCGACGTTATTCACTCTCTTAGTATTTACCAATAACCACTGTAGTTTGGAACGTTCGAAGCCGTAGTTTCTAACGGTAGGCCCGAGAGGGCATGCTGGCCAAATGACCTTGGAAGACTAATTAATTGTTGTCTAAATAAAACAACTCAAACACTTCCATAGATATCTCACAAAAGAGCAACAACGAACTACATGCTTCCGATCAACCGAATCAATGTTCAGTTAATGAACCTATCATAGTTAGGACTGACTAGCATGAGCCATAACGATACTTTCATGGCACTTTCACGTAACTAATAATTGTCTTAAAAATCTAAGATAAACACCTCGATTGAGACATTCTACTTTGACATTGTGCTCATAATTACCACTTAGCATGCCTAATATGCATAAAACATCCGGCTCACTGAGGTCTCTGATTAAAATATCATTCGATTAAATAATTTTTAAGAAAACAGCCATTCGTTCCCACGCATCACATCACGGGCCATTGCGGCACTCATATTAAATGTAATCCGTAAGCATACATTGAAATGTTCCATTTTTTCTGAGAAAACAAACTATTGAAAATTTCTTCGCTTTCTTACAAGCCGTGCGTGTATAACAAGTCACGATTTGATTTAAAGGATAAGCAGGACTGGGTCCATTGTCTTGCCATTGATTTGATTCTTGGAACGTGATTATTGTTAAAACATGGAATTTTAAGATCTCAAATGCATTAATTCAAAGTTTTTGGACCGTGAATTATCAATCAAAACTCCGGAAAGGATAATTTCAGTATGATACTCGGATTGAATGCTGCAGGGAATCAAGGGTAGGTGGTGTGCTGTTAAAATGAAGGTGGATGTTTAATCATTGTCTCTGACCAATAGACTTTGGCTTTTAATGAAAGCGACGTGGGAGTTAAAGAAGAGGTGTTTTTATAACCCCTGTCGCACTAAACCAAAGCTATCGTACTAAATCCATTGCTACTGCGATGCAATTGGTGTTACCCTTGATAACAAACAGCGGTACGCGGTAAATATCAAATTCAGAACAATATTGTGTTTAGACATGTGTGGGCTTTACTTCGTTTCAAACATGGCAGTGGGTGTCGGTTTCAGTGAAATTAGCATGAGGGTTGAATTAGGTGTTACCAGTTAACACTCCACCTTCTCTTTTACTTAAACGCGACTCGAGGTGCCAGTGCGCTCGAGTAAATCGTAGTTTAGAACCAGCGATTATGAAAATATGAACTCTGGATCGGCAAGTGTTGATCACGCATGATAGAGGCACCAGGCATGGAAATTACTGCTGTTATGTCATCCTTTCCTCAACATAGCAATCACTACGCGCAGTAAAAACCTTTAACAACCAAAAGTAATTAAAGGAGGACACTTGAAACAAAAGAAAGGGAAAAGGCCAATTCTGCCCTCAGCTGTAGAATGCGAATGATCACCAAATGGTAACAAAGCGTAATTATCGTCTCAGTTGGCGAAGTTCAAGGTAATAAGCAACGAAAACGGAGACAGGCGGAATGCTGTAAACATTCCGCACTGGTCTACTGAAATTGATTTCAAGTTTGCGGCGCAAAGCACGATATAAAATACCAATTGAACCTCGAATGTCTAAAGAGCAATAATCTTAGTTTAAGGTGCTGGAATAGCTACCCAATGATCTCTCTCTGACCTGTGTTTGGGCAAGGATTTCAGCTAAAAAAGGAGCAAGGCCTCGATGTAATAACCCATGGCCGCGTGTGGTAAAAGGAAAGAATTAAAAGAATTAATGTTTTACATCCTTTCAATTCAGTTAATTGCACTCAGACACTTTTTATCCTGTGGATTCACCTTCATTGCATCAGAACATCGACGCTTTTCAAAGAGAGCACATTCAAGTTACTTCATAAGATCAGACTGTCTAATCAAAGGTAAAATTTGTTCAGGTTATATGCTTCAGCGTTCGTTTAGAACATGACGAGCTCGAGAAGTTGTAGTTTTGCTCCATTTAGCTTATTTCATTTCATTTCATTTCTACAGAAAAGACCAGACGAAATGAAGTCAGCCATACTTTCAGTTGCTTTGCTGCTCCTCTTGAATTTGGGTATAAGAGCAGTTGATAATAATTTTTCTAACTTAACTTTCTGTGAACATATTTATCTGTGATGCTTGGGTGCCATTAGGTAAATGATAACTTGATCTTTGCTGTTTTTGGACTAAGACTGTTAGGATATGATGATAATGCATTTCTATAGCGCATTCTCCAGATTCATATGCTCTTATACGCTTCGCAACACTTTGCGGAGGAAAGTTTCGCCAGACTGCGTTGAGCTGTTTACAATTCTCGGAAGGAAATTTGCCGGCGCCCTCAATGTTTTGAATGTTGTTTTCGAAAACAAGGTCACACCATAACACCCGCGTTCCCTACTCTTAGTAAGAATTGCGTGGGTCATTTAACTTGCCCTGCTTACCAGTACAGACAAGATGTTGGAGACGGAGCCTACGGATTTATACAAACTAAAAAAAATTCACTGAGTAGTACCAATTTGCAAGGTTAGCATATTGCATCGATTTCTTGATCGAATACGGTGCTAAATGCTAAGATTCGCTTAGAATTCCAGATTGAAAAACGGGCTGCTTAACTAGTTTATAATGTGATGTATTTACTCTGCCGTAAACGGGCCAGAATCAGAAATTCGGGGTGGTTTTTCCTCTACAGGAAAGTGCACAATAGGCGCTACGTGGCAGTTTTTAATTGGCGTGAGCGGACGAAAAAAACATACTTTTCTGAAAAAAAAAACCTGTGAACGTCACTGCCACATATCTTTAATTTCAGTCAGTCGAAAAACTTTCGGTCCATAAAATCCCTTCTGTGGTATATCGTTCCGAGGCAGAAAACTTCAGAGGTTTGTTACCAGATGTGAGCGGGAGAAAGCCTTGTAAACAAACATCATCGTCTTCAAATGCAAATATTTATTGGCCGACTGTGAGGCGAAACTTACGTAAGAATGGACAAAAGGGGAATTTGGCTCGTGCAGGCAGAGAAAGATTTGAATCACAGCGTTAAAATTTGATGAATTTTGTAACCAGAAATTTGATAACCGTAGGATTCTATTTAATACTGGCTTTGTAAAACGCCCGAGGTACGCGTTTATTATTCTACGGAGTTGGATCGTTACCATCATTCTGGATTTCTCCGTGACTCAAGCCACCTCACAAAGTGACTTCTTCCTTATCTGCTGACTTTGCCGCGGTAGTTACGTTAGTCCCCGCATTTCATCAAGCGATTTTTGTATTTCCAATTTGTCATGGCATCAACTTGTTCCAAAGTCTTAATCTCCATAACTCTCCATGTTAAGTAAACAATGAAAAGCACTCAACAGCGACTTTGCTGACAACGGCCAGAATATAGGCTCCGTGTAGCTTCTTGTTTCAGCCCGGTTTTTTCCGTGCGGAAATGGAAAGCCCCCCACTAATATTTATATCCTCGAAAACAAAATTATTAAATTAACTTGCACTAATTATGAGTAACACCACATAGGGAAATTGTTAATTTAACATTTTCTGCGAAAAGCTATACTTTAATTTTGAAATGTTGGCGATTTTCAGAAACGTACTGTGAGCTCAAATTGAATTGAAATGGTTCAATTTTTGATAACTTGTATCCCTCTGATACAAATTCATTAAATTGTTTTGAGCTTGCTTCCTTTTGCGCTTTTCATAGGCAAAGTTCATTTACCTCTACTCGGAGCACTTATTTCCGGCATTATAAACAGCTCGTTTCAGTTTTTGTGAATTTTCTAGATATCAGAAGCAAATCCGACCAATTTTTTGGTCGATGTACCACCTCTCTTGCGGTATTGAGAAAAGTCGGTCTTCACACGTGGAGAAAAGAGAAAGCTTCCTCAAAGCACCTCAAAGGAACTCGGACTGATAAACAGTTTGGTCTTTTAAGAAAACTTTTCGACTCATTTGTTTCCGCTTGCTCATAAAAGTCATAAAAGCTACTACCTTTACTTGATTAATTCCCACAAATTTCGCAAGCATTGTGCACCATTTTGAACAAAACATTGCAAAAAGTACACCGATTACGATGTCCACGCGCCCGAGCACTGGTAGGTCAAGACAAATTGCAATCACATAAAACACAGTATTTACTTTGTTTCAGCTTGCGGATTTATTTCATTCATGTCAGACACTGAGGAAAGTCATTACCAACAGGATTTTCCCCCTGATTATCTTTACATTCATTTGTGAATCATAAACGATTTGTAGTTTTAAGGCTAGTTGTCAGCAGTAGAGAGTTAAACTAAGGATAAAAGCATCCAGGTCCCCAAATGCATCAATAATTATTTAAATAACTTGGTTGATAATGTAAATTGGCCATGGCTATCCGACCGTGGCTAGTTTGGAAAACTGAGGTTTCGAGCGTAAGCCCTTCGTCGGAGCGAAGGGCTGACGCCAATTTCCGTTATCGATCCAGTTGATAAACCAAGTTATCTATCGTAGTTTTTTTTAATGTCGGCACTCCTAAGAGATTGATTCAGTTTTTGTTTTTTGTTTATTCATTTTATGATTTTGTTGCTGTTTGTTTGTTTGTTTTAACCAAATTAGCTTTTGTCTTTTTTTCTTAAAGATTTTATGACCTCTCATGGTGTGAGCGATTGTCTCCTTCCAAAAGTGACAGGACTTTGCAGAGCACGTTTCCCGCGATTTTATTTCAATGAGGCCAAAGGTCGCTGCGAAGGATTCACCTTTGGTGGTTGCGGTGGAAATGGAAATAATTTCAAAACATCGAAAGAATGCAAACAAACGTGTAAGTGTCCTGAGTTGAAAACAACTTTGAAAACTTATTTCAAAGTCTCTGAAACTTATTGACAAATATCAAAATCTTACATATAAGTCGTATCGCTAAGCGGTTCATTGATTATTCAATTTGGAGATTTTGGGCTCAAATTATTCATAGAGAAAAGGGGGGAATGTAAAAGAAACTGAACATGCAAATTGTCCTTGCGTTGTCAATTGAATATAATCGTATAATCATGTAATTCTTAACGAGTTATTTTCTCTGCACATCATGATTCCATTCGTAGATGTGATCAGGTCCCTGTACGCTACCATGATCAGATATATCATAAGTGCCCTAGCTTGTGTGAAAACTCAGAATATTAAAGAGCTGTATTCAATCCCAAGCTGGGAAGAGCAATATATCGGCCTGAGTCTGTCTGTGTCCTCAAAATTATAGCTCAGTTGACTAAGCATCTGACTAGAAAAAAGTAACTGGGGCTCGAATCCTGACAATAGGAATCGGAATGGGATGGGACGGGAGGCTGGTGAAGCATTGATCAACATCTGTCTTCATTTCTGGCTCTGTGCAGAGAATAGAGAGAAAACTCTCTGCTGTTTTTTTTTTCCAAGGTATATGTCCCCTTCCACCTCAGACAGGACACTGCAGAGGATACTTTCCGAGATACCACTTTGATGAGGCCAGCGGTCAGTGTGAGAAGTTCATCTACGGTGGTTGCGGAGGAAATGAAAATAATTTTAAAACTTTGAAAGAATGCCAACAAACTTGTAAGTTTCTTGGATTTAAAAAAAGATAGGTCTAGATATGTCTTTATATCTAAGTCATCTTGAATTAAATATTGAAGGAACACAAAATTGCTTTGTGAGTAATGCACAATAGATACACTTATCAGTTAAACAAGCTGGCGAGTTATATCAATTGTCACACCTTGGATTGAAATGTGTGAAGGCCCCTGTATGCTGACAGGATGAAGGTATTAAACTAGAGTGAGAAAATTCGGGAAAAATTGTATACATTCTGAGCTTTGCCATTGCTATCGGGTAACGTGGGAAAATCACTAGTGGCACGGAGTGCTATAAGGAGCCCTTGAGATTTAGTTCTTGTCTTGCTTTTCTTTAAGGTGGGGCGAAGTAACGAGATATTGCCCAAATGGAAAACGGTTTTGACAGGAAATGCAGTAAGTTAAATTAAAGATTTATTTTTACCTTGTACCTCCATGTTCGCCTATCAGCTGTTTATGAACCCATAGTGAATGGAAGTCTGAGAACGATAACTACAATGAGATTCTGGAGTTAATTTTTCTATCATCAAGTTTTCAGTAGCCGGTTGGATTAATAATTAATAACTTTAATGAAAATAATTTTAGCACCGAACTAAATTTCATGCATTTACGCCGGCTTTGCTATCGCTATGAAACTCGCAAACTGTCCTCGCATATCAACTGTTCAGGAACCCGGGTCCTTTTTTACAAGCTTCACCGCTTGAAATTGGTATTCCTTCAATTATGAAACTAATTTTAATCCCTTTGTTAGTAAGGTAGTGGAAAATCTTCCTTTATCGATAAAGCCTTGTTCGCTCATGGCGCATGACACTCGATGATCCTAAGTTACTTCTCTCTGAAAAGAGCGTGGTATTCCATTTTGATTTTCTACACATCACTGGTACAACGAACGCACCGATAGATTTTCAGCAAATCATTTATCATTTACTCATTCTTTACTTAACAATTGGTTTCTGAAAAATAACAACAAAAATAACATAAATCTTACAGTGATTTAAAATGGCAATAAGCAAAGTAAATGAAAATCGAACGGAGAAAGGTCAGCAATAACGTACTTTACAGTAACGATACATGTACAGTACGAAAACTCGTCAATAAACCGACACAGGGACATTGTTGGAAAACTGACTAATTGGGCTCGAAAACTTTATTAAAAGACTGATACCGTGCGAAGATTGGAACTATTGTCATAGTTAAACCTGCTGAAAGACGTTGCAACAACATGTTCATAAAGAAGCACGTACCCCTTCATTTGCGCATGGAAAACTTCTTAAAAGTGAATTTGACGTGAATTCCTCGATAGTGAGGAAGACTTTGAAGGTTCTTTTTCCAAAAATGATAGCGCAAACCAATTTGTTTACGTTTCTTGTGAAAATTAGAGGAGTAATTTTCGTTTAATAACATAACCTTCTTAAGTTTCGTCAATTTGATCAACATCATTGTCATTTTTGTCATTTGAGCGAGAGAAGATTGAGTTAATATTGAACAATTTTGTTTATTTGCAGAGTCTTCCGATTAATTTGCCCGCCACATTTCAGTTGCTCGGTTCCAAAAGAAGTTCTTCACAGCATCATAACGTTAGAATAAATGTTTTTTGAAGCTTTTGCTGACTCCCATGACAGTATGATATTCTTCGTACTTGATCTTGTATTTGGTCAGTTGAGTCCTCTATTTTTCAGCTTTTTCTTAATGAATCGCTACAGCATTGTAATGTAGAGCAGTTACCGATTATTGAAATAAAGAGGAAAAACATAATTATTCAGCATGCACAATTCACTATCTGAATTTGACTTCTTTTCACTTGATATTGTAAGTGGGAGACGCGGTGCCCCAGTTCTGACCGCGTTAGGCTCTGGATCGAGAGCTCTGGGAAGGATCTCAGGTATGCTTTCTCCGCCGACTCATGCCTCTCACTGCCACACTCCACTCATGGAAATCAGTGAGTACCACCAGGCTTTTGGGGAAACTTATCGAAATGAATCGGACTCCTGACCATGAGGAGTGGCAACACCCACTTTATGGTAGAGAAACCCGACAGAATTTTTACCCTTTAACCCCTAAGAGTGACCAGCGTCTAATTTCTCCTTACAATATTACCCCAAATCACACATTGAGGTCATGAGAATCAAGGAAATGGTCACCAACCAGAGTAGCTGCGGATTATGAAACAAGTTCTCCTCATCAGCACCTAATAGGTTATATACGGAACAGTATGGAGAATATGCATACTGATGTTAGAGTAGAAAGGGTTAAGCGGCGTTACGTGTTACAGCAGGTCTACGTATAAACTGAGTCTCTGCAACAGCTCGGCTAAATTTCGTCTCCATAAAGATTTTCAAATTAATGATCAAAGTTTTTAAAAAGTTTTCAAGCATCAGAGGCTTTAAAGGATAATTTTTTTAGCAACCAGCAAGGCGTGTTACAATCAAAATATGACGAATAAGGAGGGTAAGTTTCTAAAGAAACTGTGGTGCTGTGTCGGTTGGGAGTACAACAAAACAATTTGGTTGAGTTCTAAAACTGATATTTTGAGGGTTAGCCCTTTGTCAGAGAGAAACTGGATACGAGTTCACCATAACGTCACAAAGTTATTCCTCATCGGAGGTAGCTCAATCTCGTATGTGGGCTCCCGTAAGTATCTAAATATGGTTATGTTGTGCAAAAGGAAAAACCGCAAGAGTTAATTTGGGGGCAAACAGTCTCATTTTAAAATTCAACCCAAAACTCTGAACTAGTTTTGAATTAAAAAAAAAAAGACCTCGTTTTTGTGTTGGTTCCTTTAAATCTTGTGCTTTTAGAAGGGTCAGGTATCGTATTACTGCTTAGCTCTTTTATTGAGTTCCTGTGGTTTTCATCCTAGAGGAGCATTGTATCGGCAAGGAAAAATCTTCTCTAAAAGATAAAGATTGTGAGTATTACACATTTCTCTGGGTCATGTCCTGCCCCCGAGAGGTAAATTCGGGTATGAGAATGACTTTTAGAGAAACATCCTCGTCAATAACCCCAAAATGATCGGAATTTCACACAATGAGAATTAAACTGATAATCAGATTATTTTTTTAATTCATTTCAGATTAGAAACTTTATTGCGACGTTACAAAAAGCTTGACTTAAGGCTACAAATTTCAAAGCATTCTTGAGGATTTAACAACAGGTGAAAAAAACGCCTATATAACTAATTGTGCTAAGTTTTGAAAGGTCAGTATTTAAGTTACTTGATTTTGATGTAAGAGAAGCGAAATCATCCTCTGGGCTCCTAACGTACACGCATGGTGCCAGTTACACTTTAGGAGAAGGATCTAGAATGATGTAAAACAAAAAATGTTTTTAGATCATGATTTCAAGTTTCCCGAGAAGATAACTGATCTCACTTGTGAATGCATGCTGGGAGAAGTTTGATTAGTTGCTTTTAACGACTTTATGCTCTTATAAAAATACATTATTTTTAAAAATTCCAAAAAACACATCAATCCTATGCTGCTATGAATCTCTTCATAATTCTAACGTAGATGTTGTCAAATTGTGCATCATTCACGAGAAGGTAAACGTGTGTTTTATGATGAATCCATCAGGGTAAAGGCATAACAATGGTTTTCACTTATTATAACATTATTATAGTTTGTCACTCAAAAACCTTTCCCGGGGGTTCTTTTACTTTTGCGAGTAATTTACGTCGAAAAATAATTAGACAAAAATTTATAAACTTACAGACACAAACGCTCCTGCACTCCTTAAGTTTCTTGAAATTGTTCTGGTTACCCCGACATCCACCATAATAAAACTTCTTACATCTTTTAGTACGTTTGTTGTAGAAATATCGAGGGATCCGGGCCCTGCATGGTCCTACTTTTTTCGGCTGGTGGCAAATTGACTTTGGTTTAACAGCTGAACAAACAAAATGACAACAAAATCTTCATGTACCATGACGAGGCTAACAAACGCAAGGCAAAATTAATTATGGCTTTCTATTGAAATGCATGATTTTGGCCTTTATATTATCTATATTTTTTTTTTGTTGTACGTGTGGCTTGTACCGATTATAACAGTTATTACATCGAGGCTCATTTAAGGACGGTTTTCGTACAACCAGACAATTATCTACAAGCAATCATTTGTTCTGAAGCTTTGAGAGCATCAGCTTTGAAACTCTTTACGGTGGCAAATTTACATTATCAACTAAGTTGACGATATCAAAATTATCTTGAATTACTTACAAGGGCAGGTTTTGTCACACTGTCGAATTCTTTTAAAGTTGTTTACGTTTCCCATGCAACCTCCGTAATAGAACTTTTCGCATTTTCCGGTGCGGTGGTTGTAGTAATATCTACTGATCTTGGCTTTACACGGTCCAGTTTTCTTAGGGAAAAAGCATGTACCTTGAATGGACAGAAAAAAAAGATAGATTACTAAATAAATGCTAGCATCGCCAAAACTTCCACCTAGATTGCTTCATTTATACTTCCGTTAATACTCCCGTCATGCACGTAAGTGCCACAAATATACAGCTCGCGTCGAAATAGGGATTTTTCTTGATTACTTACATCTTTTCTCACATTCCTGCTTTGTGAGAAAGTTATTTCCGTTTCCCTGACAACCACCGTAGATGAACCTCTTGCACTGACCGCTGGACTTATCAAAGTAATATCGCTGGAAAAACGCTTTGCAGAAGCCTGGTTCCTTAGGAAGGAGGCAATCGTCCGTTTTTCCGGTTTGACCGTACCCTTTGAAAAAGAATCATACACTTGGCATTAAATCGATTAGCTGCATGTTCAAGTTATTTCCGTTAGTCTACTGGATGCTCGGAGATAGGTTCCCACAATTTGTTCAGTTCAGTCGAGCGGTTTAGTACATTCTGTTCCCATTCCTTCCCAGTATAGTCCAAACATATCGTCACTTATCTACGTTTAAATCCATTTTTACTACGAAATTATTTTGAATTTCGTAACCCAGATTTTTATTCAGGATGAGGAAGTTATCTCTCAATTAGAAAACATCTTAACGATGTCCTCATCCTTCACTACAGCAGACGATTTCCATTTTTTTAGTGGACGTTATATTTCAGTCAAATCTTTACTTGTTTGGAAAATAAGACGTAATTACTCCATTCGAAATAAAATAAAAATGCTTTTTCATCGTTCCTCCACCACGATATGTAAATTTTGGCTCGGCCGGAAGGCGCCATCCAAATCACGCATAAAACTACTAGAATGAGGATGGGAATTATAACATCAGGATACTCTCATCCGATTGGGGGAATTTTTTCCAAATTCTTACGAAGTAAAGAAAATTTGATCATCAAGACACGGAAAAAGCGATTACAAATCTCAAACCTGCGTTAAACAGTAGCACCAAAGCTACAGACAATAGGGCTGACTTCATTTCGCCTTCAAAGGTTGAAACTTTGTGATCAACACGACCAGTACTCTTCAAATTTAGCGAAAGTCGTGTGCGTGTTTCAGTACCGATGACTGATTTTTATGTCATTGTTGTTAATGAGAGGAAGTGAGCGTCACAGAAATTGAGGGTCAATATGTATGTATTGCAGGTGTCAACATGGAAATAATTTATGAAAAAATGTCTATGTTTTATTCAAAGAAAGAGGCCACGAAAAGGTAAAAAGCCCATTAAGAAGTTTTAAGTTTCATAGAAAAAACGTCTCCAGAGGTACCCGTTTGTGTAAATGTCTTCTACAAAAGGGAAAACCTTTTGGTTCAAGCGGCATCAATACGTGTTTCAGCAGACGTATTTGCTTTTTTTAAAAAGGTTGGTCACATTCCGACACTTATCTGAAAATAATCCTCGACAACTATGTATCGTGACTGAAGTCAGGTCTCCATATAATGTAAAGTTATCGTTATCTATAGGAAAGGAAGTGATAATTGTTCTAAGAATTTTAAAAATGGAAAGTGCAGTTTGAGCAATCAAAAAATTCTAAGTCACTGTTTTTACTGCCATATGTATCGAGTTCTTGGTGATCCATTCTTGGTGATTCTTATTCACAACTGTTGTACATTTTATACAAATAAGTTGTCCTTAATCCACGAAAGCTTCTGGACGTTAGCACTCATAATAGGATTGCTTTGACAACAATATAAAGGCGAGAAAGGGTTTATAAATGAAAACGCTATTATGCCCAAAATAATACTTGACACGTGAATGTTACAAAAAGGCGAAGTAAGAAGAGATTTGAATTTGTCCCTTTTCAAATTTTTTGGCACAAATACTGTTTAGTACGCGTGAGGCGAGAATTTTTCCACACTTAGGGCGTGAAATGAGATCACGACTCCGCCTCTCTTTAGCACCTTCCAATATCCCTTTTCTGATGGATGAGGTTTTGAACTGATCCATGTCACGATTAGAAAAGAATTATAAGATTAAAAAAAATATTAAATAGCTCGGATAAAGACTGGTAAAAATCTTTAAAGAGAAAAAAAATTATTACCCATTTAAAATAACTTCTAAAATTTTATCACTAAATCTCGGTAAGAATATCTGGCGTCGACTTCGTAAACCACACTACGACTCACAGATTAATATTGCTTAGGTAAAAATAATTATTGTTTCTATCAAGAATCTATATTTCCACGGCTGATGTACAAATATTGACAATCTCCTTTATCGAATCTCTAGTAATATCTGATTGTGCGAAAGAGCTCTTTTGAGTAGTACTTTCAAAGCGTGCTGAAACATGTTTTCCTTTTCGCTGTCGAAAACGATAACTAATGTAAAATTATCTTTTTGCTTGATAAGGCTCTAAATGAAGTAAGCTGGGGTTTACCCTCAAGTAAATTCCGGCTCAAACATCATTCCTCGTTATTATTCCATTACCGACAAAGCAAATTTCAATCAATGAAACTTTGAGAAAAAATTGCGCAAACGAGAACGGATCCATCTCGTTTTTTCGGGGGACAGCTTCATATATACAGCAAACGCAAAATTTCGCTGAAAGGAGCTTGAACTTTCGCTAGAACTTTCCAGGAGAGATCGCAGGAATAGAAAACCAAATTCGCGTATTTCGTTTGCATTACTTCTGCATAATACTTTTATTTGTAAAAAGTAACACAACGCGAGTGCAAATGTAGCAAATAACATTTATTTATAATTTATTCGGATTTAATTATTATCGATAATGTCTCTTCATTTTCACGTTTTTCTCTTGGCTTTCCACCTTTCTTCGCAATAGCTGGTTTCGTTTCTCAATCCTGCTTGATCTCGCACGAGCTTGTTGTATTTGCCATTGTTGAGTCTCTGAGTCTTGGCCCTGTGACAGGTGGGTCGCTGCGAGTGTTTGGGATGTTGACGCGGTATTTGGCGCAGAAACGCTTATCAGGCGAAAACGGCTGAGGGACTGGGTTCTTCGAAGCTGGTCTCCACTTCGCTGATGTTCCTAAAGATTCAAACCAACTTAGTAAGATTTAAGTCACCTTGATTTTTTTGTCTCTGAACCTTAATTACAGATTTTCTTAAAAGTCTCCAGAATTATGTATCTCGAAAGACAAATAGCAGATTCATAATTGACAAAAACTTGGGAATGATAGAAGCTAAAATAATAATAAAATAAAATAGTGTTGCCATGATAACCATGCAAAAGATGAAAACCTTTTGAGTAATCATTGTACATTGCTTGAAAACCATTTTATTTACTGATTAAAACAAAGGAAAATTTTGAGACGCATTAAAATCATTAAGTCTTGCATCAGTAGGGCAGGTGATATTTAAATTTTGTAGTCATTATTCAAGCAGAAAATTCACCCTCAAGAGGCCAAGGAAAACTGTTATTGAGGCTCTGAGACGCGGTATATCAGCCAGAGGAAATGGAAATTCACCAGACGGCGTTACAACACTCACTCATATGCCAGTGCCGAACAGTCTTTCTGTCTGTCACATAATTATTCAATAGAGAACGGTCCCTTACTCATTCTTCTCTTTCTTTGTTATTTGTTCGTCTGTTAGTTCATATTTTCATGTATCATAATTAAATGGTTGTTTACTCAGGCTAGTTAATAAATTGAATGACCATACTCTCTCGCAAGTCAGTGATTACTCCGACATCAGATACCTCTGTAAATGTCCTTGCACGACGCCTTCCGACAGCAGCATGAGCGACACCAGAGCTAAGGGAAACTTGTTTTCGTAAGTGGCGGTAGTTCCCTGTGGCTGGTCGAGGTGCCTTTGATCGAGAAACAAAACAAACGTACTTGACCCTTAATTTACACCCTACCATCAGCATGCATATTCTCCATACTGTTCTCTATAGATTTCCTAAGGTGCTGACAAGGAGAATTTGTTTAACGATCAAGAGCATCTTTAGTTGATGATCATTTCCTTAAGTCTCATGATTCAGGGGTGACAACGTAAGGAGACATTAAATGCTAGTCGCTCTTAGGGATCAAAAAATTAACAAAATTCTGTGAACCGTGCGTCTTCTGATACATTTACACTATTTCCTGGCCGGTTCTCCTGTGTAGATTATTAATAACCCATGGCCTACAACTATCTTCTTACAAAACGGACCTGGTATATGGACTTCTGATTCAAAACAGTTTTTAATTGTCTCTAGTCGACATAGCTAAAAAAAATTGATATTCCTCACCACCCCTGAAGAGTTTTTATCTGGGGTCTCGTTTGTCTTCGTGTCCTCTGTATCTTTCTTAACACCTTCGTCGCTGTTTTCTTCTTCCTCTTCCACCTCTGTTGTCTTTTTCTGAAGTCGTTTTAACCTCTTCCGCTGTTCTTCCAAATTGTCAATCTCCTTCTTGAAATCAATTAATTGCTGTTTGCAAGCGTCACGTGCCTCGTGAATTGGAGTGTACCATCTAAACATGTCATAAAACAAACAATAGAAAAATTCGTTTGGGTTTGATTATTTCATTCATGATTAGAAATGTCATTTCATAGTATAAGAAATTCACACCGGTGTTATGCAAATTTGCTTCAGGGCTGGGAACAACAAAACTCTTTCTTTACTCCTTAAAAATTGCTTGCAACTTTATTCTAACACACGTGCCATAGCTTTACCTTTGAGAAGGCAGAGGTTCATTCTCATATTTCTTAACATCTTCCTCACTTTCCTCTGTGACGTTATCAAGCACAGGTGTTGGGGTACGACTCGTCTTTTTCGTTGGTGACTTTATTCTGTTCGTTGCCATCTGACCACAGTCCGTTTTATCACTTGCTTTTTCACCGAGGGCCTCATTTGGTGACCAATCCTCAATGACTATAATCGGCGGCTGGCCTGTTTCCTCAGTCACTCCTGAAGATGGTGAACTCTTCCTTCGCTGACGAATATTACTCATCCATTTACTAGCAGCAAATGAAACATTCCATGGACTCAAAACTGGACTTCTAAGAGAAACAGATTCTTCATCTGACGAACTCTGGTCATAGTTGGGTGAGTCATCCAAAACATCAAAAAGACTTCTCTCAAATCTTCGATAACTTTTTGGAGAGAAACGGCGTCCCGGAATTCCTGTGTTTATGATTTCTTTCACAACCACATTCGGTTTTTGAACGGCTGGTTTTTCAATGGGAACAGAGGGCAAAACGTTTGGATTGTTCGTTCTTCTGCCCTCAACAACAGGCCCTTTCCCATTGTTATCTTCTTTGGATTCATACTTTACTTTCCTGTTTTTCTTGTCTCTTTTTCCCACTTTGTGTTTCTTTTTTTCGTTTCCTGTCTTCCCTGAAGTACTACTATTCTTTGTAGTCTTTAGCTCAGCATAAAGGGATGTTTCATTCGCAGAAGAAAACAAAGAGCCTTTAGTATGCGGACGTACTGCGACATTTCTTAGTTGTGTTCTGACATTCTTTGTTCTACGACCCAATGTTGGTGATCTTGACATACGATCTCTCGCCGGTGCACTTCTTGGTTTAGACATTTCTAACGTGGGCCTGTTAAAGTCTCCAAATGCTCTTTTGGCTGGAAAGTGAAAATTAGTTTTGCTTTCAGTGTCATTCTTGGAATTCCTTCTCAACAATAAAACGGCTTTAACAACTGCTGCAGCACTGCTTGTCAAGATGGCAGATGATCGTCGCCTTGACCGAGGAGGCACGAAAAGCTGCTCAGCTTTCTTTGGGGCTCCGGGTACTTCGTCGTCGTGATTTGGCTTTCTCAAATAATGCCTATAAACATAAATTGTGCGCGTAACGTTATTATTTTGGAGAGAATAATATCCAACTGACCTCACCAAAGTAAATCTTAAGTTTTCCCCCCATATAGTGGAGGACTTTTTCGCGTCAGAAAGCAAAGTCGAAGATGTAAATATAAAGAGGAGAGTTTGGTCGTTTTCTATCCGCCTTGTTTCCGGGGCCTATCTTCTACATTTACAGTTACTTTAGAAGAATCAACAATAAGGTTGAGTCTTTACTTGAGCAAAGTGGTGCACAAGGCGGCGGAGCTCATCCCGGTCGCCGCGGCATGAACCAACTAGGCCTAAGTCGAAGGGTGGATAACTCTATCCACTGGATAAATCTCTATCCGATAGATAGTGGAGTATGTTTTGTTAACATTTATCCGCTGGATAGCGATTTATCCGTTGGGTAACGTTATTCACCCTTTGAACAATTAAACCCAGTTTACCCAGAGCATACCCATCTATCCACCTGGGCCCAGTTGTTCAGAGGGTGGATAACGCTATCCAGCGGATAAGTGTTAACAAAACATATTGTGCTATTCAACGGAGAGAGATTTATCCAGTGGATAGCGTTATCCATCTTTCGAACAACCGGAGCCAGGTGTCTCACCCAAGAACACAACACAACGGCCTGGGCCTGACCAAGTCTTGAACCGGACTTCTTCCAAATTCTAGCGCGCTCACCGTTGAAATAACGGATTCGTTGAAAGGCATTCCTTATACTTTAAAACGGAAAACCGGCAAAAAATTCTAGTCATGGAAGACCCAATTGCGTGAATTTAAAATCAGTCACCTTTTAGCATCTCCATATTCCACAGCTCGAGAAAGAATTGGTGTCATCTCACTCCTGTCAATTGTGGCTTGATATTTTCCCGCCATTTCTAGCAGACTGGTGATTGTGCACCGCTTGAAGCTCTGCCAGATATCACTATCCCGGATGTAATGCATAATGTCGTCGTCATTGAAGAAACAGCGGCGATTTTGACGAAGCATTTGGATAATACTCTCGTTCGTCTTCAACGCCCACCTACGATGTCACAAAGGAGAGTGGTATGGGAAGTTCAATCAACAAACTGGTGGATTATGTGATGAGCTAGATTACAATTACAAAGTTGCTTTATTTTCGGGAGACAGTAAATTACAACAAATTATTTTGAACCAACTCTATGCTACTGATCGGAACGTTTAACTACGTCAGAGAACTCTAAACATGTATTTTCGACTGTCGACTGTTTTACATTTTTAGTTATTGTTTTGGGAATTAATTAACTGGGTAAAGGTATATAAACAAAAAAACACTCGGAAACTTACTTGTTGACCAGGAAACAAGTGACATTACCAATGCTTACAACACTGCAGAAACAAGGACTGGAATCCAGAATGGTGGATTCACCGAAAAATTCACCTAAAGGATTTTAACAACAGCGTTAGGTATCTGCTCTCATTGAAGCGTGCGAAAACTCACTTTTCGTTTGAGTGTCGAAAGCAATTTTGCTTTACTTCGGTCTGTGATTGGTCCAGTCAGTCCGCGTCACTTTCTCAACCAATCAGACGCAAAACTGAAACTTATCACGACTTAGTCGTTCACGTTTTATCTTTCCTAAAGGGGGTCTGATAATTTTACCTTGAGTTTTCATTGGCTCCTACAGGTATTTCCCTTTCTTATGAATGACCTTTGTGATAATTTTACCTTGAGTTTTCATTTGCTCCTACAGGTATTTTCCTTTCCTATGAATGACCTTTGTGATTACTTTGATTTTGAATTTATGACATGGAATGGAATTGTGGAAATGGAAGTAGAAGCTACAACATACCCTTTTCTATTTGTCCAAGTTTGACTATTTCTCCACGATTAACTTCATCAATAAAAATACTCCTGTAGTACTGACATCTCCCTGTTTGAAACGAGAATATTCGTTATATTCCAACCAGACTCACTCGGCAGTCTCTTTTACTGGAGCAAATTATCAACACATTGACTGGTTTCTACTGCGAAAAGAACAAATGGGGTTATAATGGCATAATATCGCGTGTAATTCAAGCACTGAACAAATGGTGGCCGCAAGACAACAAAGGACTCACCCAGTTACCTTGGTCCGCTACTTCTGATTCGTTGCACATAAAGTAACAGGATGATAATACTCGCATTGTGCGCGTTTGCTTTTCAATCAGGTTACCACTAGTCTGCAAATAGTACCAACCGACGCACTATGGACGGGAAAAGTTAATGATATGGTGGAGAAAAAGAGAATGTATATATATTTCTCTTCATTCCTGCGGAATACACTTGTGAGCGGCTTTTTTTTAGTTAGGCAATTAGAAAGGGACAGTAAAGAGGCGATTTTATTTTGACCTCTATGAGTCGAGGGTGTTTCAAAGTCACAAATTTTCTATAGCTACCTTGCGCACAAACCATAAAAAGCCATAAGCGATAGTCTCAGTGGCGACATTTAATCATCAAACCTTGACCTACTATAATTTAGCTACATGGCCAATTTTCCCAAACGAAGCAATCTTTAACGAACTGTTGGAATGCCACGAACTACCTTGCAACCGGGGCGTAACGCATGTCTGTACACAGTTGGGCAGATGAATATGTCTCATTGACGTGTTTTATTGATAAAAGAACCAAAATGGTATTACCTTTTGCAACAAAAAAGAGATGCTCTGGGAGATCCCCTTGGTTGACAATGACTTTTCCAGCGGAATATTCCTGCAGGTCACCATGAAATGATAGATATATCAGTAATGTTTTATGCTAAAAATCCCAGCGGCGTAGAAGAGGAAGCCAAGCGCTGGTTAAAAAAATTTATTTATTTTGATTTCAAGTGATGTGCCGTAGACTTATTAAAATAAGCCTTGAAAGCTGATGCTGACTTTGAAAATTATAAGACTTTTATGGTCATTTCTTGTCGACAGGTTAGCACATGATTATGTTCTTATGTGACGTATATATTATAAAGGACATCACACGTAAAATGTTAACATGCAAATATTTATTTCCCATTAATTTTCATTCCGTCCTTAGATACTCAGTGGTTTCCCGAGTCTATTTTGACTACGTAATGAGATAGCTTGGCAGCTAAAATTGAACATCGCTATAAGCCAAAAATTTACACAAATGAATTCGAACGCAAAGAAAAATTGTGGAAACGAGAATTTATAATCAAAATAAATATAAAAATATCCGAAATTCGTAAAATCATTACTAACCTGCCTTGCCATCAAACCAACTAATTTCCTCTTCTCCTCCGAAGGCAGAGCTTTCAAAGCGGCGACTTCCTCAATAAACATATCAATTTCTTGAACATAGCGATTCTGAACTCGCTTAACGGAGCTGTGAAATCGGTCACGGTCGACTCGCAAGAATTCAGTGACTTCCACGCTTCGTATACTGTCTGGCGGAGGAAGATCAAACTCTCTTCCATCTCCCGACACAAGACCAAGATATTCACCAGCCACGTGCGTATAGGTTATCTCACAGTCATAAGACTTTTCAGCCGCCGCAGGATCACCAGATGAGCCGTTGTTAATATCATATTTAGCTTCCACTGATCCGCTCAAAATATAGTAACACGAAAGACAACTCTCTCCTTGTTGCTTACTAATTTCAACACCAGCCTCAATTTTTTGGTACGTAACAACATGGCAGAGTGCTTCCTTAATAAATTGAAGACCTTTGTGAATTTCTTTCAGCGCCGCGACAACTGGTTTTATGACATGTAGTTCCTCGGCCGATCGTCGAGCGGTGGAACGTCGCTGTAAGATTTCCAATGTATCGTCTGTAAGTACAATTCCAGCTTGTGCTTTGAAAAGTCTCTTGTTGAAAACGGGTGGTAGATTGAGAACTGAAATGTTCGGCCCTGATTCGCGCAAAGTTGGCATTATGGATATTTTTTAAATGGCACTTTCGCAAAGAAGGAACAACGGGTAGCCTTCATTTCGCCCTTTCTTGATTATAATCTGCGAGCGTTCTTTCTCGTTTTAGATGTCACATTTATCGTTTCTCCTTAGCGATCAACACTAAGGTTTTAAACTCCGATTCGTTTTGTTATGGCTTGACCATAAACAAACCACGTAGCCATGAAAGCGAAAAGTTATGTAAATTAACTTTTCCCTAGCAGGTGTAACGCTCAGTAATGTTAATCATCATATTCTTGTCAATAAAATCAGTGAGCACTGCCTTCTCTTGTCAAAAAACTTTACTCAGCTTAATTGGTACAACCATTAGCAAGTTTACCGTTGATGTCAATGGTGGAAATGCCATCCTTTTGACAGTGAAAGCGAGATGCGACATATGAGAAATCTCCCTTCACGGATGCAAATTAGAGCAGTCGAGTGTCCGAAAGGTGCGAAATTGGGATACTTATTTCGCAGATATGCTATGTTTGCACTTTGACAATTTCAAAAGAGGTCATTGTAGACAATTCCATGATATGAAAATGACTTTGTATTTCCAAATAAAAATTATACAATTTGGATGATAAACACGTAAACTTTTTGTTTGGTTGTTCATAGAAGCGGTTAAGAAACTAAAGGTGACACAATCGCAGTTTTAAAATTTACATCTTAAAAATAATTTTAAACGAGTTGTAGTTATTATTCTATTATTATTAGGAAGGGAAACAATTACCAGTTTTTACTGAAGACTTGTCTTTCAAACAGAAAATCATCGGAAATTATTCATCAAATCCTCACTGCAAAGTGAAATTGTCATATCAATTATGTCACGCAATATTCTGTCACCCGGCCCTACTTCAAAAGTTGTACCAAATCTTATTGGTTATTATCTTTACTGTCTGCCATGCAATTCTTATGACGCTAATTCCGAGAATTTGGTATTGGATCAGCTGATAATGTCCTAATTGATATTGTACTTAATTCTCATCAACTGCCTGCTTTATATTAATATCAATAAAGGGCAAAATTACTGAGCGCTGATTGGTTGAGAGAGAGGGCATTTTTTCTTAATCGAGGGCATTTTTAGTAATCAAGAGAGGGCATGATTACCTGTTAATGATTGGCTAATCCGTTGCATTGCTAATCCGTTGCTTCCCAGATAAAAATAGACTGTGCGCGTGATTTTCCTTCGTATAAATTTTGCCCTTTATTGATAAACAAGTAATCCCATGAGACCTCGTACTATTAAGGATTAATTGCACTTGAGTTTTCAAAATTTTGGAAAATTTTGAAAACTCTTGTGCAATTAATCCTTAATAGTACTTGGCCTCATGTGATTACCTATACTAATTATAGCGGAGCTCGCATCTCGCGAAGCGCGTGCAGAGTAACCCCAAACACTTAGAAAATAATAGTAACCCATCAAGCCGAGAAAATTTGGCAAGGTATTACCGTACGTACAAGGTACTAATTTTAGCATGCGCAGCCAACTGAATTGCAGGCTCAAATCTAGCCATCACGTAAGAGAAACAGAGAACGTATTGCGCATGCACGATTACGTGCGTAACTTGGAAATATCATTCGTGCGCGCCAGAGTGCGCCAAAAATGCCGGGTACAAAGTTCGGTACAGCGCACCGCAAAGAATTTGCAATCCGCGTCTGGAGCGGGAACTCATTCCGACTAGGTTTTTGTTGAAAACATTAACAATAATGATATTGATTCTCAGTAGTTTGCAATTTCTAATTAACTTGCAAAGCAACAATACCCAGAGCTAAAGCTATGTCACCCGGAAGAAATCATTTTATTTTAAGTTTCTTGTGAAAGAGTTTGTGTGGGAATAGAATCGAGAGAGAGAGAAAGAAGTAAAAGGTGCGAGCGAGTCGAGAAAATGCGAAAGAGAGAGAGAAACAACGTGACAAAGTAGGCAGAAACACGGCAAAAGGAACGCCAAAGAGAACTTGAAGAGGCTAATGTGAAAAGGCGAATATCTATCGAAAAGCAACGTTAAAAAGAAATACAAAGAGCTCCAGACAACAGACTGAAAATAGGTGAACAACAAAGAGAAAGCAAACCGCAGAGGAGCAGAGAAAGGAGGAGTTAAGTTGAGTTTTATCTGAGTTTTCCCCTACAATAAGGCCCAGAAAAATTCCAGATGTTTCATACTAGTTCCACGTTATAATTCATTGCTGTTTTGATGAAGGCAAAAAAATGAAATGACGTTTCGGTAAAATTATTTGGCATTCGTGGTTTACAAGCCTTTAGAGCCAGTTCATCGCTCACGAACATTTCAGGTGTTTGTATTCACCCAGCCTGCGTTGCTGGCGGTCTGCGATTTTGGGAACGGAGAGAAAAATTTTTCTCTCCGCCCGCAAAATCGCAGAGCGCCAGCAACGCGGGCTAGTATTCACCAAATCATTTCTTGTCCTATCGTTTGGAATGTTTGATGAAGTCGTGGTGTTAAGAGAAAAGAAGTTATCTCACTAATTATTTTTTGGTTAGAATATTTCCAAATAACAGCGAACGGTGTAAGCAATTCATGAACCATTTATGTAACCTGATTGGATATTTTATTTTTAAGTTAATCTAGTTACACCAATCCAGTTAATCTAATTCCATTGATGATTAAGAACGATAAATCCATATACAGGGCGTGAAATTAATTTTTTTTTCTGATAGCCACTTGGCTCCTAAATTCTTCAAAGTGGTAGCCAAGAGGAAAAAAGTTGGTCGCCATTTTCAAAGACAAACAAAACCTTTTTTTAAGCTGTCAGCGTTCCAGATGCACCCTCCAAAATTAAATTTGGGAAAAGATCTTTAACGTGCCACAAAGTGGACACTTGGATGGAAGATATACAACGTTAAAGCTCACCTATCGAAGATGGCGTCTAGTTATCGATCAAGATTAATGTGTTGCGTTTTGGAAACAAACTTAACGAGGAAGTTTGCCGCGGATTTATCTTTGCAAATCTCCTGATATATGTACCCCAAAAGCACATTTAGAGTTGTGATAAGGAAGTTACTTCCTTGATAAGGAAGCAAATTCTTTAAACCCTCTCATAACTCTTATTGTAAACAATACAGGTAAATTTTACTTCAATCTCAAGCTGTTGACAAATTTGAAAACTTTGAGTGGATTGTTATCAACCCTGCAAAGAATGCTCAAAATAATCTGTTTGGAATTAATGAAAAGCAAAATGACAATCAGACCTGTTTGGCATGCTTCACTGATTCATTCTAGTTGTGTATACTTACCATTATAGAGGTGTCTTCAAAAAATGTTCAGTATAGCTGTTGTTCTCTGTTGATTGTTGTTGCCCAGAAAGCTACAAAAAGCACTGAACTTAAAATTATGCACTTGCACTTATTGCAATGATTTATTCAAGCAGTACTCTACATGTATGAATCTAACAACATAATGTCTTTCATAACTGTTCACATTTTATTTGCTCTTTACATTTCTTAGCAACAATAGTTAAGATTTTTAGGAAAGCAAAGAAACAAAAGAATAGAAGACAGTGAAATTAGTGAAATTATAAACTTTATCATTTGAGAGAAAAAAGATCACAGAATACTTAAGGAAACTTTAATTGTGCTAGCTACTTTCCTCCATTGCCTTTTATGTTTTTGATCAAACAACATTTAATTAGTTGTAGGATTTCCCACAATGTGCCAAATTACCAGTGTGGACTTGACTTTTCTCGCATTTCAGCTTTTAAAAGACAGATACAAAAACTAGATAGCTGCAAGAAAAAGGAAAAAACATCAAAAAATCACCCTGAAGTGGCTATTGGTGTGTGATATATAGAATGAATATGTGAGATGTGAGATTGGTGTGTGATATATAGAATGAATATGTGAGATGTGAGATTGGTGTGTGATATATAGAATGAATATGTGAGATGTGAGATTGGTGTGTGATATATAGAATGAATATGTGAGATGTGAGATTGGTGTGTGATATATAGAATGAATATGTGAGATGTGAGATTGGTGTGTGATATATAGAATGAATATGTGAGATGTGAGATTGGTGTGTGATATATAGAATGAATATGTGAGATGTGAGATTGGTGTGTGATATATAGAATGAAAGTAGCTGTAAAAACACATTGAAGTTTTTCCTATTCAACTGCAAGTTAGTTAGATTTTGGGTTCTACAATTATTCTGGGTAAGATTAAATTTATTAATATCTTGTGTTTTGTTTTGAAGCTTTCAATTAAGCAAGGTGTTCTTACAAAGGCTGATACCCAAACTAAATATTGATATAAGGAGTAAGTCACCAGATATGTGAGTTTTAAAAGGTGGAAAAGCAAGGATCCTCCTTTAATTAGGAATTGAATTAATGGGAATCTTCCTCCTTTAATTCATGTTTTACTTTGACCTGCCTCCTTCCATCTACTGTTTAGCCTCTAGGCACATAGATGAAGGGTACCTTTTGCATATTTTGATGCATGAAGTTTAAATTGGCATCCATGTAATGCACAAGGCAAGATTATAGGTGCCCTGGCTTTTTAAGTTAAAAGTTATTTAAGAGAGCTGTGCAGACCATTCCCACTTATTATCCTCCACTGGATATTTGTACAAATAGCATAGTCATCACCAGTCTCATTCTTTCTCATTGTTCACTGATAACCTCTGTACTTTTTTAAATGAAGAAAGGAATACTGGTACTTGCCTTCTTACCACCTAAAGAGTCGTTGACTCCATGCCCTTAAAATAATTGATGACTGGTTAGGGGGGAAGGCTACTTCCCCAACATGCTGTTAAATGAAATTTGCATTAAGTTTTCACAAAGCAGTCCATTGGGAAATTAGCAGTAGATAGTTCTGTTGTACATGAGCAAATTGCTACTATTAAAGCACTCTCTAAAGATTAAAATTTAATGGCAGACCCAGAGCTGTGGTTAACTACCAATTCTCACTCATTTTTTTGTTAATTGTACCTGACTGACCCAAATTGAATAAATGGCAACTTGATATTTATTTGTTCTCCTCTTGAGGTGTGTATCAAATTTTTGAGGTCATGGCAGGCTTAAAATATAGGAAATCTGCATTTGTCTTGTGTTTTCAACATTAAAGCTGCAATTGTGACTACTTTGAATGTCTTTACTATGTACATAATGGTACACATAGGTGTTGCAAAAAATTTTCCCTTGCTTTTTCATTAGACAGCACACATTTCTGTTTGTAAGAATCTTGTTTATCTGTTCTAGGATAAATCCTAATTTTTCAACCAAATTTTATATTCTTTTAAATATTCCAAGATCTCCTAATATCAGTTATGTCTTTTTAAGACTTTTATATAGTTATATGTACATGAAATCTAGCAGATGTATGACACATGAATTTCTCTCCTGACCTATTCCCCACATTTTATAATGAGTAGGGATTTGTATTGGCTCAAAAAAGTATAGTCAAATTAAAGTTTTGTGCACAGCCTATGCATCAAATTTATGTCATAAAATATTGTATCCATCCTGAAACTAGCTTATAAGAATATTATAAGAATAAGTATGAATTACCTAGCCCAAGTATGACAACTCTACCTTCAAGGAAATTCATTTATTTGCTATTGTGAGAGGCTACCATCAATAACTTTACAACCTCTTTAAACTAAAGAGAAAATTTGATTAATGTTTGGCATCAATTTCTGTAATGTAAAATTGAATGCTTGTATTTTTCCAAGGTTCCTCCAAATATCTTCATAATTGAAACCTATTCGTCTCTCTTCATTATTAAGTTTGAAATATGATATTCTAGTTCTACCTTGTCTTCATTTAAATCAAACTTTCGCAGCGCAAGAAACAGATGGTGGACAAATTTCGTATTTCAGTCGCTAGAGTTGCCAGGATCATGGACAGTTTGTTTAAAGACACTGACATATGCAGTTACAGCAGAGGTTGCCGAATTAAATAACAGAAAAGTCTGAAAAGGAAGTCGCGTATTTCCAGCCAGAGGAGTCGAAAGAGGAGAAGTTAAAAATATCAGGTTCAAACATGAGTTAAAAGTGACTTTTCTTTTTAATTTTCTACGCTTATCAGAGAAGGTTTACACGTAAGGAAAAATTGGTGGAGGGGGCAGTCATACCTGAAGACATCGAGAGAAGATGCAAGAAAAGCCCATACGTTTCTGGCGTAATGTTTCACCGACTTAATCGTCTCACGAGGTACACCCTTCAAGGTCCTTCAATTGAACTGTGATACCGTAACTCGAGGTCGTTTGCCGTCGTTTCTTTCAATTTTGGCTCATTTTCCAAACTGAAATTATCAGTCACGCTTTAAAGAATATAATTTGAACCGAGACTGATACTCACAGTGTCATACATCTGTATGACATCTTACAGTAAATCTGAAGAAGAAAACATTTGCTATCCTCGAAAATCTGTAAATATATAAACGAACGTCATTAGCTGCTGAAAATACCGCTGACAAGCTGGCGTGTTGATCGCCTTGAAAGTTATGAAGTTATGAATATTATCTTAGCCAACCTGACCGCTTGGGAGATTTTTATACTAGTCCTTCTGTGCATTCTAGTTTTTCTATCCATTTGCTAGAGTAAACTTTCCAATCAGTTATCACAAGCTATTTTTGTTTGGATTCAATTATTGAGTCAATCTCTTTCCCCTGATCTTCCAGCTTGCGAAGTAGTTTTTAGAACTATGCGGGAGTCACGCCAAGCCATAGGACGATATGGAACGACAAGAAAATAATGGCATGGGTGAGGAGAGATGGAGAGAAAGCTGAGTTCCAAGCCACAGCAAGGCTGAGCTTCAAGCCCCATTGAGGTCATATCTTTAGCGGAGTTACATATCAACCAACAATAGAAGTCCCGATTACAAAAGTATCGAATAATAACAATTGCTCCCACCAGGATTCGACCGAGAGTTTAGCTGACAGAGCTGTATTTTCCCATGTGGAAAGACAGCTCCACACAGGCCGTATCAGCGGTACCTTCAAAGGCTTTTTCCGCCAATTGAATTCACCGCTGAAAGGGATGGCGCAATACTTCTTAGTCCCAATGAATCCATTTCTATCAGAAAAAACTTTCAATCAGAAAAATTCTACATCCATCACCTGTATTGACTTTGGGTTTAGCAAGAATCCAACGGAGTCTGCGCGGGTATTGTGATACCCACTATCTTTCACTTATGTGACTGTGGCACGTGTATGGTTTAAAATAACCTGAGAGCTTTCAATTTAAAATTAATTATACCAACCATAAAGAGTTTGGTTTCGCTAAATTAAAGCGCTTTTCCCGTATGAGTTGAAATCAGCAGGTACTTGCAGATGAACCGGTGACTTATTGAACAGGGAAATCACAGGAATCTTTGAACCAGTCGCTTTTATTTGCTTTTACTCCATGTTGCGTGTGACAGAGAACTGAAACAAAGAGCGTGTATTTGGATGAAATCCGACCCCGGATAATCTCGCCGCCAGCAATGACATTTTTATGTCTTTGCTGTTTAGGAGGAACAAAATAATGAGGTTTCAGCGCTTCTTGTTTTTTAGTTTTCTTGGTTTAAGCTTTATGTGCTTTATCGCCACATTACTGCTTCCAAAAATCAAGGAAAGGAATCTGATCCACTTTCCGTCCAAGACGTTTTCAAGGTACGCAGAATTTCTTCGCGCAAAACTCAATCCGTCCACGTCCACTGAGTGAGTAACTCCCTCCTTATTTCATATATTAACGCCATTTAGGTTTTAAACACCGATTTGGTGAAAGGAATACGAAGACAATGATACCAAAATAAGAATAGGAAAGTAAAAACAAGTCACTGTAGTAAAAGATTGTAAATAATATGCGTCGTATTTCTGACGACATGTGCGCAGCGAATTCCTATAGACATGGTATGCTTCGTATCAGCAAATGCCTTCCTTTAATTGATTTTCGTTAATTTAGTTTGCTTCGTTCAATGTTGCGAATTTCCCTAGTCCTATCAGTTATATTACTTGTCACGGTTCTGCAGTAGAGCTTCAGGTCGTTCAGCTGCTTAAAACCGAAAGACATTTTGAGGGTCACATATGATCAGTTCGATTTCATATGATTGTAAACCTGCTTCAACCTAATGGCTGCTCGCTTCAAAGTGAATGCATCGGGAAACAAAAAGGCGGTGCAAAGAGATCAGGTACAAATGAATCGAAAGTTTCCCTGCCTCATCGCTTATTCTGTGCGTAACAGACAGTCTGTCGATTGTGACCAGACTGAGCAGAGTGTGGCTGCCATGTTTTAATCTAAGAAACTTTGATTGACAATTCGCCTACAAAGTTCCGAATTTATTGTCCAGCTGTCACGTCATATATTGCCTTCCTTTAAACATTCCAATTAACCGCTGGATACCTTGGAACGATGGTGATACTGATCATAACTTTGGGATATCGGTGATGATTTGATTGTGTCTCAACGTTCTGTTACTTTCACTGGTTGGTCACGTTGTGAAAATCACGAGTTCTTTCTGCCATCTTTGATCGTTCGGGAACTTGTTCCCATTCCCCTTCCCTGGGTAAATTTCTCCACGCACGGTACTTCATTTATCCGATTATTAAGGGAAGGTCTGTCTTTAAGCCTGACAGTCTGTTGAGTAGGAGGGAATATATTCGCATCCTAAAGAAATAACGAGGGATATAAAACGAAGAAATAAATTTGTGCACTCATTTCGCACTTCTCGAGAGCGAGGAAAGAAAACTTAGAGAGTCAGTGGGATTTCTGGATGAGGTTTTCCAAATTTGAAGTTTGAAATTTTTTCGACTTTTTTGGTCAGCCTAACTGATACTTTATTATCATAAGCAAAGCATAAATAACGGCTGTGAATCCGGCTGTGAACCACCTCATCAGCCTACGGCAAGAGTTTGCTTTTACTTAGTATGGGAGGTTAACCCTTAACTCCATAACATCAGTATGCATATTCTCCATACTACTGACTCCCTGGACACTTCCTAGGGTTCTGACAAGGAGAATTTGTTCTACAATAAAGAGCTTCCTAAGTTGGTGATCATCTCCTTTATTCTCATGACCTTAATGTTTGATTCAAGGGTGATGTTGTAAGGAGAAATTAGATGTGAGTCACTCTTAGGGGTTAAAGGGTTTATGGGTTGAATTCCTTGTCTCAGTGAGTATCTTGTAACAAACGAATTTGTCACAAGATAAAACCCTTAAACCCTTAGATTGACCAGCATCTAACTTCTCCTTACAGAATTAATTCTGAACATTCATTAAGATCATCAGAACAAGGTAATGATCACCAACCTGAGAAGCTTAGATTGTTTAAACAAATTCTCCTTGTCAGTATCAAAGTGTAGAGAAGAGTCAGGAGAATATAGATACTGATGTTAGAGTGTAAAGTGTTAAGTAGAGACTGGAATTTATCATTCATGCCAAACTTTTGATTTTGCAGAAACCGTTACGTGCAAGCAGCAAGCAACGACATAAGCCAGTCGTCTTCTTCAACGGAACCTCAGGAGGATGACGCTGAATCAAAGAGTGTTAGGGCTGTTGATCGCGAAATAGAAGAATTACTGAACAGTACAAACGGACAATCTAGAGAGTTGGCTGTAGAAGAGGAGGATGATATCCAAGAAACGTCTACAGAAGAAAGCCTCGTGAAATACGACGAATTAAGGTAGATATCTGTCAGTGAGACACCTTGCAAAGGAGTAGTAAGAGAGACAAGGAACCATGCTAAAATGCACACAAAACCCCCATTGTTTACAGAAAAAGCACTAAAATGAGATAAAAGTTCCCTCGAGTTAGTCTCTTACTCCTTGAAGATTCTACCTGAGCTCTTTCTTCAATCTTTTGTTCATAGTATCCTTTTATTAAATTCTTATCTTTGGAAAAGCTCAGTGCTATTTATCGAGGTCAAAGACAGTGATTATGAGGTGTTGCTGTTTGTCTCATTATGAATTCACTTGCGATGTAGATCATGTCCTACCTTCAGTATGTCAGAGATTATTCAACGTTAATTGAGTTCCGGTTTATTTTTTGCGATAAGATGACAGATGATTTAACAATAGGATTATATATATATATATATATATATATAATGAGAGAGACCAGAGCGTGAGACCTGAACAGTGTGAGGAAGATCAAGTTGATTTTAAAAAATAAAACGTGTAGTTTCGGAACATAGCAGACTTGTTAGTCTCATTTCCGACAAGTATCAGTTTGTTGAGGTAGTGAAGTCCATCTTAAACTTCCGTTGTTCTCCCAACAGATGCACGCCTCACAAAAGTGTTGCCTTCCTCAAAACCCATAAAACCGGAAGCAGCACTCTCACAAATATCCTAAATCGTTATGCAGACCTCAGAGAACTAAGCATAGCACTTCCAAGGGAACATCTGTACCGCTTTGGTTGGCCAGGTTACTTCAATTGGAGGAATGTGGACATGTTTCGATTGAACGGACAACCAGCTCATATCCTATGTAACCACGCTCGATACAATAGACCTGCAATGGATATTGTAATGCGCAGCGACACAAAGTATATTACGATTTTGCGTGACCCGGTTAATCAGTTTGAGTCTACATTCAACTACATGGAACTGTATCGTGATTTTAATTTGCCGAAGTTTCCAAATCCAATGGAAGTTTTTCTGAAAAATCCTTATGGACACCTTCAAAACTTAACAAAAAGGGTGAAATCCCTTCCTGAATCGATCAATTTGGTGAGAAATGGAATGTTCTTTGATTTAGGTTTCTCGTCATTGATGGGCAGCAGGAAAGACAGTGAACTTCGCAGTGCTATCGCAAATATTGAGAAGGAATTTTCACTGGTTCTTATCATGGAATATTTCGACGAGAGTCTAGTTCTTCTTAAGCGTGAATTCTGCTGGGATTTAGACGATGTTATTTACATCAAACAGAATCAACGAAAGTACGGTAATAATACGTCGCATAACTTTATTTCTGCGCAACTCAGGCGCAGGATAAGGAACTGGAACCGAGCCGATGCGTTACTTTACGAACACTTCAACAAGACTTTCTGGGAGAAAATCAAACGGCACGGGGGGGGATTTTACGAAGACCTTACAGAACTGAAGCGCAAAAATTTGGAGATGTATCGTGACTGTGTTTCCCCTGAGGAAGTGACAGAAACCGCGTTTCGACTGAGTGGAAAAATACGAGGTTTTAAGCTAAACAATGGCGTTTCACGTTTCAACAGATACCTATGTGAAAAGCTGCTTACAAACGAAATAGACTACATTAATTATTTCCGCCGGAAGCTGAACCCTCACTCAGAGTATCAGAAGCAACTAAGAGCTGCAGGAAAAGCACCTCATACATCGGCTGAAAACACCATAAGTCAAAGAATTCGTGCGTTTCAAAGCAAACAGTTGCAAATTAAAGCGGGAAATCCTGTTCCAAAGGCGAGGCCGTAGCAACCGCATAGAACTTCGTCTAAAGGCATTAGTGGACGATCCCAGGGAAAGGAAAGTTTTCGTTGTCTATCAAGAGAGAGCGTTTCTGGCCGCACGTGAACTAAGTAAACTCATCATAATCACAAGGTGTTTGTATACAAGTGATGGATCCAAAATATGTCTAATTGGCACCTGTGGCCATGCAATTGAACCGCACATGTGCGTAAACACGCTCTTACCGTAATGGAAAAGAGACAAAAGCTGCGTTGCTGGTGGTTTGTGTAACGCTGGATCAAAATATATGCAGCGCAGCAGCGAAATCAAGCAGGTTTCTCCCATTTTTTCGGTTCAAGGCTTTCTTTCCTTGATCTTATTCCTACACTAGGATTTAGACGAATACCCTTTCGTTTAGGCCGTTTGCGCACATAAAGGTTTTTATGTTAATGTAAATTCCAAACCATAACGTATAAATTTGCAAAGGATGAAACATTTTTCTATCAATAACGAAGGGCCGAGCCCGGAAAGGTTAAAAAAACCATAATCTCAATACTGCTCTTTTTGTTCATGTTTCATGTTAGCCGAACTTCACTGCAAATGAGGGGGCATGTTCGGCGCGCTTGAGTCGATTCGAACATGAAGAGCAATCATTCTCCTTTATAGACAAGTTTGACTTTTTTTTTAAATATTTCCTGGCAGGATTTTTACCTTTAAAGCAGGCGATCACAATATCGCACAATATCGCACGAAGTTCCTCTTCAAGCGACGAACACTGAACCGCTGTTGTCAACGTTCATTTTTAGGGACCATTTCTTATTTATCACCTGGGTGTGGAGAGATCGGAGGACTTTGGTCATGTTACAACAAAATTACCCGATCCCCCATAAGGCTCTGTACTACTCTTACGACCCCCACCCCAAATTGGCAGTTAATTGGCAGTCAATTTTCTATGGTATCTTCTCTTCCTTCCTTCTGTTGGCCACGACTAACCTCTTATCTGTTCTTGCTGAAAACCCTGTAATTTCCCGCACTTAAAGTGTATATTTATCATACTGTAGACATGTTTTGTAAACAAAGAAGACTGTTATTGCTCTAACTTTGAAAATAAAATGACTGGAAGCATTTTGAACGCTGAATTTCATTTAGCTTTAACAGCTGTGCACCGTGGAATTACGTAGTCACCATCGCCAGGAAACACGCGTCGATATACGTAGTTGTACCGTGACATAATTTTTCTGGATGAATATTATACTCTCATTGTTGAAAATATTTGGGGAAGAGTATTTTATTTCTTTGGGGAGTTTTGTCCGTCTAAAACCTTTAATATTCGGTTCCGTTTTGCAGATATTGTCAAGTTGCATTCGACGACATCATATTGTATGTAAATAAGTCAAACTGACTCTTGACAGATGCGAATTCAATTTTAGATTTCTGCCTGAATACAAGCGCTACGTACTTCAATTTGTGGGCGGCAGGCAACTTTCAACACAAGGTAATTTGGTATTATCAACTGAGTTGATAACGTAAACTGGCCGGCACCGTTAAGAGTTTCAAAGCTGACGTTTCGAGCGTTAGCTGTTCGTCAGGGCTAACGCTCAAAACATGAGCTTTAAAACTCTTTACAGTGCCCAATTAACGTTATCAACTCGGTTGATAATAACAAATTACCTTGTTATACTCTCTCACCGACGCAGCACCACAGTTTCTTTAGAAACTTACCCCTTAAATTCGAAGCCTTTTATCATAAAGGAAATGCGACTAAATTTAAACTTCTGTACACAGCTGAAAATTTAAACAAAAGACATCGGTCCTCCCACGCACCAACCTCGCCAAACACAAGTTACAAAAGTTTGACATACGCCTTTGGAGAAGTTAGTAAATGGCAATTATTGAATCTCTACCCACTTGCTATCGGCCGTTGTTATAGTAAAGTTGACATTTGTATGACCTGTGAACAAAACTTTGTTTGGAATTTTTCAACAACATTGCATTAAGTAGGTCATAAGGCAGACAGAGTCCTTTTTGTTGGTGTGTGTGTGTGTGTGTGTGTGTTTGTGGGGCCGAAGGTGGGCTAGGTGGGCATAATTAGGCATTAAATGTTGCTCTAGTAGCAAAATATTAGTAACCCTCATGTTTCACGATCATTTGCACAATTGTGAAATATTCCTTGCCCGTTTCTTGATATCTTTTGTTTTAAACAAAGCGGCCATTGCATTTGGTTTTTAACAAAGCGGCCACAATCGTTCTTAATAGGATTTCAAGCCTCCATATAATCTGATTTTCACATATTAATATTTGCGTAGTCACCAAACCGATGAGAGATAAAACCACCAGAGAAGTAAACAAATGGCTAGTCACGAAAGCAACGCTTCGCTTTTCCCTATAAAAATTCGCTGGTTCCTCGTGTAAGTAAGTAACAATACAAGGCACATATGTGAAAATCAGTGTATGTACACTCCTGAACGTTGAAAATGTATCAAGTCGAAGGAACAGTTTTGGTCTCGGTTCGCATTTTTGTCAGAAAAATAAACTCATATCGGTTAAAAAGATAAAACGTATGGACCAAGTGCAAAGCTGTCAATTGTTTCTCGAATATTGCGCGTGTTAAATATTCGATAGTGGCATCTCATTTACATCTACATCTACCGTGATCTACATCTACTTTTATTAAGTTGGTAAATTCTGTCCAGACATCACACCAACCAACTCGCGCGCAAAGTGAGAATACTATATGAAGGCTTGAAATTGTATTAAGCACGATTGTGATCGAGAAACGGGCGAGGAATATTCCACATAAGTGCAAATGATCGTGAAAGATAATCGCGGAAAATAGGCCATTTTACAATTGTGTACTTAGTTGCCAAGCCTTTGATTTGGAGTGAGGCTGAAAGTGACCTTGTTGTGATAGAGACCAGTATCTAGTTTGCAGGATAACAAAGTAATTTGCATTTGAAAAGCAGCAAGGTTTGTATCATAACAAGGTCACCCTTAGCCTCATTCCTGTTCAAAGGCTTGGCAACCAAACACACAACTGTAAAACGGACTATTGACTGCGTGACGCTCGGTAAGTTGTAAGATGACATGTTATCACGTATCAGACGAAAAGACAGTATAAATTCTCAGTCTGCATTCTTTACCCGGTCTGCGATCTGTATTTTGTACCTGGTGTACATTTTGTACTCTGTCTGCAGTCTGCAGTCTTCATTTTGTACTGACCGCATTGGTATTGTTGTTTTTGTTCGAGCGAACCTTGGCCGCTATGATTGATGTGTAGACTGTACGTTGAGGAGCTCCCGAAGACAAGCACAATGATAGAGCTATGATTACTTTATACCAACTGAAGACGAACCCAAATACGCGGCTTAACAATACGGCTGCCTCTGATACCCTTCTGCGTGGTCACAGCGTGTGTTGAAATGAACCCACTACGGGTCCCCTAGGTGTGAACATTTCGGCTTCTCAATTCAAGTTGCATTTTTATAAGCTCGGAAATGTGATTTGAGGTTATTATTTTTATCAAACCATACAAACATTTTATTTCTTTCCACGTGCAGTGAGTTCCTGAGCTTCATCGAAATTAATTTTGACTTTTTATTAAATGGGAAGGGGTAGGATGCGAGACTTCTTCCGTTCACGGTCCACAATGCAACTTCTTCCTGATTTGACTAGTGGTATGTGTTCGTAACAGCCGTCTTCGAAGCCGGTACGGAGCATGAGGCCGACGACATTAAAGAGTAGAATCTCCTCGATGTAGACAATCGAAACGAGTCCATTTTGGCCATACAGCTACATCTTTTGGAAAAGAGTGTATAGAAACACCCAGTGTATGTGTACTATTCTTGAAGCTAACATCATTTGGCGCTTCGGCAACGTAATACGTTCGTCCTTTCTTGTAGATTTCTCCTTTCTCCATCATAGTTGCCGACGTGTGTTCACAGTTTTCAATGTCACAGCTACGTAACATGATCGTTTTGGCCGCAAATCGTAGTTTCAATGCACAAAAAAAATGGTCGAGGAGAACTCGCCGGCTAGGCGCTAAGGTTCGTTATTTCTAATTTTGAATACAACTATCAACAATAATATGCAAAAAAAATTTCGTGACATAATGGGGATGCATATTCAAAGTGTACATAGCAAAAAATGTGCGAAAGGTTTTTCTTTCCTTTCTGAATAACCAAAAAAGAGGCTTAAGCTGGGAAACGTTTCAAAGGACAAAATTCTTGCAAACTTGTGATTTCATCTTTTAGGAAAATAGCGCACGGAATAGCGTTGAACTAGGATGTCCCAGGGCGACATCAACACAACTGAGAAATGTCGTAAAGTTTTCTCAGACCCTTCGAACACTATCCTTCAACTAGTTCCATTTAATGTTCAAGGTCATGATCAAAGCCGTATATTTGAATTTTTGAAATAATGTACCAGTGATGAAAAGGCTATCGTACCTCGAACCTGCAAAATTTAAAAGATTCTTCTGAAATCCCATACGAATTTCCGGTAAAACTATCGATCCTCTGCAAATTTGAAATGATAAAATGTATGGTACAGTAGACACCCCTGTATACAGCGAGGTGCCAAATAACGAAAAATGATCTTTTTTTTACCATTTTCCTGTTGTTAGCTGAAGAATATCGTTCGTTAATGCAAGATGTTCGACAGATAGAGAGTCGCCATCTTGATCCTTGGCTGCACTGATGGTCTTGATGAACAGCAGGATCACACCAAACAGCAAACCTCTGTTGAGACGAAATCCTTCTCAGTCAATTTATCAAACTGGTTGCGTTTTTCAATGCTTAATTTATTTTTATTTAAAGCAATAAAGCTGTAACCTTTCCTCAAGCGCCAAACACTTGTCTTACGACGCAGGAGTTTCGGTATCTTGTAACAAATCGATACCAAAGGGGAAAGACCTACAAAAATCGAGTAACTGATTTGTTAATCGTCTGTTTCCATCTCTTTAATTATATTTTGAAATGTCTACTCAAAGGGCTCATAAAAAAATTCATTGTAAACTCCGTAAATTATGAATTAATTATCTTTTAAAATATTACTCAGTAACAGCCTGCGCAGAATTAATAACCATTCTGGTTTATTGTGTTACCTCTCACATTATCATGATCTGAGTTCTGTTCAAACAGTTAACTGATTCAGGAAATTTTGCCGACTAATCTTACAATGCAAGTTTCATCAAAAACAAAATTCGTTTAAATGCGACATCATGAAGGAATCACTCTTAATTTCGCAATCATTGCCCTTGGAATTCACAAACTTAATTGGCGGAATTCAACTGTTTTTTTGTTTATAAATTTCGAGCCCGATTTAGGACTTTTTATTTACACCTAGAGTAACTTACTTCCCTCATTTTGTGAGATAACTTTCGGGTGCACTATTTCAATTCCAATTTAAAAACGCTGGGTAAAGCGCTCACAAAATGTCTATCGAATTTCTTCATTATGTCGTCATGGAAACCTTTAAAATGCTAATGTATTTAACCTTTGTGTCAACCAAAGGAAATATCCCAACAGTTCGAACCTTTCATGTACCCGCTCGTTTACGCTGAGAAGTTATTTCCACATCTTATTGTATTTTGCGTGAAAGAAGAGCTGTTCCTTAATCGGACATCAAAAGGAAATTATTTTCACAGCCATCTATCGACGGCCTTAAATACAAAGTAGGTCAAACATTCGCAAAAATTGGTTTTAAACGAGCAAGAGTCCTTTTGACTTTACGATAGTGAGGTGACAAGGTACTTTGAATCTCTGAATAATTTCGCAGTTATTCAGCGGGAGAATATTCGCTCGAAAGCTGATTAAGAAGTGAGGATGCTGCCTGAAGAGAAAGTGTTGTATCCATTTATCGGCGATTCGCTCGGACCATGAGGATTTTAACAGCAATATAGAGAGCAGATGGGTACTGGTTGTTCGAAATCGGTTGTTGTTATTTCCAACACGAGCTGGAACCCCCACAACGCGCGACCCAGCCAAAGTTCTGCATCGCATACATCATCGACAAAATGCTCAGGATCCACCATAAAAACTCTTGCGGAAGCCGCAATGTAAGTATCTTTATCTTATGAAAGACTGAAATACAATTATGCCAACTGCTTTCAGGCCGCTTTCAAAAGAAAAATGTCGGTACTGTGAGAAGTTTTGACCAAGGAGCAACTGATTTTCCCGACGATGTGGACCATAAACGAACGCATCAGTTCCCTATAAGTTGGCAATCGCTTCTTTCCTGGAGTACCGAATTCATTTATCTCTTTCTTTCGGCGACAAATGCGATTATATCCACAAATTCCTAGTTCAAGCAAGAACGAAGAAAAATCTAAAAATCAATTTTTTAGAACATTCGAACGGTTGTCATGAAAAACAAAACCATAATCTCGAATATGACTGAGTCAGTCGGAGAATTATAGCTGTTACTCAATATAAATTGTTTTTAGTGAGAAATGAAGCAGATTCTGATTACGAAAAGGAAAACCTCCACAGGCAAAGGAGCAAAGCAGACAGATAAACCAGCTAATCGATATGAACTAAAATTACCGACGAAAAATGAAAATAACGTAACTTTGCTTCGCGTTAAATCTTCACCTGCTAAACGCATTATTAAGGAATAACCTATTTCTCTATTGCAATCTCGTTTCCTCTCTTCCACGCTAATCATGGCTTTTTTTCACTTCTGTAACGACTTCACCGAGTTCTTTAGTCCAAGAGTTTAATAATAAATTTTGAAAGCATAGATAAAGAACTTTGAGAACAGCTATACGTATTTTCAGTTTTCAATTGACACTTCAGTTCTTCATCAGGCCATTCATATGCGCATAATTTTCGGCGTTTCCTAGACGCTTGGATGGAAATGCACATGTCTGACGAATTGGCTCAAAAAAACTCTGTTCAACTGTAATTTTACGCTTGGGGATAACAATGAACCGATGTTCTAACCTATGAACGCGGCTATAATCTAATAACTAAGGGCTGTAAGACCATAAATCTGCGAAAGAAATTATTTTTATGAAGATAGAAAGCTTTTGTCTCCCTGTACCGCTCACGAAACACGAAAGCAGGTGTGTAAACAAAATAGGGTTGAAATTCATTCAGTGCAGCCGCCAGACTATTGTTCTTTCGAGTCAGCATTTGCTTCGTGTTGACACTTCTTCGCCGCCACAACGAGCCAAAGAAATTACATAAAGAGCGAAAAGCACCGAACATTATTTTTTGGTCAGCTTTATATCTTGAGACTGTGCAGTGATTGTTAAATCTGTAGAACGAAAAAAGCGTTTTGATTTAGGGATTTTCTTTATCATTAGATTGACTTAATCATGCGCGGCTGATATTCAAGGAAAGAAAGAGAAAAAGTGGCCTTTTTTAATTTTGCAGCTTATCTAGTATAAGGATCAAAAGGCTAGGAAAATGTTCTTTGATGATTATGTACGTAAATTGAAATATCAGCATAAATCTTGGCTAGTTTTCCGACAAGATTTGATGAGAGCGAAACGTTGAAGAAATGAGATGTGCTAAAGAATATTAAGTAAATGAGAACTGACAAGAGAACGATAATAGTCCCGAAATCTCGAAAAACTGAGTCGAAAATTGACTGGATATTTTGACAAAGTTCTGCGGTAAACCATCTGGAAAATATGAGTGGGATGAAAGCCAACGCGGTTTCTTAATATCTTAATCATCATCACCTAGAGATCAAAATCTATGTAAAAAGGGAGAAACGAAGAAGGACCTTTTTATTTGTTCTGTTAAAATATATTTCCATTAAAACATATATATTCTTAGTTTTTCTCGTAAAGTCGAGCGATTAGAGTGATAAGAGGCTACTCAGAGACATCCCTGGCCTTATCAAAGGTTTGATGTACGAACGCACATGATTTCTTATACTCTCTCACATTCGATCATCGTTCGTCCGCGACAAAAGACTACCTCTACGACTCCAATCTTAAGATGATGAAAAAAGAAAAAAATGGGTGCCTATGTTTGAAATAATATTTCTCTTCTTTTTCCATGAAGTTTTCTGTCTCTTTTGGGGTGAGGGGTGGGGAAGATATTTCGCCGACAATAAACGAAAGTAATGAATACAAAATGCATTAAAGCCAAGTTTTTAACTTGCGCCACCTGCATTTCATCCCAGATAAGAACACCAACAATGGTCCTAACAGTGGAAATGTTGAAAGTTTACAATTACAACACACCGTGAAAGATTCTAAACATGTTGTTCACTCAAAATACATTTTTAGCTTCTGATTGAATGGTGGCTGAATTATGCAAATAATATTTTCAGGGTGGAGTGGGAGAGAATGTTGAAGCTTACACTTTTTCGTGCTGTAGGAAATGCTCATCTACAGAAATGGTAGTAAATATTATTGTTTTACATGTTGACAAATCTGCTTCAAAGGAAAGTAACTGAACGCTCAAACTTTACTTACGGGACCGTTCTTTCAGTTGGAGCCCATTTAAGCTGAGCCGTTCTGAAGCCGAGGAGCTTCTGTCTCAAGCGGAGCCTGGTGCCTTTGTATTTTCCCATGACATGACGTCAGAGTTATTTCTCTCAATATGGTGAGGGTATTTTATGGCTTTACTTCTTGATCTTGTTTTACCTCCTAAGAGTCTCCTGGCTCATTGATGGCGGAACTTTTACCAGTCTCAATGTCATAATACGAGTAAGAGTTTCTAGTTGGTTTACACCTCCAGCAGATGGGATGCCAGAACATCACAAGTTGCCCGGCACTAGTTAGTTGACTGATACCCTGAGGAAAGTGAGGCATTACTAGAGAAAATTTTCCTGTCTAACGATAATGAAAAAAGCGTCTTAACACCGCAACACAAAAAAGACTTACAAATCACTTGTCCTACCTAAAATGGATTAGTTTTACTTAGAATACCCCCTCAAAACCACAGTTTCTTTCAAATGCCGCACAAAACTCGTATAAATTCAAGAGTGCACAGTAAAAATTAACGATCGTGTCATATGATGATGCAGGACTTTCAATTCAATTGTAATCCTTCGGTCGTATTCAAATTTCATGCAGGAAATAAATTGGATCTGATGTCACTAAAGAAACTTTCACCAAAATGCTCCTTTAGCACTTCGATTACAACTCCCTATAAAGCTAAAATTTAGCTTTTTAAGCAAGCTCTCGAACTAGTTTTTTACTAATAACCAAAAAGTTCCCTTAGTCTTATTTGCTCAAATAATTTTTAACCCTCTCATCACAAATTCTCTTGGCCATTGTACACCGATGGCAAGGCGGGGTGCGAGAGAAGAAGGAGTGGTGGGCAAAACAAGGTGTCAACCTAAAATAAGGAAATTTTGGTGTCCTTTATTCTTATGCTTAGATGAATTCCTTTCTCACGCCCACTAACGGGAAGGTTTCTGAAATAAAAAACTTTCTAACCTTGTTTTCTGCAGCGCGGGAAAATACGTTTGCCATCATGCCGTGTTAACACGTGACCAAGGTTACTATGTTGGCGCAAGACGCTTTACGACAATCGGAGCTGTAGTTGATTATTTTAAAGACCACCCTTTAGGAGAAACCACTTTAAAACAAGAGGTAATGTGCTAAAAAAAGATTCACTCCAAGGGCTAAAGAATCGTTCATGAAACGTATTGCATACGCCTAAACGACATAGAGTGTATTGTCGTGTATTATTTCATCATGCAATGTCAAGAAAATTTCGGAACTCTCTATTGGCTATATTAGCGGCAAAGTTGTCTATAATTCTCAGTGAAATACTTTTCACATCCGACTTGCGGATTCAAAATCAAATAAAGCCATGAACTGCAGGAAAAAAAAGCCTGAAAGAAGTTGAGAATTCGAGGGAATTTGAACCAGTGCCTCCCAGATACTAGGGTTATCAACTGAGTTGAGAACGTAAAATGGCCCCCGTAAAAGAGTTTCAAAGCTGATGTTTCAAGCGTTAGGGCGAATTCGCTCAGAATTCGTCAGAGCGTTCGCTCTGATGAAGGGCTAACGCTCGAAACGTCGGCATTGAAACTCAACTCAGTTGATAATACTAAATTACCCTGTTATACTCTCCCATCGACAAAAACTTTAGAAACTTACGCCACTCAGATACTAGTTGGGCAATACTACCCCTAATACTACCCCTAAAACGTATTTTCCTCTGTGTTCTAGTTTAGGGCACTCAACCCAAGGATTACTTCTCAAGTACAAGTCAAACAGCATCCTGATTTCACTATCTCTTGTCCGGCACAAATTTCTACAAATGGCCACCCTGCTGGTCAATTTCAATGTGATCAGTCGCTTTCCATTCTCCAAACGTCTGTCGGTAGTAAGACTAACCAATCACAATCTCCTAAGATTATGTTGACGTCACATCTCTCAGGGGAAGAAAAGACTCCTTCAGAAGACGATGGTCAGGTGCTGGTTACCATGAATACTGATGGGCAACAACCTCCGAGATGCGCTCCTTGGAACGATACACTAACAAAAAAACAGCTAACAAGAAGTATGGCAATTGAAAGGACTGACTCCTCGGGAGGTAGATATCACGCTTATTTACATTGATACGAGACGAAAATTAAAACTTAGGAAATATGACAAGCCGCAAGCTTTCAGCTAGCTGAAAAATATATTCAAGAAAGGTTAAGGGTAACTATTCGTTCATTGCAGAAGTTGATTTGGTCCGGAAAAAACGGGAAAAATTTCTCAGCATCTTTGGTGGTTCGAACATCAACAATTAAATGTTGTGTAAATATGAATTAAAGGTAATGTCAAGCAATTGGAAAACCCATACCACTTAGGATGAGGGAAAAACTGAACACACCAGTATAGCGAAATCATTTCGAGAAGATTAAATACGATACCAAAGCCTTTCAAAAAATACATTCAAACAACTGTATTCAATTGTTTTTTAACGGACAATATATTCATATTTTCAACAGAAATTCAAGAAACAGCTCTTTCACCATTGTTACCTACAAGAAGTTCAGTGATAAAATGAGGAATGGCTCATTTTATCAGTTTCTTGTTAGTCACATTCGTTCGAAAAACTGATTATGGAGTTTTCTTGAACCGAGCTTCGGTTAAAGAGAAGCCTACAAGATGAAAATGGCTCACCCTCTCACAGTCTGGACACGTTTTTTGGCAGTCCTTCGTTTAGAGGTCTCTAATCATTACAGATCGTTATGGAAGGGAAATAGAGAAAGATAATCCAATTCTCGGAGCGAGAGAGACATGAAAATGTTCCCCGGGTTTGTTCATATGATATTTTTAGCATGACTACGATTAGTCAAGGACATGCACACGAACCTATATGGTGCGTCACCTTTAATAACCTCCAAAGTGAAAAAAATTGAGTATTTCTGGTCCTCCGAGGCTTGTTCCTTTTTAGCTCTAGGATAAATGACTTTTAAAAGAACAAAGCTTTCAATCTAACACCGTTAACGTTGTTGCCGTGCTTTATTCGCGCATGCAAGTTTTTTTGTCTTGCGTTGTGACTGAAAAAAAAGCTAACCAATTGAAACTGATTTTCTATTTACAGTAATGTTACAAATAAATAGAAAGAAAAAATATTTTGACATGTTGATGTACTTGAAAAAGAAAAGATGAATTGATCTTCAAAGGTCAATTACAAGTCGCTGAAGAGAAAAATCTGGAGAAAAATTTCGGGGCAACGACTGATCAATTCATTTTAAGGCATGGATTGGTGTTCAAAGTCTATATATAATAACTATTTTAAAACACGACCATTCCGCTTAGCGCTACATGGTAAAAAAATCACTAAATCACCCGGTACATCGGCTAAAACATTAAAATTTCAAATTTTCAAGCATTGGCGATGAAAGACGGTATTTTATCCAATAAAATACCGTCTTTCATCTCCTGCTTGAAAATTTTTAGTTTTTCATTAAGTAGAAAAAGGATAGTGGAAAAACTCAGTCTGTTATTATACAATTATGTAATATACAGCACCAAGCAGAGAAAAGCTTTGATGGAACATTTTATAATAAAATTGTGAGGTTAATGCCTTTATTGTGTTCACTTGAACCCTAACTTTGATAAAGCTGCAAGTTTTCTGATATGACCTTTGTCCTCGAAATGGAAAAGTGAAAATAACATATTTAGACGTAGGTTCCGCCGAAATATTGTTCTTGCCTTGCCTATGCGCTATAAGGTTTACATTTACCGTGGGTTGTCTTTGGTAATAATTTGTCGGTGGCACATGCTCGCTGTTTGCCTTCAACACTTTTCTTTTCACATTCAGGCATGAACAAGATGATCACACTGAGGCACCGTAGACTTCTGAATCATGAACGCTTCAGGACCAGTAATTGTAATATGAATACGTCAATGCCATGTAAAACTTCACATATGTTTACCACAGTCTTTCCTTTTCCTCCTACGGAGACCGACAATAAGAAAAAACTTTCTTTAATGAAATGAAACCCCTGGCCTTATTTGGTTTAATCCCTAGCAGACATTTTCAATTCAATCTGATCACTTTCATATTTTTCAGCAGTCCGAGTCTTCGTTTGAGTCAATTTTGGGAAAAAGCCTCTTGTAGACTTCTCCAGGTTTCTTAGAGGGGCAATGGAAACATAACTGGAGACATTACCAGCAGCATAGGTTAACCGATACAGTCGCCATTTAAAATCACAAATTTAAATACACTCTTCCTCTGGAAAGTTTTTCACTTTCTCAAGAAGTGTCTAGAGTTTGGCATGCATGTCATTTTCATTTTCTTCTACGAGTTTTTTTTCCGTGGGTCTTCTTTGATATAAGAATAGAAGAAGAGCTAGGAGATCCGAGAACCATCCTTTTTTCCACATCTTTAATAGGAGTTTATTTTCGGGGGAGGACTACAGATACCTTATCTCTTGTTCAACTGCAAGCTAAGGTACTCCCTACACCACCCACGCTGACTAAATCAATTTTTACCCAACATTTTCAACCTTCTCTGCTAGGTCATCTGAGTCAAAACATTTAATAATCGGGCTTGAGTCTGAGATGTGGTCTTCCACTCGGGACACCAGGCAGAATCGTTTACCCACTTTCTTCATTTGAAAGCCAATTTTCTTCACTGGCCAAGCACTTGCAGAACATTTTGACTTCCGCTTCCTTTCCTTTTAATTTGAAGGTGTGTGGATATATGTGATTTTTCAAGTTGGCAGCGGAGGGCTCCAACCATTACATTAAGTCATACAACTCCGTAATTTCGTAAAACATCCGGTCTGCAAAAGCGTGTAACTTTGGGAAATTTTGTAGCGAAGCTCTTCAATTGTGCGTGCCGTTGCGTGTGAATACGAAAACATACCAAGGGAGGGGGGAGTGAGGGGTTCAAGAAACTCGAGACTTATGGGCGAGTGTTTATAAAACTGGGTCTTTACTACCGCAAAAAAAGGAAAAAGAAAGAAATTAAAAGAAATGAACTGAAGAGTTAAGCTGTCGGTGATCAGGCACACTCTGTAATGTTGAATAACTTAATTCATCAAGTTCACAGTCATGAGCATTTGTTTTGGCCTGACTGGATCTAATTACCACAGTATACAGGGCAAAACCAAAACCATCACAACAGCAAAACAGAGCAAAGAAAAATATCACAAGATGCCTATGGAAATGCAAAGTAAAAAGAAGCAAATAGTGAAATGAGAGTGATTAAGTCGAGATTTGTTCAGCTTCAATCTAGTTGAGGGTCTTAGGATGATGGCACAAGTTTTTAAGACAAGTCAGCTGCTAGCAGAGTGATGTATCACCAAAACAATCCCAGATTTCTTTCAATACTCCATTGAAAATTGCCCCAGCTAATACAAAGCTTTAAAACTTTAAAACTTTACTTCGCACGTACAGGAGCAAGGTAAATTTTGAAGGCTCCAAGCAAACATTCAGCTTGAACTGCACATAAATCAATTGAAAATTAAAAAAGAAGTAAACAAACAAATAACAACATTCCAGGAGAGAATACATGTTTACCCAAATTAAATATCAAATTGTCCAATTCAACTGCAATAAAATTTCCTTGAGGTTTTTATTTTTCCTGAAACATGTATTGACTTTTCAATAATAATAAGAACTGATATAGTACTTATCAATTAATAAATTCAAACATTATTAGATGATTTAATTACAGTCATTTGAAAAGTTGTTGGTAGTATAAATTTTACATAATTTTATTATTAACTGGAGGAAATTCTGACATTGACTGTTTATTTGTTTATCAACCATTCACTGTTACTTAACTGTAATACAGGACAAGAAATGAAAATTTTAAAACACATTATAAAGTTTTCATGCAACAATATATTAGGAATATCTTATTGCTATGTTGTATCTACAACATTCTAATGATGAGAGGTTTTGAGAGTAGTGATATAAAAACATGACATTTTGGCAATGACATGTCACCATTGTCAAATGCAAATGGTAATAAGAGAATGATCTCCTACAATAACATCAAACTTACCCGTAAAGTAATGTAAAAGTGCATTTGATTTGAATCTTACAGTACAGTCTAAAAAAAACAGCATAAGCATATGTATTGCACAAGTTTTCTAAATCATCATCATCTGTTTTCACAATATCTGATTCATTAACCAAAACTATCAGTCTTATCCCTCTTACAAAAGCATTCCACATTCTCCTTCCTGTACCCATTTAGTACTGATCACTTTGAGACACACACTCCCAGCTCAGTGAGCAACAGATACACACTTTAGCTCTCTGACAATGATGGAAATAAAAACAAATATTCAGAGAGCCATTAAATTTTCATAACAGAAAAGCACTGGCTCACTTGTCAACTTCAATCTCCATCAATTACTTCACAAGGGAGTTACCCCGTTTTTCTAAATTAAAGCTAAATTCTGATAATCCCTTAAAGTAATGCACAACTGGAAACTTTGCCAAGTTAAAAGAATTTAACCAAAGAATACCATGAAAATGTTTTTTTAGATCAGGAATCAGTGCATGAGAGATACCTTCTAGACAAAAAAAATCACTTGGAATAAGTAGCACCATAAATGATAGAAAATAAAAATGATAAAAATGAAAACGAAAACTAACAGATGCTGAGAAGGGTATTACTTATTTCTGCTTCCCTTTTCACTGTCCTTAGCATGCTTCCTTCTCCTTTATACCACTCACCTATATGTTTTACTACATAAATGAATAGTAGATGAAAAAAGCCCCAGTAGAGCCAAGGTGCTCAATTTTGTTCATTACAGATCACAAGACACAGTCATGCTATCATCTCTCTGCACGCAGAAACATAAAATTTACGCCTTTTCTAATGATTGCCTCACCTGCTACTCTGTGCGATCTAGTGAGAAAATTTCAACACCTGATCTTCTATAATTCCAAAGCCCTCAATGTCAATGGAATCATCTTTGACATGGAGGGTTGCAAATGCATTGGAATCTAAAGGAGCTTCCACAATAGCATCAAAAATATAATGGTGAATACCCTTTTCATCAACTGCATAACTGTATTGATGTGTGTGGCCATGAAAACATGCAATCACACAAGGAAATTGCCATAACACTTCCAGAACATCTTGGTAGTTCCACAATAATGTCATGGTGTCTGTGAATCCAGGGTAAATAGGGACATGGCTGAATACCACAGCCTTTTGGCCATGTTCTTCGGCAGTTTTCAGAGTAGCTTCGAGCCACGACAGTTGTTCTGTGCTGATCGCACCATTAAACCTCACAAACCGTCGCTCTAAGCCATAGAGACCAATAGGACTGTCCAGATCATCATTTTTATTATGTCTTTGTATTATTTCACGAGCTTCTTTATACTGGCAGCTGCTTTCGTCAACGCCAAGAAGGCTTATGTCGTAACTATCCAGGTAAACGAAACAAAATTTTGGATGAGGTGTAAACGAGAAATAAAATGGTTTCGTTTCCAGCCTCACAAATGAAGCTCTTTCATCGCTGTTTAGAAATGCTGCGGTGTGACGGTTGTTTGAAGGATGAAGAACAGATCGTTCAAGTTCTTGGCGAGAGAAATTGTAGAGCTCATGATTTCCCATGTTGTGAAAAACGGGTACACCATCCGGAAGTTTGGAGAACTCGATCATCACGGCTTCGAGAGCTTCTTTAGAGAGGTTTCTTCCGCTGTCATTAGCGTCGATTGAATTTGCATTAAAGCCGTCAATGATATCTCCCAGTTGCACTATGAAGGCTGGAGAACTCTTTGCATCTTTCCAATGAGAAACAGCTCTTCGAAGGCAAGTAAGAGCGTTTCGGTATCGTCGCCATTTTGTTTTCTGGTAGTTCTGTCGATCGCAAATGTCTGCGTACTGGATGTCTGTGATCAAACCAAATGAAAACAAGACATCGCTTTCCCTACTGCCCTCGCACCTCATCATAGCGAAATTTTTCTGCATCTCTACCATAATTTTTTCAACAGTTGCATCACAAATGCTTCGTTAGCATTTTCAATTTCGCTCCAGTCTTACTGGGGGAGGTCTGAGTACCAATGGTAGCAAACCAAACCAGCTGACCAGTAGGTAACACTTGCTGACACGTGATGAGGGTCAACACAAATAAAAACAGACGTCATGAATTAACTCTTGTTTTAATTTTTAACACTGCTTTTAAAATATGATTTAAGAAATAACATAAATATCCACCATAAGAGTTAGACTTATTATCTTGACCAGCTTAATAAATAATGGATTAGTAAATAATTGAGAATAACTCCAATGCTGTTTTCAAAAATTGCTCATGATTGCAATTTCTTCAACAATAAATAATGTACCAAAGTGGGTGAAAGAAGTACAAGTAATTAAAACTGTAGATTCTAAAACAGCACACATTTTGATAATTTTGGTAACAGACATGAAAGACTGCAATAATTCAGTTATATAATATAAGTCTGTGTATTAAAGTAATTTCCCCTTCACTTTTCTATGAACTAAAAATTTAATACATTAGTTCCACTGATTTATGTTAAGCACTAAATTGTGCGTAAAACATCATTAGATCCTCGCTAATATAAGGTAACAGAAATCTTTACATCTCATTCTCTACAACTTGGCATTTGTAAATTATTTACACATTCAATAGGACCTAAGAAAGTAATGAATTTCTCTGACCATTTTTCCCAACTGTCTCAGCTCACTACAGGTGGCTGTCGCCATTTATGTACAGCTTAGAGACATAAAGAGTCTTTAGAAATGCAGTTGAAATGTAAACATGGGTAACATTTTTATTAACACACTGGATACCATAACTAAATTAATTAATATAAACAATATGGTGTGGAATATAGTATAGAGGAAATAGCGCTCTGTAATGTTCTCACCTTATTATCACCACTACAACAAAATTCCACTTTATTAAAGTGTTCTCTAATCCAGTTTTAATTAATTTTTTTAAAATTCTTTTATGAACATTAATGTACACCATTAACCAAGTTATTGCCTTTGGAATATGTTTAAAAAATAACACAGAACTAAAAAATTAGAGATTCAACCAATAATTCGCAGCCCAAATATTTTGATTTTTTTTGCTCAAAAGACATTTCAGACATCACAACCTTACATAAGAAGACAAATACCAGTAAGAGTAACTTTGCTGACTAAGCACACAGTAGGTTGTGCTGAGAAAATGTCTAAAAGGGTTTTGGTTATCTCCATCTCTAATCCGCTTCAAATTAGTACCAATTTAGCATTGCCCATACCCTTAGAGACTGTTCCACTTATTCAAAAACCCCTTTTGCCCTATGAATTTTCTCTAACCTTTGGATGAGGAGGGATATGGCATTTTCTTTATTATTTAAAGCATTTTTTATTAGAGAAAGCAATAACAGAGACTAGCAATCAAGGGAGTACCATATCCATAGCTAATGCCATACATTTACAAATATGTACATGTATCCAACACACTAGAAGTATTATGTCTGAGACAACTAGGGATGTGCAAGAACAATTTACCTCCAGAACAGCATGAGTCTTCAAGACCCATGTAAAAGTAAAATCTTCCTCCCACTCCACTGAAAACAGCCTGCTCTATCAAGTAATTCTATATTATTCCAGGAACTGTCCGCAGTGCAGCAAAATATACATCAACCCTATTTTACAAACAGCAGCATCTTGATGAAGCATCACATTGATAGCCAATTAAATATTACTTGAAATGGGTAGATCAGTTCAGATCTGTTAAAACATGTACTTGTTAAAGAAAAGTGACCCAACGATTACCATCATTTTTTTACTGGAAATTATCATAACTGGGATCAATTTTTTGAATAGCACTTTTTTTCCATAACATGCAAAATGGTATCAATAAAAAACTGAAATGTATCACATACTGCCTGCCTAAGCCATACAATTTGCTAACAGGATTTCAACATACCCCCTTTAATAACTCCTTTTTCTTTGCACAAGCTTTCTCACTACCATAATTTTAAAATTCAAACCTTTAAATTTGACGCAAAGAAATTTACAAAGTAGGTTAGCAATTGACTTTCAACATTTGACCTTCTATTTGACACCAAAACCTTTAAAATTTGTCACCAAGTTTTTCACAAAGTATGTTAGTGAAAAAACTTCAATACTCGACTTTCTATGACACCAAAACCTTCAATAATAATAGCATCATTGTTAACATGCAGTGTGGCAAATGCATTGGAATCAAGAGGTGCTGTAATAACACCATCAAAAGTCAAGTGATGGATACCATGTTTGTCCATGAAATAATCATCATAATGAGTGTGACCATGGAAACAGGCAACCACACATCCAGACTGCCAGAGCACCTTTAGTACATCTTGGTAGTTCCAAAGCAGATCTATTGTACCACGTCGAGGCCTGTTTCCTGGAGAGATTGGGACATGGCTGAAAATAACAGCTTTTTGATCATTTTCTTGAGCTTCTTCAAGGACTGCCTGCAGCCACTGAAGTTGAACAGGGCCAATTGCACCATTGTACTCAACGAAACGTCTGTTTAAGCCGTGAAGACCATCGGCACTTTCGAAGTCGTCATTCTTGTTGTACTTACGCACCGTTGCCAGAGCTTCTTTATACCTAGGACTACCTTCGTCTACACCGTGGAGGCTTACGTCGTAGCTATCCAAGTACACGAAACAAAATTTGGGATGAGGTACAAACGAGAAGTAAAATGGTTTCGTCTCCTCCTCGCTTGAAGCAGGCAGGCTTTGATGCTTTCTCAAATATGCAGCACTTTCACAGCTGTTGGAAGGGTGCAGAATAGATCTTGAAAGTTCCTCGCGAGTAAAATTGTACAGTTCGTGATTTCCTAAGTTGTGAAACACGGGAATTTCTTGTGGAAGTTCAGAAAATTCTTTCATCACTGCATCCAAAGCTTCTTGAGAGAAGTTACTCTCGCCATTATTTGCATCGATTAGATCTGCGTTAAAGCCATCGATAATGTCTCCCAGTTGTACGATGAATGAGGGAGAATTGTTTGGTCTCTTCCAATGTTCTACGGCTTCTTTCAGACAACACAGAGCGTTTCGGTATCTACGCCACCTCGTCTTTGCAGAGTTTGGTCGATCACAAATATCTGCATACTGGATGTCAGTGATAAGGCCAAATGAAAATAGAACATCAGTATCGCCATTGTTCGGATCCATAACGGCTTTACCCCAGAAAAAACGTTCTCACGCCAAAGGAAAAGTAACTCAGAACACCGCCATTTTGGCGAATGCCGGAATTATGCCGGTCCTTTATTGTTATGATAGCGGCTTTGGTTTCTGATTGGCTGAATATATGGCAAGATGTATATTAAACCAATCACATATCGTCATAACATAAACAAACGAGTCCAAAGCTCCAGGTAAAACCCACGTGGCACCGGCGGAGTAAAAATGAAAACAAAGGCATCTTTGTATACAAATTTAAGTCGTCTTGAGCATTCCCTTTCACACACGCGACGGAAAAAAATTTATATTCCTTATTCTTTTAGAGAAGATACAGGATGTTCGGAGAACACTGGAAGTTTTTTAAACCAAGAGGCGCAGCTGAGAGGATTACAAACTTTTCGCGCAGCAAAAAATAAAGGCTTAAGACGGAGCAATAAGTCAGTTAAATAGAAAATTTGATACTGTTAGAAAAATTAAATTTATGTCGTTGTTTTTGGCGTTCAAAGTGTCCTCTTCGTTTCCCCCAAGCCAAAGGCCTTTAACAAATTAAAATCTGAGAATTCCCCTCGTGTGCGCGCCATTTCACAGGACTCGTTTATAAATGGTACATATGTTTAGGCCCGTTTATGTTACGCAATCTGCCAAATTTGAGGATTTGCATGGGGGTGAACGGTTGCATTCTCACAGGGACGTTAGTTTCGCCATTTTTGCCGTCCTAGAACTATGACTTTATTGAAAAACCGTTCTGTAACAAACGAAAGACGTAAATACTCGTTCCGAGACTAGTCAAATAAACCATCCGCTGTGACCTCGTGAAGAGATTAACCTAATCCTAGCCTGAACGACAAAGAGCGTAAACGAAAATACAGGCAAAAGTAAAACCGTTAGTAACATGGTTTTTCGCGTTTTCCTTCAATTCTAGCAGTTTGCTTCTTAACATTTTGAGCTCTCATTCGCTCGTTAAGAGAGTTTATGTTTTTCTGTTTGGCCTTTGTTACAAAGGGAGCTGACGTTGGGCCGGTACATGGAAAACACAATCGTGAAAGCAGGAAATAAAACGAAATTCACGAAAAACTTAAAATGTGAAGTTTATTTGCTAACGAGTTGAAAAACTCTCTACATTCATTGATTTAAGCAAAAGGTTGTAATTTTGTCCTAAACTGGCAATAGATGTTTACCCGAGCCGAAGTAGTATTACGTTACTTGAGCGTCACTTTAACACAACTAATTTAATTACACACAAAAAAAACCTGAAAACTTCTGAGAAAAAGCAGCTGATATATGACACAACATTTAAGTAATACCTTAAGGAAGCTTGAAAGAACACTCAGCTCGTTACATTCATCAACAACAAAATGCTTAGCGAACGTTTGCTAGTCGGAAAAATAATTCTTACTGCCACCTAAATACAATTTACAATTACCAATAGTGGCATTACGAAACATTTTTTAGTTTTATTATGGTGCATATTTAATAAGCAGTATGTTATATTTCAAAATGTGCGGAGCAATTAAAACGGAGTGACTTAGATAATCGAATTTGACCGTTAAAAAATGACAATAACAAACCACCACACACATGAAATAAAAAGTATCACTCTCCTATAATGAGTGCACATTTTATACTAGCGATTTTAAGTTGTGTAAAACTTAGTAAAAGTACCCACTTGTTGTTCTTAACGACCACTGAAATAAAACTCTCAGCTACTTGCGTGATTGCTCTCTTCGCATCGTGAGCTAGAAATTGTTTAGGAATGGAAATCGATGAAATGCAGTTATAATTCTCTCTAATGTATTTTAAAAAAACACGTTTTGAATATTCAAATATAATTAAGGACTAGCGTCTTTTTTTTAATACGTTACAGAGAGATTAACTCAAGATGAAGACACGACTTAACTTAATTATTTGTACAACGTCTTGAAAACATACACGCTAGGTAACTTGTGTCACGTCACTAAGTGAACACTTTGCTAAAACGCAATAACACTTAATAACTCAACCACTAGCTTCAACACGTAACGCAACTACGTGTTAGCGCAGGTATGGAGGCTTTGACAGTAGTTTATTAGACAACAATATGAGTATGTTGCCTTCTTGGCGAAAAATTCTAGAGGCAGAAGTTACAATTTACTCAGAATGAAATATTCCTCCAAATTAAAAAGAGTTCCTCCGACAAATCATAACTCCTGAGTTTCCTTATGCTTTCACTTTTTCTTCATCTGTTCAAACACCTGAAAAATAACAACAACTGTGAGTTAAGTTGCTCTTGGTTAAATAAAAACTGCAAGCTTAGTATCAGGTTTACATTCAGAGTGGAAACGTCCCGTTAATAAACTGTGAACGCTTCCCCAAAAGTAACAACACAATTCCTTATTTCTAAAAGGTCTGGCCGGGGATTACTGACTTTCTTTAAACTGTGAACGCTTCCCCAAAAGTAACAACACAATTCCTTATTTCTAAAAGGTCTGGCCGGGGATTACTGACTTTCTCCAACGTCACGTATGACTTAATAGTTATGTTATATTACTGCGCATATCGACTACATAAACTCTTTTCCTTCAAATCTATTTCTCGTTTTGATCGTAAGCTATAAAAAAATTTGGTTTTATCAACTGAGTTGACAATGCAACTTTGCCACTGTAAAGAGTTTCTGAAGCTGATGTTTCGAGTGTTAGCCCTTCGTCAGAGCGAAAGCATGTTAAAACACCTGGCAAGTAAGGAATTATCCATCCAACAGCTATCAATTCTCACAATTTAAAAACTCATTCCAGGAAACAGCTCATAAGAACCAACAAACTACTCAGCGAAAGAGTGGCATTTTAATGAAACAAAAATTCCTTTGTCAGTAAGAAAATGCCGAACGGAAGAATCACTTGTCAAATCTTGGAAGCTCTGTCTCTAAACTTGAATTAAACGGGTGGTTCTTTGAAATGTTTTCCACAGAAACCAGAATGCCCATTAGACGACGACTAAAGACAAGTACAAAATGAATGATCCCAGTTTAAACATCTTTTCGTCTTAGTCCATTCTTACCTTGATCTGAGACAACACACTTCCTGTCTGGGCAAGCTCTTTCTCCTTGTCCTTCCCAGAGGACGGGGATGAAATAGCCATCCTTGAGCTTTGTACCTCAACCGAACCCAGCTTACATTCTCTACTATTTTTACGAAGCGGCTTCTCCGGATTTGTCTTCTCAGGTGTCTTTTGGTATCTTAACTCCATCACTTTCAGATTTTTCGTTTCATTCTCAATTTCCATAAGTCTTTTCTTTGTCTTTGTCATCTCATTTTGAGATTCATGGAATTCAGCGTCAGCATCTGTGGTTGCCTTTGATCTGGAAGTCGACAGACTGAAGAATATTTTCCTATCCTTGGCGACTGATAACCTCTTTCTCAGATTTTCCATCTTTTTCAGAAGCTCTTCTTTTTCTTTCAGCAAACTCTCCATTTTTTCAGGATAAGTTCCATTCTCTTTAGCTTTTGAAGCACTCCTCGGGTCTTCGAAGTTAAGTCTGTTTAAGGCGACAATAGAAGCTCTTTTTTCTTTCACAACAGGTCCTCCCTCCTCTTTCAGCTGCTTGGCATAGTTCTGGAAAGCCTTTTCAGTTTTCTCCAACTCCTCTCTTTCTCTATCTGGATCTGGCGAAGAGAATTGTCAAGCCTCAGATAAGCTTTATAATCAAAAATCAATGTATCCGACTAGCTCGGGACAACGTAAGTGACCAAGTAGAGACAGGATTTAGCTTCACATCGAATTGGTTGAAACTCGCAAAGAGTGGCACGTTTTTATTTCGACCAATCATCAGGCGTAATATAGCGAAACCAATTCAATATTGGATTTCCTTTCACATGTTATTTTTATTTTTCAATCAATATTTCATTTTCCGTTTTCCATAACATTCACTGTCATCAGAAACCCTGCCAGATGCCATGAAAATTATCATAACATCACCAAGAGAGAGTCACAAGTGCACACACATCATTACGTCTAGGTATCTTTCCCCTTCTCCATAATGTAGATTGTATTGTTACAATTACTTTAGCTTTTTAAAATCCATTGCCTAGAAAATCTCATAATAACTCTTCTCGAGACAAGCTGCCTAAATGTATGTAACATCACTGGGCAAAAAAATCTCCTTTTGTTGGCACCATCATGACTGTTTTCTAGACGGAAACCTCGACGTTCGTTGAGGATGATAAACAGCAAAGTAAAAAAAGGTACTTTCCGATTGTAAGCCTTTAAGATGGAAAATTTCGGTACCATCTGCTTAAAAGTCTTAGCTGCAAATTCCATTCATATGATAAGCGATCGAAATATGTACTTTGCTACTTACCCCGTTGGGATGAATTAGAAGAATTTCTCTCCTTTTTATCCTTGGCTTTGTTTTCAGTTTTTTCTTCTTCAACTTCTTTCTTTTCCACAATGTATTTTTGTTTCTTTGTTACAACCTCCGTTTCCTTGGGAGCCTTGGATACGCTGTCTCTCCTTTGGTCCTGGGTCGTCTCGCTTTGTTGATTGTTCTCATACAGACTTTTTCTAGCCTTGATTCCTTGTGATACTTCATATCTACCAATCTTTGAGCAGGAGCAAAACAGTTGTGTTAGAATTTGACAAAAATATTTCCTGTTCGCCAAAAAAAATAACGTCAAGTGTACTCACAACAATATAACGGCTCTTAAAATTTACAAAGACCGACATGATCAAAACGTTAGGGTTGAATAATAAGGACGAAGGATTTGTAGTAAGAACCACGCATTTACTAAACAATGAAAGAGAATCTTGTCTCGAGTCTCTAAATTGAAATCTGTTATGGTGAGATGCCAAACCACACGTCATTACCACTTCTTACTTCTTAGCAGGTTCAACATATTTTTACCTTAATTAACAGCTTAGTATTACGCCAATAGAAAAACTTGATTGCTTCAAATAAGAAACGTAGTCGCCGAAAATGAAATGTTTATGTACATCAAGGGTTCCTGTAAACATTTTGCACTAATCAGTGAGACTAGAGTTGTCAACGTTATTTACTCAGGGTTACACCTAACAGTATATCAACTCATGAACAAGTGGCTCCCTATCCTATAATCCTAAATACGATTTGAAAAGAAAATATAAAAAAATAAAGTTGTTAAGGTGACTTTAGAAACCAAACGTACCTGTTCTCCTTTCCGTCCCGCTTCGATTCTCTGTTGAACTTTCAATTCCACCTGCTTTTCCTCTTCAGTGGGTTCTCTAACCAACTGCAGATAATCATCAGCAGCTAATTCTTCTTCGTTAGTAACAGCTTCATTATCCACACCAGTGACTTGATTTTCTTTGTCACGCTCCTCATCTCCATCCAACAGATTTTCCTTGGAGGATGGACGATTAATGTACTTGAACTTCTCGTCAAACGAATCATTTCTTTCCAAAGTAGGTTTACCAGCGCTGTAATCGTCTTCCTCTTCTATCTCCACTGGAGAGGATGTAGCACGTTGCCGGTCAGCTGTTTTCTTCTTTGTTGTTTTTGTCAGGGTGTCAGCTAATTTGTGGATTCCAGCAGTAAGTTTCGAGCCTGAGAAAGGAAGAACGTACAAAATGGTCCAAACCATGCGATAAAAAAAAGGAATAAGGTGTGACCTATAAACAATTTTACGAAAGTTCGTACCGCCAAAATCTGTTTTAACTCCATTGAGTGACCAAGACAAAATTTCTCCCTACAATATCAACACATTGTCAAGCAGACAAGTGACGAGAATAAAGAAAAATATCAATTACAGGATTACTAGTTGATACAATACCAAACTATCCGAACTAACATCAAAAGAATTGTACCGCTGAGAGTAAGGAGAAGTACTAAAAAGATGTTAGGAGTGAAAGAGTTCAGTTTTCCGAAGTGAAGCGACTGTGATATAATCAATAAAGTCTGTGTCTTAGAGCCCGTCTAAATTCATTTATAACATATTGAGCAAATTTGGTTTATTTTTTTAAGTTGTTTTATTGCTTTCATGTAACTTATTATCGTGTAGCCTGCGTTTAGTTTTCGAGCACAAGGACATTTTAAAAAAATAACTTAAGCGCTGATAACGAGCCGTTTCTTTAGCCATTTTCTTTTTGATTATTCAAGGGTGAATGAAAATGATCTGAATCAACCTAACACTACCTTGATTGCAGTACAAAAATAGTGGGTGGCCCGAGCGAGGACAAGGACAAGTACTGTACTAATACATTGGAATCAATGAGATATCAAAATTTATATGATGCCTCTGTGATACCATGAATCTTTGTTTCAGTAAGAAAAAAAACTACTCTACTCGCAATGCGGAAACCAAAGTCACACAAACTCTTCTTTTTTCCTTTGAAAACAAGCACCTAAAGTAATATGGAGGCACTCACTAGCTTCTCCTTTGTAAACCTCAACACGCATGGCAATGTGGTTATGCCAAGACTGAGGCTTTATCCTCACATAACGTGCATTCACTGCCATTTTCAGCATGTTCGTGACTACTGTGTCAGGATCGCTGTTACCCTGGAAAACCTGTCAGAAAATACAATGCATTAAGAACAACACTTAGAACTTGAACTGATGCAAGCAATTTAACATAAAAGAAATGTACAAACAAGCTGAGTAACCTTTTGCTCTGGATTACCAAATTAAAACAATTGAAGTTGTTTCTCAAATAAAAAACGACACAACTAAGAGTCGTTGAGGGGCGGAGGTAAAGAAGACCCTTGCACGTTGAGGAGCAAATATGGAGTCCTTAGAGCGAGGAAATCAATAAGTTGGAGATACCTCCAAAACACAAGCAAACTAATGATTTTACCTTAGCAATTCCAAACTCTTTATAATTGGCCCAGTTTTCTCCATTCTTGCTGTAAGCCAGTGTGTAAGTCTTCACAAACCAACCTCCCTGATCAAGAAAACCTGGTTTTCCTTGTGAAGCCACACCACACACTTTGTCCACCTCACCTACAAAAATATTTCAATAATCATGTCCAGTACGTTTTTCTAAATTTACTTACTTGCTTTATTTACTTTCTGAAGAAGTTCTCATCTCCCTTCATCGTTCATTTCACAAACTATGTACAATCTCTTGATTTATGACCTAATGGGTACTAGTGCTTTTCCCACACACCTCTCCCCTGCGTCCTCCTGCTTATCTCCTACCCCTTGGGTCCCCCCTAAAACGAAATTCATATCTCATCCCAACATGGCGGCCACACATTTCGAGAAGTCGAAATCCTCCTCGATCCTCAGCATAAATATGCCTCGAATACAAGTTATTTCTCAAATTGAATTGACCATATTGCAAATTTTAGTTATATTAATTTACAAAAATAACACTTAAAAAATGTTACCAAGGTCAATCTGAAGATACTGCTGTTTATCATTGCCTTTGGCACACCACGCTCCGACTGATGAATTAAGTCTGCCTGCAGAGGGCTTTGAAGAATTGTCCAGAAATGATGATGCTGTTATAGCACTATCTTCAATAGCACCATCTGAAACACCAGCAGGGACAGGACCTAGAAACAAATTGGAGTGTAATCAGTAGAAGTGATTATCTAAATTATGGAAACCTATGAAATGTGAGTAATGTCATAGATGTAATGTTTTTTTGTGAAAGGTACGATTGATACGACTTAGTTAAGCTTCTTTCTTTGTTCCTCTTTCAATTTGAAAGTCAACAAGAGCTTGGCCATTTGCTTAAAAATCTCATTTCTTTTTTAAGGTAAACAGTAAACCTCAGGGAATAAAGGAAAGCCAAACAAAGCTCCTTGTTTATCGATAGCTAATCCTTTCCTTTTCTGACCTTTAACTCCCAGAAGTGATGAAGATGTAACTTCTCCCCATAATATCAATACCTTATCAAGCAAACAAGTAATGAGAATACTTGAACCCATCAAATAGAAGTTGTCATTGTCATGACTAATGTATGTAAGGAAATGTGCATCAGCAAGAGGGGAGAGTTAACAATCAGATTTTGGGAGTTAAAGGGTGAAATTTGCTGAGAAAATCTCGAAAATTCTTAAGAACTCAATTATCTCATTTATCCTCAAAAATTAAGATGAACAAGCCTCAAGTTTCAAGTCAGTGTGGTAAAATCACATTTAATGTAATAGAAAAAAGCATTTCTGTGCATCTCACAAAATAGATTATATGGTTTACTAGCTTTACCTCAATTGGACATATTGTGGCAAGCAGAATTCTGGGTTATGTGTGTCCACCATCTTTTTGTAAGATGGTGAATTTAATTGTATTTTTACTACTCTAGGTGAAGTGAAAATAACATGACTACCCTGACTCCTTTAAGTAGTTAATAAAATTACGACATAACTAACCTTTAGCTGATTTATCAGAGTGTTTGCCTTGAATACCAGTTGGACACACCTCTATTTTTTTGGAATTTAGGCCCTGCCATTTGATTACTTTATCAGCATTAGCAACTGAAGAGGACACCTCTTCATAAATCTCCTCACTCTCCCATGTAATTTGACAGCTCTCTTCATTTCCATCTCCCTCTGCACCATCTGGAGTGTTCCGCGGGGGTAGATCAGGTGGCAGAGGAGGGAGTGGTCCCAATTCCAGAAGACTTGAAGACGGTGATGTTGATTTCAATTTTTCCACAGTTGTCACCGTAGAAGGAACAACTTCCATGTAAAGGTCTTCATCATCTGTCTCATTGTTTTTATTTAGCGGGAAAGTGTTGCTTGTAGGTGTTGGAGTCTTCTCTGATCCTGGAGAAGCTATGGGAGTAACATATTCACCTTCTTCTCCATCTTCCTCTTGATCATAAAACCCTGAACTTGTATCTGTCAGTGAGACAGCAAGTTGAATAAATCCAGATTCTATTAAGAAAGCCTTTTTCCAGCGTTCCCAGTCTTTCAAAGTTTTGGCCACAAGTGTAAAATGATTTGTACCATCTCTTATCACCTGAATTGCAAGCTTGGCTTTTTCTTCCTCTCCCACTTTGATCTCGCTGCCATTCAGGTCAACTGTTATTTCAGGATCCTCATCTTTGATTGTTTTGAAACAAAGCAATTTCTGTTCTCTTATCAAGAACCAGCGCTTGGAGCTGTCATTTGACTTGAATGCATAACCTGCCAAGGCAACCCCATCCTCAGGACTACTGAAGAGCTTGCCTTTCTTTGCCTTCTTCTTGAGCCATTTAAAGAACTGTTTTGTCTTTTTAGCTTTCTGAACTGGTTGTGTTTGGGGGATTGTTGATACATCACCACCATCTGATGAAGCAGAGTCAAATTCATCTGTAGCAAATCCATCATCTTGAAAATTCTCTTCAGCTCTCTTTTGGTTTGCTACGTCTTCATAAGGGTCTTCTACAAACTTTTCTCCATCAACTTCATCAGGCCTCTTAGGTAGCTCTTTTTTCTCATAACCATTTTTCACAGATTCTCCATTCACATAACCTACTGGCAGATTATTGTCACTCTGTGAAAACAATTATTCATACTATTAGCAACAACTTAAAAGCAACTAGATAATTTTGTTTGTGTTCTTCCCTTAGCAACCTCATCACCTACTAAAATAGTGCCTATATATAACAAAATAACAGACTCACAAACATGAAAAAAAGAAAAAAAAAAGTTAATACTGATACTAACAATAACACTATAAGTTTTTAAAAATGTTATGCTATCATATTTTACAAGTGGTTTCTAGAATTTTTTTCCAATTCCACAGTTTCCACTCCCAGGACTCATTATTGCAATAGTGAAACTTCAAGTCCACAATCAAAACATTAACACTGTGTTGAAATTTTCCCATTGCTGTTATGCCAAGCCTTGAAATTTGATCTAATTTGTTGACTAAATACAAAGAAACAACTTATCCCTTACAAAACAACAGACATCCTTCCACCTAGCTCGAACTGTCTTCATATCTCTGAAATGTGGCATCACAACTGCTTACAGAAATATGACAAGTACATGCATGCTTGTAGCTTTGTTCATATCTATAACTTCCTCTCATAGCAAATGAAATATTTACAAATATCGCTTATCAGTTCAGTGTTAATTCAATTAATATACATACACGTGATCCAATAGACCAGCTCTGAATGTGAGCAAAAAGCTTTGCAAGACAAGGCATTGTGGTTGATTTCCAAAAATATTTGTGATCAAAGCAAACTTCTCAAATAACATAAGACTCCTTCAATACGCAAATAACATTTTTCAGTTCTGTTTGCGATCAATTTACATATAAATTTATACCAATATATAAAATTGATATTGATTCATTCTAATTAGGCATAGCGCACCTATTTTCCCAGACATCTGGCTAGGCAATAAGGCAACGACTAGTTTCACCACAGCTCGACTCTATCAGGGTATATCAGTTTAAAAAATAGATTTTAGTTTAAATTCAGAAAACCAAAATGTAGATACCTTTTCCAAATTTTACATTTCTTTTCAGGGAAAATGTATAAGTAACAAATTCTTAGAAATTTATCAGAATTACAAATGAAGTTATATCAAGCAACTGAGACAATACAGAAAGAAGATATTGAAAGTCATTAATATTCAAATTAAGCATCTGACACAGTGATATTCACCAGTAGCTTCACCACAAGTGTTATTTTGATAATGCTAAGTTAAAGACCATATCAGAAATTGACAGTCAGTGGCAGTTAAAATGATTACACCTTACATAAGGTTAAGTGTTCAAAGTAACTGGTGAACTGATTTTGTGGATATTTCTTTCAATATTGATTAAGCTTCAATTTTCACTGGGGAAGATTGCTTAAAAATGCTTCTTAATGAATATGTCACTTCGCTCGGAAAAAGATGCAAAATAAGCAATGTGGTGTTCCTCTTAAGAACAATCTATTATTATGGATTTAACTTATCTGTGACTCAAGATATAGATAAGATTCAGTACTCAAACCATCATGCTTACTGGCAGGTAAAACCCACTTCTATTCTATTTCTGTGCTGTAAAAAGACTGTATTCCTAACATGATTAGACACATTTATTTCGCAATTTATGATTTGGTGATAAAACTTGCTAAATATAGTCTAGCTATCTCTATCTAGATTGTACCAATTGCCACACTTGACACTCCAATTAACCTCAGATGGCTTTGAATAGCAACAAAGATGGCTTGACAATGAATGGACAAAATAGAACACAAGAACCTGAATTAACCAACAGATAAACCTTTTAACTCCCATGAGTGACCAAGATGGAATTTCTCCTTACAACATCAATACAATATTAAGTAGATAAGTGATGAGAATATAGAGAAATATTAATTGGTAGATTGTTAATTGATCCTATACCAAATTCTCTGAATTAACAACATGAGAATTGTACAACAGACAGACAGGAGAGTTACTAATGAATCATGGGAATGAAAGGGTTTAATAAAAAAACCAACAATTAACTATATTTGCTACCAACACATAAGTCTGGCAGCCAATAACATCACTGCAAACTGACTAATAACACTCAACTGAGAAACAACTCCTCACTTGAATCTAATGATTACTTTTAATAAGGTTCTCAAACTGCCATTGCTACCAACAAAAGTCTCTTTCCAAGACTACATCGAGTCACGCAAAATTGATGTAGAATGTAAATATCCACTTTAACATTAATGAGTCATTTCACACTTTAAATTTTTTAGCTAAGATTCAACATTAAACCTTTCATTGTATGATTTATCTGTTAGAGCAGTAAAATGTAACCGCAACCTCCTAGATAAATCAAACACATCAAAATTTAAATATGCCCAATTTAAGAACTTAAGGTGCAATAAGTACTTCAAACCAACTTTAAGAAAACAAAAACAACTTTAAATAAAGGGAAATAAATATGTCTGCAAAACAGGATAAAATTAGCATAAAAATGCAACAGTTAGCAATCAAAAAAATAAACTCTAAATTACTGTTTATGACAGATCATCAAAGATTTAAGAAGATTACTTTTATATATAAAGGCCCTTTACCTCATTTAACTCAGAACATTTCTTGAAGGATTGAGATGAAAGATGGTTAGCATCTGATTTGAAAGAGCTACTCAAAGATGCTTCATCAAGTTCTTCCTCCTCCTCCTCCTCTAAAATGGACTGCATAAGAGGAGCTTGGGGAGGAGCAGATAATTTTTTTTCGTTTGTATTAGAAGGTGCAACAGAGGAATGTTTACCAGCAGATGCAGCAATAGTTAAAACCTTCATCCACTCTTTCAGTTCATCATTGTTAGAAGCAACAAACACCCAAGGCGCCATGTCTGACTGAGTCAGTCTAAACACAGGTGTGCGCATAAGCCGATCATCCAAAGAGATCTGACAACATGGCATGATGATGACATCATATGCTACTTCTTCTGGATCTTGAGAAGGAAATATGCACAGATGCTGGTCGATAAGAACACACCACCAGAGCTTTTCACTGTGCTTCTCCCTCAAAAGTCCTGCAAAATCTGGCTCAGTCAAATCTTCCAGAGAAATGTCAAACAATGCTGCACTGTCTCTCTTGCGACTCTTTCGTTTATTGACTGGGGAACAGTTTGATGTGTTTAGTTCATTTGAAGTATTTAAGGTGTTATGATGATGAACATCATCCTCATTATTGTCAGAGGTGTCCTCTTCTTCTTCAGTGGGATGATAGATAACAAGTTGACGCAAGTCATTTAAGTTAATCTCTTCATGATCAAAGTCAGCATAATAAGATCCCTGTTTATGTTACAAGTTACAAGAAAGAACAGAAAAAGTTAGCAAGTTTAAGTTAAAAATAACTTTAGATTTAGTTGTCACAGTTTAATTTACCCTCTAGACCAAACAGTTAAAATTTGTTGTAATTAACCTGATTGTTGACCTTTTAATTTAGATGCTATCTTGCCATCTGGCAAATCAAAAACTGGTCTGTCCTGTGAAGTTAGAAAATCACCGCAACAGTATTTAGATGAGATAAATACAAAATTACAAGAAGGATTGGTTGTACCCCCCTTGCTTCTCAGGGAGAAACAATGAAGAAGGAAGAGAGATAAAAGAGGCTGCCAAAAAATCTTTTTTTTTTGGTTTTAATTTGATTGTCTGTTTTAATTCAACACTGTTATTTTATGAAATTATAACAAAATTCATTTATCAGTGCAACAATCTACAATTTTGTGACTTTACAAAGTGCAGAGGAGACTAAAAACTTGATAATTTTTCAACACAGTGCTGTATAAGCTTTAAAAAGACATCCTAATGTTGATTGTTGTGGTTATCATATTTCATTTGATCATTTTTATTACTGCATTGTAAATAATCCTATTAACTATTTAGTATGTTCACTTTTAAAAGTTTGAATCTCAACTGTTAGTTTTACAGAATAATTTTAAACCTTAAAAATTGTTTATCGATTATCAAAAATATCATATATGTTTTCTCAGAGCAAAGCACCAGACAAATCAACTTAAGGCCATGGCTTTTTTGCACTCGTGGTAAGAAAATCATTATAGATAGAGATACAATTATACCTTCAAATATTCTTTATTTGAGCTACATGTAAGAAAAGAAAATGGTATAGATCCAAATTACAACAGTCTTGAACATCTGTGACTGGCCACATGATTCATTTGCAGTGTTCACCAAGGACTAACAATTACTCCACAAATTTTTTTATTAAAATGTAGCAGTAAATACCTTTTTAGTCTTGCTTGCTTGCCAGTTTCCTAAATCCTCTGGTTGCATATAATTGGACATATCCGGAAGGGAACCACTGCGGGGAATCCCTTGGTCAGCAATTCCATTCAAATCATATGTTTCATCCAATGATTGACTTGAAACAGAGAGTCCATTATTAAGGAGATTGTCATCCTTCATGTTGCTGTTTTTCATGTTGTTTAGAGAACTAATCATTCCTTCCACAAGAGTAACACATTCTTGTTTGTGCACATCAGCTTCGCTGCTCAGGGATTCATTTGATAATGTGTTTTGAAGGAAAAAATTCAATTTGGAAAGTCCAGCTTGAAATTCTATGAAGTAAAAAGCAATTTAATTAATTATCACCAATTTAGCTGGAAAGAATTGGATGTATACAAACTCTGAGTAATCACAAAATATTTGAAGTGATTATTCAAAAAATTCTGAAGGATTCCAAACTCATTCAAAGGATCAGCAATTGAAAAATCACTTTTCAAAGGATTACAGCATTTTCTTAAAAATACTCACGTAATTCCTTGCTAAATTAGAAAAACAGGAACACTGAAAAGTTTTTGATCGAAATGTGGTCATGAGAATCAAGGAAATGATTGCAAACTTTAACAGCTCTTGATTTCTAATTAAATTCTCCTTGTCATCGCTGAGGAATAAATTAAGAACACTGTGGAAAATGTGCATGCTGATGCTAGGGAGTAAAGAGTTAAGAGCTTTGTCTCCATAAGTAAGCAAAATCCTAGATTATCATTGATGATTTTACAAGATCCCCAGAGCCCTGTTTTTTGCTGATTGTGAAATGACCTTTGTGACATGTTGCTTGACATGCCCGTGTTGCTGATATCTTGCCTTAAGAGATTTAACAAAAAATTTAGGGTTATGTCTTAACAAAATTCATTCCAATTGATCTCTCTATGTAAAGTAACCAAGTCAAAGACATTTGAAAGACATGTGAAAGACTTCTGAAAGACATATGAAATAAATTAACCATGTGATACACTATATGTGGCACAATATTGACCAGAATCTGTTACTCTGACATGCCTGTGAATTTCACTTTTGGTGTGTGAAACTGGAAGCCTTCATTAAGAGTTCAAGCCCAATATGTGAAAGAATAGTGCTCACCAAAAATAAGAAAGAAAAGTTGACCATAATTAGTTTCAGTTTAGTTCAGTTTAAAACTTCTCCTGCCACAAGCCATATGAAATCAAGAAATAATATTTTAACATGCTTCTCATATGCCTCTCACCTTACAAATTTTACATGCATTTGAAATTTTCACTTGAAATTACTGAGAAAACTGGCAGTGTCTGGGATGTTCTTTGGAAACCTTTTGCTGTTAATATTTGGCCAAATTTACAGGGTCTAATTTCACTTCATAAGGGTACAAAATTCCCCTTTCCAAAAAATATATACATATATACATAATTATATAATATTTTAGATATTCATCCTATATAAACTATTAAATCTATGTACCCCTAAGTACTACTGGTAGCACTCTGTTCGCATCCAAAAGTATCAGAAAGTGAAACATTGATATTCAAATGAAATCTATGTATAATTTTAAGGTTAAAAGAGGAGATATGAATCTGCAGCATGACATGAATTAAAAGGGATTTTTGTAACAGTCTACAGAAAAAACCAACATAATGAAACAAAATGTGCTTCTCCAAGTTGAATATCCAAAAGCAAAATGCAGAGAAGAATGAAAAAATATCATCAAAGAAACTGCTGGCTGAACAAAATGAGTTTCATAAAATTCAGAAGATTTACAGCAGATCTCAATTCATTTTCAATTAGTTATTAACACAAGCATTTAAGAACATATCTGGAGACTTAAAATATCCAAAGAAACACAAAGAATAATGTATTGAATTTATGTAGCAATTGAATAAATCTTTTTTTCACAACATCATTCACATCTAATATTCTACATTGAACCTTCCTATAAAATTAAAAAATACAAGATTAGTATAAAATTTTTGGTTCAATATAATTACATAGGCATCACAATCTTATTTTATTAGAGAAATTTGTATCTTAATCTAACAGCCAGCAGAATAACAACATCAGGCATAAAAAAACAGAAGAAATAAAGACAGCAACATTGAATTTATACCTCAAACCAATGCAAGATTGTTGAAGCCATGTAGCATCATGTAAGCTATGATATGTGCCAAAGATTTATGCTTGTAAGCACATCTATTATTAATCACTTTCATTTCCAGACCAAAAAAAAACCATTTCATTGTTGAATGCTTTAATTAATTAAAATGGCATAAATTAAACCCATTGCATTAATATGTGCACTCTATTTAAAAGTGGCTCTTCAAAATAAACTACATTTACATGGATCTTTCAAATAAAAAAGGAAAAAAGTAGAAATTAGTATCTGGTTATATTAATAAATCTATTTTTCTACCTACATTTCAGAACATTCTCAAATGAAATGGAAGTGACCAGAATACATCTGTCAAATGAGGTGATAATATTTGTAATAGCAGAAAACCTGAAGAAGAATAATTATGCAGTTCTCTGTACACTTGTTTACTGTAAACAAGAGGTGAAAGTTGATTCTCAGCAATGTTATCAAGATATGCAGACTAAACATATCCCTCCACATGTCCATCTAGGGATCAATAAGCGAAATATGACAAAGAGGTCCATTTTCTTGTCCAATTTTTTTAAAACACCATCCCATTACCACCACATGCTACACTAATGGCCCAAAACCATCTCTTTCATGGTACTTTACAAAAAAGACTTTAAATTACACTAAATAGGTCAGTCTTCAGAACTGGGAATATTGGTTATCAAAATAGCACGTCATTCAGCTGAGTATAAGGAACTGGTCATTTATTATAGGTGCAAATGGAGTCATTCCATTTTCCTCTCTGCAAAAGAAAACAGCCCTGAAGGGACCAACAACAAGCTACTCTTTAAGGACCACATTACTTTATCCAGTGCCAAGAACATTGCCTCTGGAAATTAGATACAAGTGAAAAATGAAAATGTACCAGCCCCTCCTCCCCTCCTTAACATAAATGACCAATCCCTAATTTTGGAAAGGTGTCAAGCTGATGACTTCAATGCCTACAGTGAGCAGAAGTGACACCACCAGATTCAAAATCATTCAGTTATCCAAAGTGATCAACAATCTTTGTAATGTCTCTCTGTTATACTGACACTAAAAATATAATGAGTCATTGTTGGTTTTTAACACTAAACAAGTTTGTTGTGTCTTTTTTCATCATTGAGAGGAAACTTGCATATGGGCAAGGTTTAACTTAACTCCAATTCCATATAGTTTTAGAACACAATGTGATAATAAATGCTCAGGCTCAATGTGTAATGACAATAACGATTCAATTGGGAAGATTATGAAAATTTTAGTATCTCTATACCATTGCTTCACAAAGTTTAGTGTTAAGATACAACAAATCTCTTCTCATCTCCTGATTTCAAATATTGAAAAAGAATATGTTAATTAGGGTTGTAGGTATTGTTGTTTAAAGACTAACATGTACTGAAGTATTCCAGTACCATTCTCCCTACAATATATTGATTAAGAGATATCCAGAATCTTAATTACACTATGGGATTTCCTGGTGCTGTTTCTCTAAGTGGATTTACAAAATTTGCATGACATTTTAAATGGTACTTTTCATGTCAGTCAATTTTCACAACCACATTTCTATTTTTTCCCTCACTAGTCTAATTTCCTGGTTCAATAAGTGGACGTAACCTTATAATACAGTAATGAATCGTCCTATATCTAAAGGACTTCAGTACATTCCGTGTGATTATCTCTTGACAATGGCCAAAATAAAAAGCTGCGAACAAGTTACGACATTATTATCACTTTGGGGGCGTTTAACTTCAGAACGCTGTTTTGGAAGATGTAAAATTCATGGGCAATTCTTGACACCGATTAATAGTATTGTCGCCGAAATATCTCAATCACAAAATATCTGTTAGGCCTTAGCTTGCCTACAAAGAGAGCGAACACTTCTTGGAATCCACTAATCTTTTTAGTTGTTAACTTCACCTAACATGCTATCACTTGTTTTTTGGTGACATAAAACTAAATGAAAATTTTGTGACAAAGAACGCAATTCCAAGGTTTCCAGAGAGTATTCAATTTACTATCATGAAATTTTTCAGATCACGGCTGTTTGAAAAAGTATAGCTTTACTAAACTAAACATGTTTAATGCTAATTCCCAAGCTTTACTAAACTAAACATGTTTAATGCTAATTCCCAATCCAATTTTTCTCAATAGACTTGAAAAGGATCCACTCTTGCTTTTTGTGAGAATATGCAAATATTAGGCTGTCCTTTGCAATAATATTGTTATGTCTCTGTCGTTGAAACAGCTCCTAACCTGCTGGTTATGGTTTAAGGTTAAATTAATCTGTTTTGCCTGTCACAAACCGATCTGAAGCTAAACAAGGTTTGTAAATTAAAAGTATGCAAGTTCTTGAACATAATGAAAGTACATGTAACATCAACGGTTCGTTTCGAACTATAAACAAAAGTTTACACGCTCAGTTTGACAACTGCAACATGTACATTTATCTATATGAACTACGAAAACGAAACTTTCGATTTTCAAAATTCACAGCACTGATCAAACAGTCACATTTTGATTTTCTTCCCTCCAAACCGTATCAAATCGAACATATCAAAGTTGATGAAGTTTTAGAATAAAAGAAAATCTCGTCTTCGCTTCGGTTGACCGATAATTAATAGTTTTAAATAAAAGAAATACTAATAAGTTTATACAACCCAACTCTTGGAAATTGTGCCGCCTGAGTGAAAACAGTCGGATTGCCATGACAGATTCAAAGTAAGAGAGACACCTTAACAAAGCTTAGCCCATATGATCTCATCCAATTTGGTGGTCTTTAGTTTTATTCCTCAATCAATTTTAGTCTCTAACAGTTGAACACACTTAGTCAATGGAGATCGAGTCATCGCACACAGAATAAACACCGGAGGCTGCTAGCTGCGGTTAGCAGCAGGATTTTACTACTCACCATTTTAAATACTCACCCAGAATAAAATCTGCAGGTAGTTCGGCCATACTTCTCTAAGTTTTCAACACTGTTTCACCTTTCCGGTTTCGCCGATATTTAACGATACAAACGTTGGAATTTCGCGCCCGTCGCTGAGATGAAATCAATACTGACTCTTGACGTAAAATTTACATCGCTTGACGAGTCGAGAAATACGAGTGAGGTAATAGCAGAATTTAGTCAGCTTACTCCGATCTAACACAATAGTCACACGAACCTCTTTCCTTCTCCGTCGATAATCTGAACAGGGTCTCATTCGCGCTGCTGTCGCGACCTGTGAACCCTTGGACAACAAGCGACATCGTTGAATGCCTATATTATTTTCTGTCGAAAACGATTGGCTATCGTTGGTGTTTAGCCTTGCAAATTGAAAGATAAATGTCACACCACAGACACCAATATGACGTCAGTGGCGCATAGCGTGACATATGTTCTCAGTGGGTGAAGAGGATTTGGCATGATATGTCTTCGAAATGTCCTAAATTGGTGTGATGCACTAAACTAAAAGAAACAGATGAAAGCTTTATGGAATAAACAGCAGATTTCCTCTTTTAAGTTTAAATGCCAGATAGCAATTTTCGGTCAACAGTGTTTACACAGTGGATCAAAAACTGATCTTTGTAAACAAGTAAACAGGAAGTGCGTTATTCTGAGAAATTTTTGCTGAACATTCCTTTCGCAAAAAAAAAAAAAATCAGGCCAATAATAAAATACGGCTTTAGTCAAGAAACAAGGCTCGACTTAACTAGAAGATGTTCTCATATTGTACCGTTGCAGCTAATATACTTTACGCACAGGAAGCAAGGCTTTCCTGTAACTCGCTTTAAAGGAAATTTTTTTGAATACGCTTGACTGATTTAGATCACTTCCCTCGATATAGCTAACACCATGTGGTAACGCCGTGAACATCGATTAACACATCTTGTTATTAAGAATATTGTCAGTTGTAAAGATTAACGACCACAGTGCGGTATTAGGTTGGATTCCACACCCGAAATATGATTATTCTCCAAAATGAACCCTCTATTAATGCCGTTGACCCCAATCTTACAGGGAACCCAAGCGAAATGATTAATGTTACCGCAGGCATTGTTATACCGCAAAGACGAGAAGAGAGATTGGAAGAAAAAAAACTTCAACGCTCATAGAGCACCGCTCACTTTGTTTATATCGGCAAATAGACAATAGGAGACACAAAATTGCCGTCGAAACGTTGCCGCACTGGGAACTATTGCAAAATACGTGACCTGCTAGATTTTTATCTGGCTAAGCGTGATGAAACTTTACTAATTTAATGATTTGACTCCGTTTCTTTTGCCTTTTTGACAGCTGGAATGTTTATGGAGCCACCTTTGATTCGAGAAGGCCTCAATTAGAGCTTCTTGCCATTCAAAGTGCTTCACCATGGACCGAAACGTTTCCGGCGAGGGTATTCAAGTTCAAACTGGGCAGAAAGTTGCAGCAAGAAAAATTCCCAAACTCAGTCCTAGTACTTATCTTGTATTTTCTGCTCTAGATCATTGTGAGAACTTTTTAACAAAAAAAAAAGAGAGAGAGAGAGAGAGAATGAGGCCTTAGAAAGAAGATGTGTTTGTTGCTTCATTTCAGACATCAGTGCGTCAAAGAAAATCCCGACCCTTATCCCCCTTGTTTACTCCCCGTTTCGTGCAGATGCGTCATTTATTTGCACCGTCTTGTCCTTGTTTGGGCTTGCTGTCACAGTTCAGTGGAACATGACGGAGGGCTGACGTTGAGTCTTTATAGACAGTCTTAAATTCGTGTGAAATCTCTCTTAATTTGGTCATCTCCACATCATGATTATCTAGTGTAGATTTCGGGCATTCCAAGTTCCTCATTTTCTCACACTCCAGGAGATATCCTGATTAAAACGTGCCTGTTTATTCAGTAATTCGAGGAACTAGAACAAACAATTATAAAACAGGAATTGTTTATGGTTGCATAGCTCGAGGTACTTTCTCAAACAAGTCAAGTATCATTTCGTTTGTTGAAAACATCGGGCAACGAACACGAAAGTCGACCAGACGGTAAGGCTACTGCGAGCCGCGAGGGAAACCCGTGGTAAATAAATACCTTTACCGTTTAATATGCGGGAAATACTCCTATTCAGAGCGCAACTGGAACAGATAAATTATGGCTATCTTTAGCTGATGAAGTATGCTGAGTTGTACATGTGGTTTAAGGTGTGGGGAATCTGTTTATTGAGCGGCAAGCATGGTAGATTATCTCATCAAAATGTCCTTTCATTTATCACATTGTTGGTATCAGCAAAGGCTCAAAACAATGAGCACATCACTTAATTTGTCGCTTTTCCCAAGAAAATCAATTTTGCTTTGATACGCAATACTCAATAACGGAAACATTCTATGTCTGACGTCATTCGTTGTCTTTTATCCAAGCCCATGAACAAGCTACGTAAGCGAGCAAAATAGCTTTTTCCTCATGTAATGGCGCCTCAGCAGTTGTTTCTTAGAAAAATGTCAGTAGGCCTGGAAACTACCACGCGATGAGATCTAAGCTTCCTTTCAAACAGAAACCTATACTGCTTACGATCAGAAACGGAAATAAGTTTTTCGAAGAAAAAAACTTTCTGAAGTGGAATCAACATCCACTAGATAAATGTTCACATCTCACACGAGGCTTAGGCAAATTATTTCTATTCTTCTGAAATTTGCAGAACGCTGTTTCGCGATCGTGATCAGTTAAAATAAAAAAACATAGAACCAGACATTTCAGTCATAAAATCAAGTAGGTGACGTCAGGAAGACGAATGACACTTTTCCTGTGGTTTTCACGAGTTGCCTAAATATAACTCACAAGCAGAGAAACGACCGGAAGCCAGAAATACAGACCGACTTTGGCCTTCCAGAAATACCGATCTTCAGGTGGCAGAATCGGTTGATTGAAGCATTACTAAACTGAGATTTTTTTCGTCTCTCTCTCTTTTTTTTTTTTTTTTTTTTTTTGGGGGGGGGGGGGGGGGAAATTGGGGGCAGACGGTGGGGAAGGAGATTTGAATAGTATCAAAATTTCTACAAATCTTCCCAAACTGGTGTTGATGATTTTATATCCAATACAACCCAAAATAATCTTAACTGACACAAGAGAGTCACAATGTTGTGACGATGAAAGTTTCCCCTTTTTGCTACGACTGATTCATCTTCGTATACGTAGTGCAACGGAGCTTTGCCTTTATCTAAGAGGTCTGGATTCGAATCCCGCCGCTTCCAGAATATTTTTTAGGCGTCTTTTCTGTAGCAGCTAAAGATTGCTTTCCATCTGCGGGTGCCATTTCTTTGCTTGTGGTTTGAATGTTTGTTTGTTTGTTTGATATATGCATATTGTTTGTACTTTTTTTTATCAGTTATATTTGTCATAAGGCTCATTTAGATAGTTAGGAATTGAAATTGAAATCATTTTTAGAAAGCTAGAGTTGGCCAAGTCAGAAGATGACCTGTTTCATTCCGGATTATGCGTTTGCTTCAAAATTCCTTTTTTTTTTTAAATCCTAAGCTAGTTCTACATGGAATTTATGAAGAGTCTTAAGATGAGGACAATTGTTTGAGCATTAAGATATTAACTGAGGATACGAAACACAAAATAAATTAGTTTCCAACCTGTGTTACACATCAGGTGACGTCTGAGATTATATTTACATATTACCAGTAAATTTTGATCCAAGACTCCATTTAAGGTTAAAATTTCTCATTTTTTCAGGTTACTAAAATTTGACAATTACTTTAAATATTGAAAAGGCAAATATTCCTTTAAAGGGAAATCGAATGAGTCATCTCTAAGAATTGCAGATGTTCTGGAGTTTCAGTATTATTAGTCACTACTTTAAATTATTTTCGTCTCGATTTACGAATTTTAAATGTCCACCAGGGCGTAGAATAATAATTTTCATTTTGCTTTTAAAATGAAATTTCGCGTCTTAGCGTTGCACTGATACGTGAGACAGAAAGTATGGAAAACTCGTCGTGTTTTTACCATCGGCAATCTTGAACAAAATGTTTAGCGATCAGAGAAAAGAAACTCCTCTTTACCGTTGTCAGCATCTGGGAAATAGAGAGAAAGGGATTTGCCGAGATCACCGCGAAGAACTTAATCAGAAACCAATTGAAAACACCAAAAAGAGGAAAAGTTACCGAAGCATCAAAGTAAATACAACTTCCTGAGGTAACTTCATAACAAATTTTTATCGTGTTTGCTGTATATATTTTGTTTTTCTTTGATTTATAACAAGCTCGATCGACGTACAAACTTCTCTTCCGATCATAAACAGTCGATTGAACGGTTCGCGTTATTTGAGTTTAGCCGACCTCTTGCTGCACATAATATTCGTTTTATGGGTTATTCTAATACAACTTAATCGTACCTTTTATCTTTTTATGCCCCTCTCTGCCACCTACTGGAATCTTTCTTTGATCTTTCTGCTACTTTTTCTGTGTATTATAATACGGAGGACGCTCATTAATTCATTCCACCTGCATCTGGTTGGCGCTTAGACTGATGGGATAGCATCATGCCGTGACAAACGCGCTCTGCTATAATGGCAGTTTTGGAATTGGTTTGTGCTAATGGGAAGAAGCCTGCTGTTTCACGTGTACGACTTTGAAATCTTTGGGCCTAAAGCTTCAAAACAAACCTTTATGATGTAATGTGTTGTGTCTTTCAGTTCGGCGTAACGTCACTTAAACAAACTGGTTTCATTCCCTCGTTCATAAACTTGGCTGTTGACCAAAGATAAGTAGGCCCATTTCAAATCTTTAAAATTGTGACCCAACCAGAGGGATCCCTCGGGAAAATTAAACATCACTTCTTTTTGTTTTGTCCCCAAGTTTGGCTTCATTTTGATTGGCCTAAACGGGTTTTGCTTATTGAACGCGAGTCAGGTGAAAATATATCATGCCCATTCGAAAGAAAGAACAGTCTTCGTGTCTCTTCTTGATCACTTAGGCCTTGCCTGTATGATTTAAATATGACCTTGCATTCTGTACAGCCATCTATATTTTATCCTGTCACTCACTTAGACAGGTATTCCTGCGTGTATATATCTGCATATTACATTCATAAACCACGGGCAGATCCAGTTTAAACCCCCCCCCCCTACCCACACATCAGACAAGTGGGTTTTTTTTTTGACAACTTGCTAGACACCAAAATATTGGAAACAACAAGATCACGTGTTACCAAGAGATTGAAACTGTTTGTAATCTCTATATGACACTAATCAGCTTAAACTTGGCATGAAGTATTTACGGTAAACTTATCTTGAAAT